CTATATGTATGCTGGAAAAGTCGCGCGAGCCGGCGAGGCGTCGACTGTAATCCTAAAAGGTTGAAGGAAAGTAGTTCATGAAATAATAAAGCACCGCGCTTGTGCGCGCGTGGAAAACCTGGCGAAAAATACGACTGTAATCCTCAACGTTATGCCATCGGTGGGGTGTAATCACCCCGAAAACATCTACATGTGAACACCCAGCAACGTGTATGTACATATCTAAGTGTGAAATTGAATATTAAAATGTGTCTTAAGAGTGCGGAAAGGCTTAGAAGCCGCTTTGAATTATTAACCAAATGCTTGATCCTCTCTCCTCTGTCGCGCACTCGGCCGTGTGCGTCCTCGACACGCCGCGCGGAAAGATGCATGAGGATGGATAATCTCCATCGGCAAGAAGCTCGCCTTTGTTAGCGAGCGCGCGCGTTGAGCACACGGGTCCTTCAAACGGGCGCGCTATTGTCCATTCAGCTTCTTCGAGGGTGCGAAGAAAGTGCACTTGAGATCTTGCAGATATGATTAAATACGGAGCCAAAACGGCCGAATTTTCAAAAGCGGCGCGCGCAAAAGCAGAACAACAGTTAACCCGTTCAGGGATCTAATCGCATCTCATCTAATCATTCAGCCACGAGCGAACGCCTCCGAATGCGGCCAATTTGTCCGGCTTACATCGACATCCCGCTACTGACAGCGACGAGATTTTCACTTCATTTGCGAGTTTGTTAGACGGTTAAATTTTCGGACGGCAAGATTAATGGATTAATGAATGCTGTTTTATTGCACACTAAGTAATTTTTTATTCTTTGGTTCACAATCACATCAAATTGCGTTGTTAAAGTTACTTTTACCTACAGGAGAGAAAAAAACAAAAAAATGTTAAAAAACATGCAAATTCGTTATTATCCCACGAAAGTGCGTGAATATTATTTGCATAAAGTTGCGCTTGAAGAAAACTCTCTTCTTAACGAGTTAATTCCGCTTTCGGTTTGTGGTTAATAAATTTGTTATTCAAATATACGCACTGTGGCACATTTTAAATATGAATTTCTTAATTTTTAATCAACATCTCTTTGTTCCCTCCGAAGCAATCCGTGTCTGTGTTCTGCGTAATTAATTTGATCGTTTCTCTTGCAGATTCGCGCGAATAATGAAGGATCGCATCGTCTGATCATCAACTGCGTTGTCTGTAAGTAAAAAGCAAGGCAAAACCTTGCACTCGATTCTTTTGTATACAATTTGGATCACGAGATCACACGGTCCAGTTGGTTTTAATCAAATCAAGCAAACGAAAACGAAATTGAATTTTAGCACACTGAAATTTACGAATTCTCTCTGGACATGTTCCAGTTGATTATACCACTTATACATTGGATGCACTTTTCAAAACTTATTAAACCGTAGTTAAAGTTAAAGTTAAAGTTAGTCTTCGAATCGGCTACAATTGGAAGTGGAGAGTGTATAGACCGGCGTCGACCGTCTCCACACGGTTAAACCTATATTTATCTAAGCGCAGTTAATGGTTAGTTATGTAGCTGGCTGTCGCTGCAATGGCCGACAAACCGGAATTTTCTTTTTTTTATCAAACACAGCACCAAATCAAACCGAAAATGAGATTCTAAAAACGAAACACCTCACTCACGCATGTTGTGTTTACTTCTCCAGCGGCGACTTCGTTTCACACCTCGATTTTCACCCTCCGTCACGACCAAAGCGCTAATGAACCATATAATCGAAGTGAAAAAATCTCACCGATGATGTTAATTGAACAAGCGCGTCTTACAACACACCATGAACCATGAACACAGGTCGGGCGTGAGTTTGAAAATAGCCCGGCGCTAAGTCATTTATAACAACGATTACACGTGTCTAGTCATTACGTCTGGACGCGCACCGAAATTTTCAACGACTAATTAACTCGTACGTCCGAGTTAATTAATAAAACACAAGGTCATCATCAGGCGTAAAAAATTTATCTATCAATTATTATTAGGTGTATGTGTTAGAATTCTATCCCGTCTTGAGTCTTTGTATTGCTTTGAGGCAAGTCTCGTCTCCAAAGTCTTGCAAACTTGAACCGCTCAAAAAGCTGCGCGCCGGTCGTCGAGCACGTCGTCTTGCGAAGTTGTTAATTAGACATAGAACTGTACATCAAAGTTAAGTGATAATGCTTGTTTATGGAGAAGACGCACGGTCCATCAATTAATAGTTTGTATTAAATATAGTCGCGCCGAGTTGCTATCTCTGCGCGAAGAAGTTTCCGGGGGACGTCGCCGCCGCCGTGTAATAATCTAATCACCTATTAGCTCTATTTATATACACAGCACCCGCTATGGAATTAATTAATTAATTAAATAACTTTACGCGAGCGAAATTTGTGTGCGTGAAACTTTCCAGAAGCCTACGTTGGAGTTAAGACGCCAACAAAAGATGATCTTGGCAGAATGCCTAAACGGCATGCCGGCGTAAAACTAATTCGAAATCAAATGACGCGCGCCTCAACGGAATGAGTGACGTTCGCGCGTGGTTAGTTAGTTGCAACTCATTAACGTTCAACGGTGGTAAGTTTTCCGTCTGCGTTTTGTGACTGCGGAGAAAAATTCATGTGGACTCAGCACTAATGCGAGTGCACTTGATATTTATTACACCCGTGTAATTCAATGATGGAAACTGCTTACCAAAGTCTGATTTAATTGCAAAATGCGAAAAATACCGATTCGCTGATTTTCGCGAATTAATTTCCGAGTTTCGTCGTTTTTTATCGTCGGCGCTTAATCAAAAATTAGTTTGCGCAAGTTGCGGAAAGTGTGCCTTCATGTGCAGAGCTTTAAAAAAAATGCGCACTGGGGAAGATAAATGTTTTACGACGACACAGGACCGGTTTATACGACGGTCATTACATCTGATATTTTATAGTTAATTTCACGTTTGTTTTCATTTCGGAGGCGAAACTTTTCGGTCTGGCCATCTGGTGTGCGACATCAAAGATCGTCGACGGGCTCGGATTAATGGACCCTATGAAGATGTCACCCGTGCGACGTCTCGCCGAGACTAATTATGGCCTCGAATAAGTCACGCCGACAAACACGGCATCGCCGCTCGCGCGCGCGCCCTGCGCTATCTAATTAATTGCCGTGCGGCGAGACGCGCTTCTCGGATTCGCATTCAATCCGCAACCTCAACGACTGAATCAAAACCGACGCGCGGCCTTTTTCCCATTCTGTTGCGTCAGTCTGGGAGTCGGATAGGTATCTCGACCGGCTGTATCAAATATCAAGGGCTTTATAATCCCAATCACGTGGTCCACTGAACAGGAAGCTTATTATTTTGGGGACGACTAACTCGATTTGTATCAAAATAATCCCCCCCTTTTCGGAGGGATTCCCTTCATCACTCGACAACAGCACGAATGTACACATCTTCAACTTAGCATTTTAGCATTTCGTGAAGATGGATTTTCTCTGACGTTTATCGAATATGATTTTTATTTTGCGCTGAGGGTTTATGGACGCATTTTAAAAGCCAAAGCGAGATAAAGAAGTTTTTTACTACTCCAGCGGTTATCACAAGAAATATGCGCTTGTAACCTTCGATAAACATTTCAGCGCGTTCGAAATTTATTTCACATTACGGAAATAACAATAAAAGCGTTATTGTTATAATCATGAATGCGGCGCGCAGACACAGTGGACGGTAGTAGGAAGGGAAAATAATATTTCGACGAGACGAGCACACGATAGCATCGCCCATGCGACTTAATGTCGTTTTCCTTCGTTGTCTCGATGCTCGTCGCGATAATCCAAATTGGTAACGCACCAGCCGCTCTCTTCGACCCGAAAACCACTTACGCACTAATTACCGCTGTCAATTTGAAGAAGATTGACATGATCTACACGAGTACGATTTTATTCATCGGTTGTGACATGCGAGCACTTTAGGGTTAAGCACATACTTCATAGCAATGTCTTCATCGACATCGGCATGTCTCCGTTATTGTCCACGTCCGGCACCGAGCACGCGCCACCGCTCGACAACATCCTGTATTCGTGTGCATGCGCTCAATAATGGAGTCATTTTCGGTCGCGTTCGAAATTGCGGCGCGCGCGTAGATGCACAATAACTTAATTCGGGCACCGGCCATGGTCCGCTACACGAATTGATCGATTTCCATATGTAATTACACGTATTATTCGAGACATAATGGTGCTCGTAATAAATGCGCATAGGAAATTTATATTTCCATTTAATGAATATTGAATGTGTGCGCGCACACATACGCCCCGTTGCGCTGTGTGCGCTTTTTTGATCGGTCCCCGGCGTGAGTGAGCTTTTAGTTTTCCGCGACATGTTTGCGCATTAAATCTCCGCGCGAAATGATAAAAGCAATTACGGTCTCGAAACAAAGCCCGCAATATTTGCGCCGCGTCCGATGGACACAAAAAAATTAACACCCATTTCAATCGCTGAAATGGTCCTGCAATAAACATGACATTGCATTTAAAGCTGTCAAGTGGTTATTACTACGCTAAAATAAAGGCGATTCTTTTATAAATTTTCTTTTGATATGAGTGTTAATTTTGCTGTGCGAATATGGAAATCAGTTTCAATTTATATTTTGCTCCCGACTTCGTCCCGGTAGTGTTTAATAAAAATGTAATTTGTTTTTATTCTCTTGTTCTAGACATAGTATGTCTCTATTGTATCAATAAGATTCGATATAAATAATTGCTAATAATGCACTTCAGCGCGCCATCTCGGAGTCAACCATTTACTATAGGAACTATGATTGAATCTCAATGCCAACTTTTATCTTATAGAAAAGTGCTGTCTATAAGGGTTTCCCGGCAATTATTCGAATTTTTCTCGCCGTAAAAACTATTCTTGGACTTTAACAAACATTTTAAAACAAGAATTGGCCAAATTGGTTGAGGCGTTGTTGAGTTATGCGCTTACAAACATATTTTGCGATTCATTTTTATTTTGTGGTGATCTTTACCCAAAGCTTATTTCTGTATTTCAAAACTTTATAACTTTCTTCATCTTTATTGTATACCGTAATTCTTCATCCAAAATTCCCAAATTTCCTAATATCTTTTATTACCTTGAAAAACCTAATCCCCGAGTCGGACGGTTTGGCACGACTCGGATTCCCAGAATCCAATGGTCAGCTTTCCCTCTCTTCAATGTCATACACTTTCTTCTACCAATCCAATCTATTACTTTCTTCCTACTTCCAAATTTCTTGTCACCACCCATCAACCTGAAGGGTTGCTGGTGGGTGACAAGGGTTTAGGAAGGACAGTTCTTGACATTACTTCAAACACTACAGTTCTTAACTATTCTTCTCTACAATACTTCTTAACTATACTTCTTCAAGACTTCTTAATAAACATTGTTCGTGATAATAAACATCGTGTCTTTTAACACACATCAATTATAACATTTGCACTCACTCACCGATCCCACAAATTGGTGACCCCGACGTGATATTTGCGAACATTAAGCACACGTTAGTTTTTATTTTGTGGGTATCTGGTGAGTCAATATCTGAGTGCAACACCACAATGTCTACGACGAACGCAACATCAACCGCTACCAAGGACTCAATCTTCGATGCCTCTTCAGCTACAACTTCCACCGCAGAAGGCATCATTCCATACTTCTGCACCTACGATGCATCAACCGCACGTTCCGAGTTATCACCCAGGACGTCCAACATCGCCGCACCAGGTGCCGCCTCATCCTGGTATGCCTAGTATGCAGTTGTTTTCCACTGCCAGGCATGTGTCCACATGGTGGTCCACCACCGCACATGCCGCCGCATCTTAAACTCCCGTCACATACTTTTCCTCCGCATTCTATACCACTTCATTCTCACCCACAAGGGTAGGTCTAACTCTAATAACCCACCGCCTTCTCAACCACACTCTGGAGTACCATCATCACAGCCAGGTATTGCATCGCATCACATCACCAGGTCCTTCGACCGTACAACATCCTTCCTGCCGTTAAAGTGTAACAACATGCCACAAGTGGTATGTCTACACAGGCACAACAGAAGAAAAACCGCCAGGGTTAAGAAGAAAACAAACACCATAGCCGTGGCACGTTTGCCACGAATGTACCTACCCTAGAGACGTTTTCCAGAACTGTACTCTAAAAAGCATGGTGCTCACAACTTCGACCAACCCGACAGAGATCCCAGTTCAACCAGAGATCCAGCAGCAGCAACTACAACCAATCCCGGAGAATCCGCAAGTCTCTTTAAGCAACTCTCTCTCAAACGACAAGACTTAGGAGGCAGGTACGACTCACCGACTGTTTCCACGCTGGGTTCGCAGGATTTCATCTCAGTGCAACGCGCACATCAGCTCTGCTGCATGCTCTACCAACAACTCTCGAACGACGAGAGCTGGGAGACAGGTACGACTCACCGACTGTTTCCGGACTGGGTTCCCAAGATTTCATCTCAGTGCGACGCGCACATCACTGTTGCAACCCCTCGCCAACAAGTCTCGAACGACGAGATCTGGGAGACAGGTACGACTTACCGACTGTTTCCAGGCTGGGTTCTCATCTCAGTGCGACGCGCACACCACTGCTGCAACCTCTCGCCAACAACTCTCGAACGACGAGAGCTGGGAAGCAGGCACGACTCACCGACTGTTTCCAGGCGTGGTTCTCAAGATTTCATCTCAATGCGACGCGCATCACCTCTGCTGCATGCAATACCAACTCCGAAGAGCTTCTTCCGGCCTTTCCGGTAACTTTATCACTGGTAGGGGTACTGTGGGATCTTTACCCAAAGCTTATTTCTGTATTTCAAAACTTTATAACTTTCTTCATCTTTATTGTATACCGTAATTCTTCATCCAAAATTCCCAAATTTCCTAATATCTTTTATTACCTTGAAAAACCTAATCCCCGAGTCGGACGGTTTGGCACGACTCGGATTCCCAGAATCCAATGGTCAGCTTTCCCTCTCTTCAATGTCATACACTTTCTTCTACCAATCCAATCTATTACTTTCTTCCTACTTCCAAATTTCTTGTCACCACCCATCAACCTGAAGGGTTGCTGGTGGGTGACAAGGGTTTAGGAAGGACAGTTCTTGACATTACTTCAAACACTACAGTTCTTAACTATTCTTCTCTACAATACTTCTTAACTATACTTCTTCAAGACTTCTTAATAAACATTGTTCGTGATAATAAACATCGTGTCTTTTAACACACATCAATTATAACATTTGCACTCACTCACCGATCCCACAATTTTATAGATGTATTCGCTAGCCGCATTGAATTGAAAGAGCAATGCGGCCATTGAGATGGATAATTTGAAATATCTAATATGTAATTCATAAATGAAGAATCGTAATTTATCCGCTTGTGTGTAGATGGACTAACCAGCCATTGAAATCGCTCGCCGCCGCACGCCACCGTTAATGAATAAATAATGACAGCGAGAGCCGTGCGCTAGCTTCATATATGCGTTTGAATAATGCGCGTATGCATATGTGAAATTAATAAAAGCCGCTTCGAATCCACTCGTTGCTGGTTTGGCTCGACTAACTAGTTCGCCAACAATAAATACACTTTCAGCGGTGATTCCGAGTTTTATTATGGCCGGTCGTGCTTCGCCTTTTACCACACACTCGTAACGAAACGTGTCTATTATGCGCGCGCGAGATCATTTTTCGTCGACAGGTAAAAAATTACATTCCTCAAGCGCACACACCAACGCCAACTTCAACGAAGAGAGCCAAAAAAAGTTATATACCTGAGGACTGGGTCGAGAGGAGTTGAAATCTCTTTCCGAAACAAAAAGTCAAACATAAAAGTCAGCATCTCCAAATTTTATAAGTATTTCAAATCATGTGAGCACAACGCACTTGTAAGGATGATTATTGATTGCTATTAAACCACACCGATTCAATATTTATTCAAGTTTGACGTTAATATTCCAGTGTTTAAATATGTGCTTAATTTCACCTCTAGAGTTCTCGACTCTCGACATCCACGCGGTGAGATCCACTTGTTTAAAGTTTACATACGCTGTCTGTGAAAGCGCGGCCATTTTTGTTGTTGATTGTTGCATCGATGCAATCTGATCGATAACGGTAATCGTTATTTATTCGTCTGCATCCGAATCGATTTGTCTTCGCGAGAAATCGATTAACTTCTCTCCGCACGACCGCCATGGTCCTACTATTATGCAAATCGGTGATTTTCATCGTGTGTGCACCGCAACACAAATGAAGTTGTACCCCGCGTGCACCACGTTTTGCGCAACAGGGCATCCGAAATCGCCTGCGAGATATTTATAATAAAGCACCACGGGTGGTGCAATGGAATGATCATCAACTGCAATCAAAAAAAATCTTGTTTTGTTCACGTGGAATTTGCTTCTGTAAGCTTAACTTAGCAATGGAAAAAATACGTGCCGATGAAAAAATATCGGCTTATGTTGCACGGGGGGAACTCAAGGGAGTTGAAACTTTATGCTTGTTCTTCTGTTTCTCGGTGACGAGTTTAAATTATAACTTTTCGCACGTTGGGTGACAGTAGCCAGCCACCCAGAGCATATTCCGCTAACTGTAATCAAAAGTAACTTTATATCTTTTCGCACTTTTGTCCAACTTCAAAAATTAATACAACGCGCAGAGAAGTATTATTATTATCATCACGAATGAGCTCAAGTTTTCATCCGCTCAGCAAAACTTATACTACAACATCATCAGATTAGTTTACGTACCACACACATGCATCCTACTAATTGGAATTGTATAATTATCACAATCAATTTGCTTTTATAATTTTTGATTGACACCTAGTTATGAAAAATGCAAGCAATAATCAAGTAAATGCAACCATCTATTAATAACAATACAACAATGGCGGTCAATAGCACAAAAGATTAGAACTTGTCAGAGTGGTGCATCCCTTGTGGACCGTATGGCGTGTCCACAGGTAGAGGTATTCTTCTGAAGATGCACGCTGACAGTAAGATAACATCTTACTCCCGCTTCACAGCTGACAGTTTTTCGATAATTGGCGTGAACTAAACAAAGCGAAAAATCGGAGCGGAAACAAAAGCGTCGCGTCGCGTCTCGACGATAAATAATAGGCAGCACATGTTCGCAGAAATTAGATGATAATCCAACTTTAATGACTTCTACAGCACTGACGCGTTTGAAATATGCGCGGAACGAGAGTTAAGTAGAAAAATCAAGCAGTCAGGTAACGACAGTTTCAACCATATATAATTTGCCTGTAATCGCTTAATATCTACATCAACGCAAACAAGGAGCTCGCAAGCACAAATGGTAATTGTATACTGCACCATGCTGCTGTAATTAAAATCTTTAAATACTCTTCTAATAAGTCATAAACGCATATTCTATGAAAATAGCACACACGCAGCCGGTAACTCTTTTATTATTTTAATAAGCACCGCAAAATAATAAGATTTTGCAATTTAGAATGAAAAAGAAAATGGAGTACAACACGCGTGTTATTAGCACCGGTCGATTTCCTTTTATTCCATCGAACAATTCGATGGCCCGCCCGCCGCAGCTAATGTCCAATTTGGGATGCATTATTGTCCGAAAGGATGTTATCTCTTTGAATTATTAAAGAGCGAATCACGTCCTAAATTAGTAGTAGCCGTAGCGCATTGTAGTTGGCGTTGTGGCGTTTATAGGTCGCACACGCGTACCTAGGTACGAATTTCTTCACGTGTCCGCTTTTATCGCTCAACCCCACTGCCCGCTTATTACGCTGGCCAGCTGGTATGGCTGTGCTCCCTTCTAATGAAAATATAATCTGTGTATACCTGCGACCAGCACACTCCACTCGGCCGTAATAAACACATTACATCAAATTGATACATCAGAGTCTCTCTCCGGCTACCGACCGTACTCAGCCGGCGAGCAACAAAAAATAAATTCAAACTTTTAATTAAGGCCTGTTCGTGAATAACGACATCGGCATTGACAAGTTAATCACTTTTTAGTTTTTATTTTCCCGAAACGTGTTCGTAAACATTTTTCAAAACTAAAACGCTGTATGCACAGGTATTATGTGCATATTTCACCCATCGCCTGTCATGGTGAATTTATTGACGGCTTTATCCATCGCGCTCCCCTGTCGATTTGTCGCCCATGAGTCGATTGGTTATATTAGTGGCGTAGTGACATTTTCGGCGCATAATTTGTTTATTGCCCTCAGCGCGCGTGTGCGACGCACTTACCGGACTGATTTACGACGCGTAATTGTTGCAATAATGCTCGATGCACTAACAACGTCAATGCCGACATTGCCCCAAGGCTGTTTTCAGTGAGTCGATACAGTAGCCAGTAATTTGCAGCGAGCGCAGCAGAGAGAGTTTTACGGCTGTTTCAAGAAGGCGCGCGCGTTTTTATGGTGATTTCCGTGCGTTTTCGCATCGACGTTATATTGATGCCCTCGCTGCCGGTAATAAAACATCGTAAAACTTTACGTTAACGTCCACTAAACGTTATTGCGCGCAATTATTTTCCTCGCTTGGCTATTGATTGGAGGCCGTATTACTACACTCCTACGCAAACAAACCGAACACGCGTATATTTCAATCGGATGCAACTGAGACTCGACGTTTTAATAAAATTCCTTTTTGCGTTTTCCACTTCTAGTTTACACGATGGTAGCCGCTAGGCAGGATGATAAAGATTCCGTATTTTGCACACAATGTACGAATATATTACGAGAGTTTCTAAGTAGGCCGGTTTTCCTCTTGGCTGCACGTTGTCGCAACGGCTTGTCGTCGCAACTGTCGACTCTTGGGGTGCAGTGGTGCACAAGTGCCGAAAATATTCACCGATTGCACATTTTCCCGCAGTGTATGTACAGCAATGAATATGTAAAGCATTTTTTACCCCGTCCGTTGCGAATTAAAATTTATGTAAAGTTATGTAAACTAGGTTTGATTAAATGGTAATTTCGTTAATTAATTTACGAATATTGATAGCAGATAGGCATAATGTATGGTAATTAGTAATCTAATATTCCGCCGCGTCTGCTCGGCGTTGTTATGAACGAACTGGTTTCAGGGGACAGTCAACAATGATCCCACTGTAGTTCAGAAATTAGTTTGCACGTCAGTCGTACGTGGTAATGAAATGAATTAACTTAAACAATGGTCAGTGAGTAGTCCAGCGTGCGTGTCGTCAAGATGTGAAATATTAATCTGTCATTAATACAAACGAAATCTACGCAGACTGGTGATATGCGAGGGAGTCATTAAAACAACGCTTGAATTCGACATGAGAGCCAGACGGAAGGGAACCATCTCGTCATCAGATTATCATGCGAAAAGTGCAGAATTTCGGCGGGTGAGCGCGCGCCTGGAAAAATGTCATGAATTTCTAAATAGTACGCTCGAATTGTGTCGGATGCAGGTCCACGCCAGCAATTATTTTATCATTGATGCCGGCACCAGTTCTAGCTTACAAGTTTTTTTCCGGGTTCTGCACGACACACTGATCTGGCGGGTCAATAATTCAGCGGATTTTTTCCCCAACGTTTGCTTTGTTTAATTAAGCCATGTTTCGAGGAAATGCAATTCAGTTTTTCGCGGAACAATAGCGCAAAATTGCAGCGCGAAACAAAAGCGCGGAAAGAAATTCATTGGAAGCTGCTCGACACTGAAAAAAGAAATAATCGACGGTTGTATAATAGTCAAATTATCAAAAGCGGATTCCGACCGGTACCTGTCCACAACACAGCGGTATCTCCGGTGCTGGTAGGCACTTGTACTTACCTGGACGATTGTAAATTAGAAAATAATGACATTATTATTCCCCACCATCGCTATTTCGGTTTGTTAAAAACCAGTTCGTATTGGTAGGCACGAGACTCGGAGGAAATCGCACAGAGGGGATGCTTGTGTGCAGCTGTTTTTGCTGGAGGTTTGCGTTTGAGAGCTTCGGAGCTTTCGCTGTGCGTCGAGCGACGCCAGCAACGCGTTTGCATTGTGCTCGACTGCTCGCCGCGCTCTCTGCTGCGGATGAACGTGCTGGTAGCGTGGAAGGAAAGAGGGAGGGAGGGCAAGCCAGCCGGTTCGGCTCTTTTTACCGTCAGTCTGCTCTCGGCGTCGGTGTTGGTCGGCGCGCGTTCGAAAGCTGCCACGCCGCGCGATACCAAGACGTAAAATAATGTTTGTTGGTGCATCGCTTCCACTTCGACTTGGGAGTATTTACGTTTAAAGTGTAGTTTGTGATCTCCATCAACTGGATTATATCGACCATGTTTACGCGTAGTTAGAAGTTTTACCCGGTTGTAAAAAATAATAATAATTAAGGTTCGTTTGTTAACCTGCAGTTTCTTTTTCTAAATAAATAAATAAAAATAATTGGTGCACATGTGATGGTTGCTGACAAATAAAATTGTCTTGCAGTTTGGGTGTGAGGTCTATGGATAGACCTGGTGACTATCCAGACGACATGGAGAGCATGTGGGGAATGGACGCCGGTGCAGAATGCGATTGTCCGGGCCCGCCGCCGGAATTTATGCTGCCGCCGCCACCGAGACCACCTATTCTTCAGCCCGCCGATCCCATGTACTGCTCGGAGGACCCCCTGCCGATAGAAACATGTGATGCACTACCGGTAAGTAACTGCTATATCACATAAATTTCCTTCCGCTGTCACGAGCACACGAGCCGAATTCGAATAAAGCCGTGCGAATATTTCCTATTTTCAAGCCAAAGCGAGAGACTATAAAATCACCCGGGTACAATGTCGTACAAACCGAGCGACACGAATGCCCATGCCAACGCCAGCTTTCCCCAAAAAGCACGACGATCGCTTTCGAGTGTTTGTCGTGTTTTCTTCTTGCTTCGACCCAAAATTTCAACAATGATTCGAGAATTTGTACCGTCCCACGTTCGTTTTTGTGTCCATCCATATCGAAACTAATCGATTTCGGATCCAAACGCTACCAATACTTTCATGACATAAACACGGATGATGGATCTTGGACTTACAAGGTCTCAAAAGACGTAAATTAAGACAATAATGGAGACAGGACCTTAAATCATTATGCTCGCCACAGGAGGAACATTTGCGAGTCATGGTCGAGGAGGGATGACACTTTTCAAGAATTTAAGTTCTGGGTAATGACCGTGTTAGCGACATTAACAGCTCCTTCTCTAAATGTCCAAGACAGAGCAAATTTATTGCATCTAGTCATTTGGCACAAACTCAACCAACCTCTACACTAGATTGGGATCAACATCTTTCGATAAAACACTGTCTCATTTTAAAATGTTTGAATTATGACTTCTGATCCATCGGCTCGTTTAATCCGATTTTTCTTCTAAACGTAGATTAATTTATTACGATCTGATAAGCAGCGGCCCGACCCTTTTGCCATTGTGATTGTGCCGGACTTGAAAAACTTGTCGCATGAACAACTTATGCCTTCAATCCGTAATACATTTTAATCATTCGTTATCTGCATCTATTATATGTAGCATGCTCATGCTACTGGCCTCAATGATCCATATCACATGCGCGCCAAACCAGTTGGCTGCGGTACCGCCGGGTGGTTACTTCGACTCCCGACTACCGGCGAGATGAACCCCTTTTATATGAAACGTATATCGTCATCATCTCTCTGGTAGTCTGATTAAATCATCGCGGCGGCCCACAGAGCGTACAACTCGGACCGGCCAACGTGTGCGCTCTGAGTATTTTAGGGAACGCGCAGTTCGCAATCGAATCAACTCACTGAACCGATCGGGTGCTGCTGCTCGGCAGGGTTGTTTGTGACGAATGCGACAACCTTCCTAATATTCGCCAAACTCGCAAAATGGTTTTAATTGAAGTTGTAAAAAAAACGCACGCACGCACGGGCGTAAACTTTTTACGCGGGAATTTATCATTTTGCGACGCTGTGATGTTTTTTTTGGTTTTGTTTTGTTTTGTTTCGGGGCCTCAGTGGAGGCGAGATTGTTTATCTCTTCTTGTTTCATGGCGGATTGCCCCACACAGATATTTCCTGGGCTATTTTTAAAACGGAAAAACACAAAAATATGTCGCGGGTTATGTAGTGCGGTCCGATGGCAAACAAATAGGGTAACATCGCTGGTTTTAATGACACTATAAAACAAACCGCTACGATTCCCCTCGCCTCTTGATGTGCTTTATTGTATGACTGTGGCAGTCGCGACGCTTGCGGCGGCGGTACGTTGATGTTGATCTGGGGACATTTTTCCACATACACTGGATCGTCTTTGATCTACAGAATCCTCACACGAACGCACGATAAATCGTTCAGGTTTTGTTTAGTTCTCCGAATCATGGCCGATTCGTGTTTACGTTCTAAACGCCAACATGTGCTCGCAATCAATTTCCACCGAAATTACATAATTGCCCTCTATAATTATACCATGTTGGTTGTTGCACCAACAATAGCCCCGGTCGGCGCGCAAGAAGACTACAAAGTTAATACTCGTTCTGTTAATTAAAGTTAATTACTTCGGTCATAACAAATTGTATTCATTTACCGTCAAACCGAGCAGCAGCAGCATCAGTGGTTCCGCACATTTGAATTTATACTATTGTATTATCCATTCGCACAAACAACATGTTAATCGTTACCAATCGGACGGAATTAAAATAAAGTTAAACCGCGGTCCCGATTTGATTCTCCAACCGGTCCCCACAGAGTTCTCTGTCGCTTTCTCTCCCAAATGCAATCGCTTAATGCGTAGCTATAGACAAGACGAAAAAAAAAAAGAGGCATGGAGTCGGTGGGCAGAGTTCGAGATCACCTCGGGTTAAGTAAGTTATTTCTCTCCGCGCTCGATGCGATTGCCTTCAGTCCGCGCGCAGTGTCTTAATACACATCCAGAGGAGAAGGTAAATTAGTGAGCACGTTATTCTGATACCAGTTATTAACATAGTTGAGCCACGACGGTTTAAAGAAACATTCGTTTCTTGTGTTTTTGGTCCAGCAGCAACAATAAAAGCGAAAATTTCCATTTGAAATGCGCCTTCGTTGTACACCCGGGGGAAATACACCGGTCGCTATTAAATATTAAACACGTCATTGTAAATGCACCCATTAATGTGGAAACAATGTACCCTTAATTAAACGCAATCGCAGAGCGACATTGGTGCCTGCGTTGGCGCACCGGGCCCGGCTGCAATTTAAAACGCCAAAAATTTGCTACCGCGTAATGACGCGCGAGAGTAAATTAATGGCGGCGATGGGCCACAATGATTCACTAAAAATTCAATTCTGCAAAATTTGCGCACTCACAACACAGAGGGTACGCCGTCGTGAATTACGCACCCCTTTTTGATATTTATGTGCGATTTTAACATTTGATTTTAAAGTCTCTGGCCATCGAAGCGATGATGATGAAGCATGACGCAGACTTTTCGCGCCAAGGGAGCTTTGACGCAGCATTCATACATGTCGATAAATCGAGGGGGTGCACCCGAATGCAGAAAAGTGCTTAGTAAGATGTACGATGCCCGCGGGGGCGATTCCTGCTCAAAAATTCATATTTTGATTAGACTGCTCCCGCGACTGATTCGAGGATCCATACTGCACACGCAGGAATTTCACATTTCAAGTCTGATGCGTGCTGTTCTCCCGAAACGCACCGCAAACGTTTGGAAAAAAGTATAACATAAAGGAATTTCAATTAAAATACCGTAGGCCCTTTCGCGTCCAACTCACCATCGATGGCATTCCGCACATTTTCTTTTCTAAATTTAAAACCAGAGTGCCATAACTCAAAAAATCATAACTTACTTCAATTACGTTTTCTAATTATGCCGAACAAAACGCTCGTGCGGCCGACATAAATATTTCGGACGGGCACTGTTCATTTATTCGTGCACGGGTAATCACAACGAATTTATTTTAATAACAGCGACCAGAATAGCGTAGACAAAGCAGAGAGATGTCTTCACAGATGCGTTGTGTGCTGCGGCGCGACGTGATGTGCGTGGAACTATTACGAAAACGTTCGGATTATACGATTTTAATCGAGCGAAGAATATTACGGCTACACGAGGCGCATGTTTCATAATTTATGTGACGGAGGGGTAGGCCCCGGTTCTGAAAGTTGGCGAGGAAAAAGTTAGATGCGTTTTTAAGAGGGCACAGATTTTTTGCACCCCACACGCGCGCTGGTTTCTGGAAAATGTCTTGGCGGGCGCCCCCATGAAGTTAAAATTCTGAGTAATTTCATCGCCTCGGTTCCTCCTCGGGAACTTTTCGTCTGTCTGGTGGTGCTCGGCGTTAAAAGAGGCCTCGCCACACGTCCAGACACTTCGAATTAAATGACATTGATGTCTTAACGTAAATTGCCTTGTCAAAAATGTCACTCAACCACATTGAGTGCGCCACAAATACTCGCATGATGAATTTCCATAATATTTGTGTAGAGTCATGAGCATATCATCACACTTCCTGCGATTCGTCCTCGCTTTAATTAATTACCGATCATCCCCACGTGCGTGTGCACTATTAGAGAGCACTCTCATACGAACACCCTCCTGGTAAATTAAGTTTTAATGTGGGCTGCAGCGCCCTTCTCGCCATCAACATCAATCCGTGCGCGTTTTTTAATTAAATCCTGATTTTAAAGGCAAATTAGGCAATTTAAACTTCCAAGTCGTATGCTAATAAAGACGTCTCGAAGAGGCGGGGGAAGCTAAGTGCTGCTGACTCGATCGAAGCCATTCAAAACATCCGAAACCGAACTCTGAGATCTCACATTAAGATACAATTTTCGAAATTACGCGTGAAGCGTTCCGAGAGCATTATCTCCGGTGTGCGTATTAGGTAATTGCGTTTCACAATTTATTATTTAGAATAATCGTAAATTTCACGTCCGCGCACACATCACGTTTGTCTGATTCGACAAACAAGGAAGCTCGTTAGTTTTATATCATCGAGAATGGAGAATCTCGCAAGATACGCCTGAGTAATTTATGCGATTCGTATCAATGGTAGTCAATTATGCTTCTATGACACTAGTCAGATAACCGCGAAGGAGCGTGCACGCGCCCTGACGACATCTGAGGGTTTAGCGCATAACTAACGATTCACTGTAATTATAATCAAATCGAGCTGTAACAGATTGTCTCTCCGCAGTGATTTGTGGATAAGTTGATAACAGCACGATGCGAAATTAATTCCCGAGTTATAATCGCATGGTGTGAGGCGAAAGTAAAACGTGAAATTCATCCGCGATGAGGGTCCGAAGTGGAGGCGGCTTTTGAATGCTCACACCGTCGTCCGCCTTGACTGTTGATGCTTCCAGCACCACTATATTACTAATGAGATTCCAGACGGCGGGCAGATTAACAGGCGAAAGTTTACTTATTAGTCTTAGTTTGTATCCTTACACACCGGTATTGGCTTTCGGGGCTCTGATGAGACTAAACTCCCGGATTAACTCTCTGCGCCCGCGCTCGAATTGCAGATATTCTGCGTATCGTGTGTTTGCTGCGCGGGAGACTCTTAAAGTTTGTGTATTAATTTGCTTACTTGTGTTGTTTCAGTTGATCGACGCCAGCTACAGGAGCAGTCCCTCTTTCCAAACCTCAGCTGTGATAGTCTTGTGTTCCGTGCTGCTGGGCCTGGCCGTCTTCATAGGAATTATATTAGTCTGGAAGTAAGTACTTGATGCGCATGCGCGCATGCATTTTAATGCAATTCCGACGTAGCTGGGCTCATTAAGTGCGTGAAAGGGGTGTGATTAAGTCAACGCGAAATTAAATCACCCTCTGCTGCGCCTTCGTTATTCAAATAGTCTTGGCACTGGTGGAAAATCGGAAAATGCAAATCGCAGATTTCCTCTAATAGATAAATATTTAAAGTGCGCGCGGATCGTGCGGCGCTTGCATGTCCCCCGATTCGCTTTTAATTGCCTTTGAAGTGGGGGAGCGTAAAATAAATCGTCTCGGGCGTCTATTCGGTTAATTTAAATCCTCTTCGACAATAGATTCACCTGTTTCCAGCGGCGAGCTGCTGGGACGAAGTGGCTGCGGGGCGTGAGCCGGGATTAAAAATCCAGTCACAGATTTATTTGAGACGCGTTGCGTGATTCTCACGGGTATTTGATCCAACTCTTCCGAATAGTATTCGTCGCAATCGGAATAGTGCACAAATCCGCACACGAAATGAAATTCCATCTCACCCAAAACCTCAAAGTAAGTAACTTTTAGCACATAACGATATTGTGTTTCATGTTACAATAAAGCGCGCTCGGTAGCCGGAGGAATTGTAAATCGATACCTTGCCATATTCTTTTTCGATATTAATGAGCAGCGCCTCGCATCTAAATTCATCGGTGCGTGCGCGCAGCTGCCCGCACCGGGGAAACTTTAATCGAGCTTTAATCCCGGCAATAATTTTTGAGATGCTTGCGCGGAATCTGCTAACTTCCACCGGCTATAATCCTAAATTCCGAGAAATTTCTACGCACGGCTTTTTCCCAGCCGCGCGCGAATGTTTATGTTGATGCCAATACCTCGGTGAATTTATGCATGCGGACACCGTCCCACACACGTGCTGTGACGCATTAAGGGAATTAGGTACCAAATTGTTGCGAAACACGAAAGATCGTCTTGAATTTCACATCCGCCAACAGCACACGAGGCTGATGTATGTTGTGTTGCTGTCCAGAGATCAACCATCAAAATTTCCAAACTATTAACAGCCTGCAGGCAAATGCGCTCGGATGTCAAACTTCAGCATGGGGGATCATCTTACTAATAAGCAATAATAACCAAGCCACATTTAAACTATTAATCATACAACGGAATTATGTTTGTAGTCGAAGTTTCACGTCATCTGCAAATCTCCCTTCGGCCAGACTAAAATGACAAAATGTTTTTAACAGCTATTCACTATATGCAACCAAGTATACATCTCATAATATGAACATGGTTATAAACATGTGAAGCGTGCAATTAATTTACGACGAGATATAAATAATTACCAACGGATCTTGCTGATATAAATAAGTATTATTAATGGTACTTTTTTAGCCCAGAAGAGGAACGCTTTGAAGCAATCGACAGCTTTTTGCTCAAACGAAGTTAGCCGCTGTGCACGCATTCATAATATGCGTAAGGATACGCACGCCGGTTGAGTGCGTCTAATAGGAAGCACTTTTTAACTGTCGCGTTGCCGCCGCCAGGTTTGCATATCTGCCTTCAGGTAGTTCCTATGTAATAATTAATCAGTAGCGCGGCGCCTCATTATCACAGCATATCCATTACGTCTCCGGGAAGTCATTACGTTCAGCGAGCGTGCAGGAAAGGTGCCAGCGGTAATGGCAGAGAGACCCAGCCGCCGCCGCCGCACATCACCCCTTTCCACTTAGGCGAAGGTGATGCCGGCACAAACGGTGCGGCGTGCGCTTTGCGCCACATCTCCTTATTTTATCAATTGATAAGAAACGCTCTTACTTACGCGGGCGTCTTGTTAAGCGTGATTAATACCCACCCCTTGTATATGACCATGTGCTGTTCTGGTGTGCCGGGGTGATGGCGTTCTAGGTGGGCATAGTTTGTGGGGCCGGGTTAAGTTTTCGGAGCACTTTAGATAAAACCCTCTCTGGTGTGGTGAGGACGGCGTTTTGAATTCGTGTGGCCGCGCTCCACTTATTCCAACAAGCGGGTTCTTTATTTAGGGCATGTGTTTTATCCGTGAGACTTGAGTTTTTTTTTCTCTCGCTAATTCATGCACGGCCTGTTTATAAAACTCAACGCATTGAACAAGCATTCGCGTTATTGCTAAACTAAACTCCTTTCTGTATTTACTGCAGTAAATATTTTTTGAAAGCATGCAAAGATTGAGTATCTTAACGAAAACAAGCGAATAATTGTTTGAGTTTACTCACGTTTTTCAATATGGCGTCGCACTTAATGTTAATGTTAAGCATATGCGCTTGAGATTATTATTTTGCTTGGCATGTATTTGTTATTAAATTGTAAAAAGGCGCAAATGAAGTAATTTAAGTAAAGGCAAAATTTGAAATATGTATGCGGCGCATATTTTTATCATTTACACGCTGGAAACTCGGCACATGCATGTGGAATTGATTTATACGTGATATTTCCTTTGATATGCGCTTATAAGCACGGCCCTACGCGCGATATTAGAAATTCAATTTCGCTAAGAGGAAATAAACTTATTTTGCTTCCATAATAAATATTTCCAAAAGGGGTTTCGCGGCATGGCCAAGCACGATGGCAGTTGGAAGGATGTGACGTGTTCTTAAATCGTTGGGGTTTACACACGTTCACCTTGCTTTGCTTTTTCTCGCCTACAAGACCAGAAGAAGAAAAAAAAAGCACGCGGTGGAAACTACCGTGGCATTTTCCAATAAATTATAGTCGAATGTCTGAAACAGAATTCCTTTTGAAACGTCACCGAGAATTATAAATTCTAATGTGAAATGTTGCATCGTCCGGACAGTTATATCTAGCTTTCCGGATTAGCATTCTATTAAAAGTTGTAATTACATTCACAATGTCCTCGTGTTCTATTCGAAAAAATCAACGACAAAGTGGTGCTGAAATTTGTGCGTTGTTTAATCGAAATCGATGGCAAGGAAGGAACTGGCTTCCCGACGGTCGGACGGGTGTCATCTCGAAAGACGGCATCGTCTAAATTTAAATAAAGTCACTTTTGTACTTCTACAGCGCGCGCGCCAACGGGTAATCCCCGCTCATCAAATAGCTTGATTTCTGTTGACACTTCCTCGAAATATCTTTGGTAGACTTAACAGGCGTTTTTATTCGATTTACGGCCAAGAAAATTGAGGTGATTACATCTGTTCAAAAAAAAAAAACAGAGATGTTTGGGTTTTGTGGAAAGTTTTTCTCGTTTTTAGCTCATTTTCTCTGCACCTATCGGAAGCAGACCTTGCGCTCTCGAGACGAGTCACTAAAACTTCCCCGGCAGTTTAATAGGCCTTCCTATTATTAGCGCGCGTCATTATCATTGTTTTCGTGGATGGTGCGCCTCCGACCGAACAATGTAAATAAACCCGGTAATTACGCACGCAGCAAGGCTTGTTAAAAACTCATTTGCGCGCGTCGATACACTGACGACTCTCCGTTATATACCCGCTAAGCCTGCGCCATAATGTACTTTTGTGATACGTGTCAATCAAGAGGACTAACGAGATGGTGTGGCATTGTGTGATTTCAGACATAAGAGAAAAGTACAAAACTTCCTGCCCTGTAAGACCTCCCCGCAAAACAACTGTGATGGTCCCAACGCGCCGGCGGTGATCTACGAGGACCTGATGGAGAACACGCGCCCGCCGCACAGCCACCACACCGGCGGCCGGCATATCGTTGCTCCATCGATAGAGGTGAGTTGTTTCTTCCGTCTCTGACATGATGTGGCATGCGTGAGTGCCTCACTATATGGATTTCACATGGTTCCACTTCAGATGAGATGTGTGCGTGTTACTAAATCCAAACTAATTGGAAATTAATAATTCCGTATATATAGCAGAGTATTCTGAGAGTGCTTTATTACTTTAAGATTTCTTTATTATCTTCCGACATGCATACCTTTAACTGTTTTTTTTTTCTTTTCGTGTCAGCTCGATAGTCATAACCGTGTCGTGTTAAGTCGTGTCGACGGCCAAGTCGATCCTCTGCCGGATTTGGAGGAGGAAGACGAGACATTATTATGACCGATTAGAGATATAGTAATTTTTTTATAATTACGCTCACTTTTTGCTTTGCTTTCGTAATGTCACATTAAAAAAAATCCTTCATGCATTCGTGTCATCTAACTTGAAGATTGAAGTCTTACTAACTTTGATTAGTTGGTCTTCGTAATTGCAAAATCTAGGCAACACGCGCTTCTTGTATGTTTCTGTTGATTGGTTTGTGCAATGGCGGCTAGATGTTTGCTGTATTGATGGATGTGCTGTTTGTCTGTGTCGTGCTGGGTGTGTGCTGCTTTTGTATGGTGTACGTCATGTTCTGTTTATTTTTTCAGATGATTGATGTGAAGAATAATATTCATTACCCGAGCGGATACCCGATATCCACGCATCCACCCGTATTTCTGTGCTCGTCGCCGGGACCGGATCCGTACTGCTCGCAGGACCTGTACAATCCCGTCTACGAAGAGCTGAGCGATGCCGATAGTGAGCTGGCACCAGCGCCGCACAGCGAGGACGAGTTCGCCGAAGATGAACTAAGTCTAGGCGGTGATGGTGACCGCCGCCTCCATGTGCCGCAGCCTGCTTACCGCACCGAGCCTCGTCGTGAAGTGCCACGTTTTCGCCGCCCGCATGAACCCCTACCGCCCATTCCGGGCAGTAAGCGATATCGCAGCTTGGAGCGTCGGCGGCAGGAGTTTCACGAGGGCATGCTGCTCGACGCGCTGCTACAACTGTACCCGCGTGTCGGCAGCGTGGGTCCGTCCGGCCGACGCCAGATACCCAGCATCACACAAAGACTGCAGTGCTTGTCACCGACGCCAGGCCCCTACGAGACTGTTCCGGTGATAGGCCACCTCGCTACCTTCCGGCCGGTGCCCAAGCCCTACTCGCAGGACTCTGCCTTTGGCTCGGACTCTGGCTACAGTAATCACACGAGTGGCACTCGTGGTTCCAGCCGGGGGCGGCGTGATCCACGACGACTCTCGCAGCTCAGTGCCGACTTGGCGCTCACCTAGGAACACTGCAATCCAGTGATCGCGTTTATCATTAACTTGTGATAATATTCGAGTATAAATCATTTTGCACCGTACTTACCACGCAGTCCATTGAGGAGGATATCACGTGTCAATTGTGTATACAAGTTCCAATATGGCTGCCCGACTGTTACGGCAAGCTCTTCGTCCATCCAGCTCACACCAGCAATCACATTCCAAGCGTTACACACGCTGGATGGACTGTAACATAGACTACACACTTAAACACACATTCACACTCACCCACACCTTGTAAATATTAATTAATTACTTTGTATAGAAACCAAATCATGCTAATTAACTCGGGACTATTTCGGCCAACCAAAGCTATAAAGATTTTTCTATTGTATCAACTTGATTGAACTAGTATTAGGCTGAAAGGGGAGGGAAGTAAGACGAAGGCAAGACTCCACATTACATTTGTACATTTTGTTGCGGTATTATTTATTTTTCTCTGTACATAGAGCGCACTTGATAATTTATGGAGAAACTCGGCGATATATTTATTCATTTCCTCTGTTAGCGAACACTGAACAAGTTGAAAACTTTTCAAGAGCTGTCTCACATTTACGCGAATGGCGTCACGGGCTGGCAGCTTTGCTGTACAGTAAATATGTACACAATTTATATACATACATTCGCAGCGTGCTGCGCGGAAAAATCAGTTGCGAGGGGAGCGTGCACACGTCAAGCGCGCTCCGAAATTTCACCTGTCTCCATTTCATATAAACTACAACTCTTACACACGAATTTACATTCTGCATAGGCCAGTCAGATTCAATAATTTAAGACTTGCGACTTGCATTCTTCTCACTGTAACGATACCTACCTACATGCGTACATAAATTAGTTGAAATCGATGCAATAGACATTTACCTAGAAGACACTCGTACATATATAGGATTTAATTAATTCAAGGCGAAAATCATGACAATTTGTGCACAAGAACACACAGGGTACATCAAGCGTATTTGTAGGCGAACTTTTGTTATATTTGTCAGTGTTTGTTGTAACACAGTTTTTGTACTAGTCGGATGATTTGTTCGCATGGATGCACTTTCGTTACAATCTGTTTTAATGTTCATGATTGTCGGAGGGGATCGATGCAATGAATTATTATTTTTTGTTATCAAAAATTTGTTTGTATTTTATTATATATGAAATATAGTGAAATTAATTTATAAAAATGTCTCTTCCTCATCAAAACGCAAACTAAAAGTTATACTTTCAGATATTTACTGGTTTCTTTCATCTGTAATATAAAAATGAATCGCAAACTCTGTTGGTAAGCGCATAACTCAACAATGCTTAGAGCAATTTGGCCAATTCCTTCTTTAAAATGTTCGTTAAAGTCCAAGTATGGTTTTTACGGCAACAAAAATTCGAATAATTGCCGGGAACACTATAAAGACAGCCATTCCGAGATGGCGCGTTGAAGAGATAATTAGCAATTCTTTATATTATAATTAATTTCTTTAAAATAAAATTGCGAATTTTATTGATCGAATTGACACATACTATGTCTAGAACAAGAGAGTAAAAAGAATTACAAATATATTAAACACCAGGACGAAATCCCGGGCAAAAGCTAGTTTTTAATAAATTTATATTGTTTGTTTGATCATAACGCAATTTCGGTTTTTTTTTTGTTAAAAGTTTTATGAAATATAACTTCAAATACCTTATCAATTCAATTAAATGTCCACCAGCGAAAATAAATTGGTAAGTGAAATGTGACAATGTGAAATGTTGTTTTTTGAATTTTTTACACCGGTGACAACATACATCCATTGAAATTTTCATATTATCACCTTTCGTTGTTGTGCGAAGTGGAAGTAACCCGTTGGGAAATGAAATACGCCACACACGTGCTGGTTTATAGATGTTCCATGTACGATTTGCGCTCGCGACTGCCATTTACAATTTGAGGGTGAATATTCATGAGTCGATGTGTTGACACTCACGCCAGTGCGACACCGGTCTAGTTTACGCGCGCGCGCATTTCTTATTTATCCGATTTGTTGGCAACTTTACGCGTTGTCATTCTTTGCGCGTGGACCGTTGGGACACACGCGCCGGGCACATTTCACCTCTGGACGTCTTTTCGATATCGGCGCATTGCACGACGTGCATTTATCCTCCCAGGCACCAGTCGTTAGTTTCTAAACGAAATCGTCCGCCGCGTCGTGCGCCAACGTATTTTTAAAGATAATGCGAATTTACGATGCGCATTACTCCCGAGCGCCGATCGCGCGCTTCAAGATATTCACGACATCTAATTGAGTATTCATGGACAAATAGAGATTCATGTGATTTACCACCGGCTTCTTATTTTAGCTCTTTCACTGATTATATTTTGATTGAATTTTCCACGACGTTTCTATTTCGTTTTCTTTTTGTGTCGGCGTTTGGTGCGTCGGGTAGATTTACCGGCGGCGGCGGCTGTGGGAGCGGCATTGAAACCTTCAAAGCCCGCGTCTGCGTGAGATTTATATATCTCATTTCTATTGATACTCCTGACAATATGAGAATTACACTCAAATAATTACGTGTAATTAGTAATAATACAACAATCAACAAGATAATTAAAGTATTCTGCTCAAAAGATTGAAAGCTTAATTAATGTGCGTCTCAAGATTAGGTACAACTTTGGAATAACATTATAATAATTTTAATAAAAATAAAATTTGACGATTTAAATTCCCACGCACTTGTGTTCTCCACATTGTGGTAATTTAAATTGTGATAAGACCAAAATTTAATTAAAACGTACTCCGGCTTGCTTTATGCGGTTTTGCGTCACATCCCAAAGCTTGTTTCGTACGTTTAATATGATGAAAAAGAACATAATGCAAATTAACATAAATCAAGTGAAAGGCACATATTGTGCGGGCGTGCGAGACTTAAGAAGCCGGAACACAGTCGGCGCCGCAAGTCGTAGGGGTAGTTTAACGAAGCGCTAGAAAACAGAACGCGGAAAAGTGCGTAATTAAATTTACATACGAACGACGCGCGCGCACAACGTAACTAAATTAATCGCCCTGACGAACGTGCGATGCGGGACGTGGCTGCAACGACAAGCAATGCTCATACGCGTAATTAGAGAAAACACTGACTCACACCCCCTCTAATTAGACGTCCAAGTAAGTATTCGATCGCACTGGCTGCGCGCTTGTAAGTCTAGATAGACAAAAACCTAATGTAACGATTTTAATTAAGTTTTGGATTAAATGTGCGTAGGCGTCGTGTTTGAGCTCTTAGTTGTAACGGTTTGAATGAAAATTATTTCTACAACGGAACAACCCGCAGCCGTTTTCAATTCGGACATAAATCATTGAATTAATTACAAAAGACCATTCATCTGTTGTAATTTCAAACGGTTCATATGCAAATTGATGATAGATAACGCCGCTAATTTATTTTCAAATCCATAGTTTATACATCATTTTATTGTTCGGCGCGCATTCGGTGCGATGATTCGCTCGTTGATTAATTCTCCACATACCCATATCGCGTGCGCGTTTTGGTTATGTTCCATTAAATCGGGTCCCGACGACTTTTGGGAGCGATTACAAAAAGGATTATAACACAAGTTACGCGCACATTATATCCGCGTCCCGCGCAACTTGTTAATGACCGCCTGGTTTAATTACCTCGACCGACCAACCCGGAAAAGCTGTTTGGGAGAAGCAAAAATTGCGTTATTTATGCCTTTTTAACGCTATTTTGTAAACGCAAACCGAGATTTAATGCTGAGGGTACTGGACGAAGGACGAAGGTCCTGCGCTGGCCTTTTAAGCGTTTCGCAGCGAATATGTCTCGCCGTCGGTTGGCGATGGCGCTCTCTATTACGATAAAAGCTTTTCTGAAGTGACCAAATGGATCTTTTCAATTCACCAGCATTAACTTTATGGCCAGGGCCCCGAAGCAGTGGGGGCGTACGTTTGGGTGCTTTTTTCGCTTTTCTTCTGCGCCATCACGCACCAAGAGAAGCGCTTCAATGTGTCGCACAAGGCGGCAATTAGATTTACACTTTGTGCGTATCTATAATATAAAAATGAATCGCAAAATCTGTTTGTAAGCGCATAACACAACAACACCTAGACCAATTTGGTCAATTCGTTTTTTAAATGTTTGTTAAAGTCCAAGGATGGTTTTTACGGTTTGAAAAAAACGAATAATTGCCGGGAAAACCCAAAAGTCGGCCTTTTTCTATAGGATAATAGTTGGCATTGAGATTCAATCATAGTTATAGTTAAATAATTATATAATTAATTTATTTAAAATAAAATGGCGAATCTTATTGATAGAATTGACACCTACTATGTCAAGAACAAGAGAGTAAAAACGAATTAGGTACTATTTTATTAAACACGCAAAAGCTAGGTGCACATAAAGTAATTGCGGCTTACACAAGAAATAGAATTAAATGTTTAAAATGCTTAATTATTTTACTTTTTATCACTCAAAATTAAAATGTAGTTATGTTGTAAAAAAAAGTTTAATAATATTTACAATGAAGCAAAATATGATTACAAAACAAAGATAATCCTGACTGTGACGTTTTGTTTGTGCGGAATACGAGTATAATGCAATACAAATCTTTGTTGCGGAAACTGAATATGAAGCTGCTTCCGCGCGTGGGTGAAATATCGCAAATTAGAATGGACTTCTACGACCGGAAAACGGAAACGTGACAACTTCGAGACCTGCGTGACTCACAGAGACCGCCCAACTAACTAACCAGTCCAATTTCACTTGTCGTGCGTAAATACTAATTAATTATGCCAAAATCGCAATTTTAAAAAATTGTTTATCTCAAAGTCACAGATAAGACCTGTATTTACTTAAGTATTTTTTTGCTCATTATATAATCAAAATTTAAATGTACGTACAAAGGTGGCTTATAATTTTATTGCAGTAATTTCAAAATTGTATATCGAATACGGAGTGTACGTATAAAATCATTACTGTTTTGGTTTTTGTGACAATAAACAATGGCCATAAACATTTTTTAATGAAGCGTAGTTATCTTACTTGTTAAGTCGATTAGACTTAAAAAACGAATAACTGTTGATAGGTATTATAAATTTAATTACCGGGCAATTGATTTACGTTTAGTCCTGTATGATTCATTTGTTTTGAAGATTTGGCGTGGCTTCGAATGGAAATTTTGCTTTTTACCTGCTACATTGGAGCAATCTAATTAAATTCGGGGCTTTTTATTTACTTACTAATAAATTATTTGGCCCCCTCTCTGACTCAGGTGTCAGCTTTATTTGCCCTGGTAGAAACACTTGTGCCAACAATGTTCACAGCCCAGCAAGATGGCTTACTTAACTCTTCTACCAAAAGTGCAGCGGGGCAATGTATATCAAGTTGTAGTAATCATCACAGGTAAACGATAATATTATTATTAATTAAAAATGAATTCAATATAAAAACTTTGTTTTAGCTTCATTGGTTGCTCTGAGCAGTGGAATTTTTATAACATGGCCATCACCTTCAATTCCAATCCTCTTATCAAAAGAGTATTCAGTGACGATAAGTATGGAGGAAGCAAATGTATTGATCATACTTCCTTCGATAGCCATCGTGCTGTCAAGTCCGGTGGCGGGTAAGCTAATCGATTCCATAGGACGCAAAAAAACATTGATGCTCATTGCTGCTATGCAATTCATCACCTGGCTATTGATAGCATTTGGTAACTCAAAAGCAACATTTTTTCTTGCGCGAATATTGAATGGTATCGAAGATTCTTGCGCGTTTGCCGCGCTGCCTAGTTACATCAGCGAGGTGGCGACACCGAAGATCCGTGGCACGTGGGGCAACACGATCGCATTCCTCGTCTACTTTGGTAACTTCATAATGAACGTCGTCGGCACGTACTGCTCCATTCCAGTGACGTCGATGATATTCGCCGTCATCCCACTGGTGTTTCTCGTTGTGTTCGCGTTTTTCCCGGAGTCGCCGTACTATTTGCTGATCACGGGCCGAGATAACGAGGCGCGCACCGCTTTGTCACTGCTACGCAGCGGCGACATCGACGGCGAGCTGATGCAATTAAAGGCCGATATTGATAGACAATTATCGGAATCCGGCGGCTACAAAGACCTTTTCACCATCCCGAGCAATCGACGCGCGGTGCTCGTAGGCGCCTTTGTGCGCGGCGCTCAACAATTCAGCGGCATCACCGTCTTCCTTATGTACGCACAGCTAATCTTCCAGGAGTCCGCCGGCGAGGTGAGCGCGAGCATGTGCGCAATTATATTCTCCGCGTTCATGGTGTTTACGAACCTGATTTCATCCTGTCTCATCGACATCATCGGACGACGCCTGTCGATGTTCATCTCGTCGCTGGGCTGTGCAGTTTTCCTCGCCATCCAGGCGGTCTATTATTACTTGAAGTCGTACAGCGACATCGACGTGGAGAATCTGCGTCTGGTGCCGCTGATATGCATGGTCGTCTTCATTATTTTCTACTCGCTGGGCTTGGGCGTCGTGCCCACTTTGATGTTGGGCGAATTATTTTCGTCGCGGATAAAAGGCAAGGCGCTCTGCTTAATGAATCTCTCCTTTGGCGTGTACATCGCCTCCAGTTCGGGATTGTTCTCGCTTTTCATGGTTAACTACGGTTTATCGGCGGCCTTTGGGTTTTTTGCGCTCTGCTGCTTCACCACCTCTTTGTTATCGTATATGCTCGTACCCGAAACGAGGGGCAAAACTCTAGAGGAGATCCAACAGTTGTTCAGAACACAAACCAAAATATAATGTACAATTGTAGATATTTTTCTTTTAATTTATTCAATCATCTTTAATATGACATGTTAGTGAATACAGGCAAAGTCCAATAAAAAACCACTATTATCTATTAATAAAGAATTAAGTGAGAGATAAAAACTTGTTTTTTATTTATAATAATTTGATAACTTTGTTTCTAGGTGGGTATATTAATTAATTGTTGTTTGCGCCAACACGTGTATGTCCTTGTTATTCCTTACTTGCTTATCTTGCTAAACTTCACCTGTATCTCATCAAGCGTTTTTCCTTTTGTTTTGGAAACAATAAAGTAGCACGCAATAGTTAAATCATACACATTCTAGCATTGAAGGTAAACGACCCGAAAATCCCAAATTCTGATATTATTTGAATGACTTCAGTAATGTCAACCACAAAAATTGCATAGTTTATGTTACTAATTGGCATAGATTTTTGCTACTCGTTAACACTCACTGAAAACAGGTCTGAGAAAATTAGTGTAAGAGCCAATGAAAATCCTGAAAAGGATACAATTGTATACATTATCTATATTACATTGTATTGTTATCTAACAAAAAGTAAATTTACCATTAGTATTAAAATTAAATAGACCCAATTGCTGAAGTTTCCAACTTCCCAACTTATTTACGACTGTTGTACCTAAACTAAAGGTCACCCAGTTTGAATAGTATTCTTCTTATCATAGAGGATTTTGTCGATAACTGATTGCTACTACTTCTCTCAAATATTGTTTAAAAATAGACAATTAACGATTCTTACAATTAGGGTAAAAGAGGGTAATGGGGGTCACTTAAGGGAGAACTCAAATATAATTTTAAATATAAACAAAATACTTATTGCAACCGCCTTTAAGCATTGTTTACTTAAATAACTATTATTACCCTTATTAAATAAAATATTCTTATAAAATTCACGATCATGCAATTGCTTTTCACAGTTGCTGAAACGAATCTGAACTCAGCGTTTTCATGGCGTTGAAAGTAAGGACTTTAAGGAATGCCACATAATACCATTAATGGAATAATCGGTAATGCCATGCATACAAAAACATGAACAGTTTATGTCCAACGTAATTGTGTAAAAATCCCACTGCTATAAGAATTATTGCAATTAGTTGTTACAGCTAAATATTAAGCTTCATTATTTGTTATTTAAAGCGAGTAATCCCGATTTGTTAAAATTTGTATTGACTATGATGACGAACCATGTAGTAGGTCATAATTTAGCATAGATAAGATAACTTGATAAGAAAACAACTGTATTATAATCAATTTAAAAAACTGTAGCGTAAGCAACGTACGCAACTATCTATAAAAATTGAAATTTGAAATTTGTGCCCAATCTGCACTGATCCAACTACCACGTACAATCATTGATACTAAAAATTTGAATGCTTAAATTTCTCATAAACTAGAACCAGAATACGGCAAAATAGATGTAAATTAGTTTCCGATAATGAGATAGGAAAGTGTCAACAAAATTGACGATAATTATTTAAATATTATACAATGTACTAACTAACCTAAACATTCTACACTTTTAGTTAATGAAATTTTAAAATTTACTTCTAGTTTTTTAAATGAGTTAATTCTATAATATAAAAATTGAATCGCAAAATCTGTTGGTAACCGCATAACTGAACAACGCCTAGACCACTTTGGCCAATTCCTTTTTTAAAATGTTCGTTAAAGTCCAAGGATGGTTTTTACGGCAAGAAAAATTTGAATAATTGCCAAGAAAACCCTAAAGACAGACCTTTTCTATAAGATAAAAGTTGGCATTGAGATTTTATGTTCTAGGGATGAGGTTTTAGTAATCTGAATTTACATTTTATGTACAAATTAAAAAAGAAACACTCTTATGTGATAATGATATTACCTCCAATTAATTAGCTGAACACGTTATAGATTAACAATATGGCATGCTCACGCTAACCCAGGTTTAATTTTGTCATTGTTTAGTTTCTTATCTTGAAACTCCAGCTGTATCTCATCAAGCGTTTTTCCTTTGGTTTCGGGAACAATAAAGTAACACGCAATCGTCAAAATAATACACGTGCAAGCATAGAACGCAAACGGTGCGTATAATCCAAACTCGGATAAAACTTGGAAAATTTTTGTAGTCCCCGCAATTAAAGCAGCGAATAAAATATTACTAATTGACATAGATTTTTCCTTAACACTAGCGGAAAACAATTCCGAGCTCATAAGAGTAGGCACCACAGAGAGTCCCAAAGAAAACACAATTAAGAACACTACCATACCAACCAATGGAAACCAAACCAATGCGGAAACATCTACATCTGTATTGGAATCCAAATAAAAATAAATAGCCATTGATATCAACACAATGATGGAGCCTATAGCTGAATTAAACAACGTTTTTCTCCTGCCTAATTTATCAACAAACATTGCGCCGCCCAAAGAAAACACCAACTGAATACCTCCACATATCATGGCGGACGTTGTTGATGTCAAATGTCCACCAGCCCGTTCGAATATCGTTTGGGAATAGACGACGAACGCGGACATTCCGCTGAATTGTTGTGTCAGTCGAGTCATTGCTGCTGCAACCATTGCTTTCCGATTACTCTTTATAAAAAGAATATCTTTATACGATCCAGGTTCCTGCATTTGTCGTTCTACAGCAGCGGAAATGGCATTGAATTCCTCATCAGCGTTATCACTTTGTCGCAACCATTGTAGTGATATTTTCGCGTCTTCGTAGCGTTTTTTCATTAGTAAGAAGTAAGGACTTTCAGGGATGCCACATAGTAGTATTAATTGTATTATAGGCATTCCAACGCATATATAAGCTGTGGTGAGAATGTTTAGATTCCCGCCTAAGACGTAAGCCATGAGTATTCCAAGCATCACTGTAAACACCAACAAGTTGCCCCATTTTCCTCTTACTTTTGGAACGGCGATTTCACCGACATAGAGAGAACATGCACTGATTGTGCATGCATCACCAATACCAGTTATAAATCTAGATGTGTAAAATGTCCACTTTGAAGTTGCAATTCCAATTAGAATCCACGAGATAAAGTAAGGAATTGTGCCGATAATCAACGTGTTTTTACGCCCAATATGGTTAATTAAACTGCCCACAGGTAAAGCGGTAATTATCGTAGCAATTGGTGGCAATACAGTTAAATACGACGCTTCATCATAAGTGATTTGAAGCGGATAATCTCTACTTAAGCGTAAGCGTTACCATTGATGATGATGGCCATCCAAACAATAGACCATAATTAAACATTGACAGACCAACTAAAAAAGATTTATTAAAACAATATCCACTCAAAAATTTCAAAAATTAAATTTTATTAAACTTACCAATAAATATTGCCAGAATTTGTGCCCAATCTGTACTTATTTTATTAACATGAACAATCGCCATTATTATTTAATGTAATTGCACAATGCAATGCAGAATTTGCAACCACTTTAACTCATTTTAAATCATTCAGTTATAAATGAAATTTCCTTAATTACATTTCAGTCACATCGTGAATTAACAGTATTTTAATAGCATATGCAAACAATTTATTTAAGTCATATTTAGTGATATTTAGAGTAATAAACCATTGACTAACCAAATGATGATAAACTTTTGGCATTATCATTCACACTTCTCGGTCCCGCATTCACATTTAAACCATGTTATCACCCAAAATCGTCGAGTCACAATTTACAACAAACGGTTGAACTGAAATATAATTTTAAGCTAGTATTTTTTAACAGTGTTTAAGTATATTTGATGTTCCCACCAACTAAATGAAGTTAAAGAAATTTCACAATCTTACCTAAGTTTTTTTTATAAATATAAAAATATTTATTGATTAAAATTACAACGTGATTTTTTGGATTTACAGGTTTTTTTGTTGAGTTTAACATGTTTCGCCCAGAGGGCATCTTCATAAACCTAAGTTTCTAGAACAATATTCTAGAAATCACTAAAAACAATAATGTTTTTTTCTAGACTTGTTAGACTTGGTTTTATTAAATTAACTTTTAATTTTTGTACAGGTTTTTCACCTTTGTAAAGCGAAGTTGTTTAAAACTAAATATAACATACACTTGTCAATCATATCTTTTATTATGGAATAACCAAATTTGTTATTTGTTAGTTAAACATGTTTGTTGATAATCATTATTTTATGCTTAAGCCAGCACGTGTAAAACTTTGGCGTTCATTTGTTTCTTATCTTGGAATTCAAGTTGTATCTCATCAAGCGTTTTTCCTTTGGTTTCGGGAACAATAAAGTAGCACGCAATCGTCAAAATAGTACACATGAAACCATAGAACGCAAATGGTGCGTACAATCCGAATTCGGATAAAACCTGAAAGATTTTTGTAGTGCCCGCAATTAAAGCGGCAAATATTATGTTATTAATTGACATGGATTTTTCCTTAACACTAGCGGAAAACAACTCCGCGCTCATAAGAGTAGGCACCACTGATAATCCCAGGAGAATACAATTAAATAGACTACCATTCCAACCAATGGAAACCAAAGCAGATCGGAAACATCAACATCCGTATTGGTGTCCAAATAAAAATATATCGCCATTAATATTAACACAATTATTGACCCAATTGCTGAATTGAACAATGTTTTCCTTCTGCCTAATTTATCAACAAACATTGCGCCGCCCAAAGAAAACACCAACTGAATACCTCCACATATCATGGCGGACGTTGTTGATGTCAGGTTGCCACCTGCACGTTCGAATATAGTTTGTGAATAAACGACAAATGCGGACATTCCGCTGAATTGTTGTGTCAATCGAATCATTACGACTGCAATCATCGCCTTACGATTACTCTTGATAAATAAAATATCTTTATATGATCCAGGTTCTTGCATTTGTCTTTCTACGGCAGCAGAAATTGCCATAAATTCGCTATCTATATCGTCGCTTTGACGCAACCATTTTAGTGATATTTTGGCTTCTTCGTGGCGTTTTTTCATTAGCAGGAAGTAAGGACTTTCGGGAATGCCGAATAATAGAACCAATTGTACGATTGGCATGCACACACATACATACGATATTGTGGGTATGTCTAGATAGGTGCCAAAGACGTATGCGAGAAGTATTCCAAAAAGCAGCGTGAACACAAGCAAATTTCCCCATCTTCCTCGAACTTTTGGAATTGCAATTTCACCCACATATAAAGAACACGCACTAATCGCGCACGCATCGCCCAGACCAGTTATGAATCTGGATGCATAGAAAGTCCACTTTGAACTTGCGATTCCAATAAGAATCCATGAGATGAAGTACGGAATTGTACCGATAATCAATGTGTATTTACGTCCAATTCGATTAATCAAAAAACCCACAGGTAAAGCGGTGATTATCGTAGCGATTGGAGGCAGCACAGTAAAATATGAAGCTTCATCATAAGTGATTTGAAGAGGGTAATCTTCATCTGTTAATGTTACTATTGATGATGATGGCCATCCAAACAATAGACCATAATTCAGCATTGATAGTGAAACTAAAGAAAGTCAAATTAATTGCCTAATTAAAACAGATTTCAACACACTCACCGATAAATATTGCTACTATTTGAGCCCAATCGGCACCGAGTTTACGCGTGTATACAACCGTCATTATTTTCATAAATGTAAACTTGTTTCACTTGTTTACTGTTTTATGGAAAACATGATTGACAAAGATTCACATGCTTATACGCAACTTGTCGATTATGAACTCATTCTCAGCAGTTTTGTTGTAATCCAATTACACAGAAATGAAAATCATATCTTTAAATTTAAGTGTTTTAAGCACATATGTATATGTATAAACGAATTATTTGTTTGAGTTCAGCTTAAATTTAAACCATTGACAAACTGTGGCCGAATAATATAAACTTCAAGGTAAATTGTATATGACACAAAGTTTCCTTAGCCGTTCAAATACATAGTTAAAATCTCGTAACAACTGTAACTTTATCTCTCAAAACTGCAGAGTCAAATCAAACAATTAAACTGTAAAAAGTAAAACACTTTTTTGTAGAGCGCAAGCAGTTTTATAATTAATTTGTCGGAATAACTAGTTGGAATGATACAAAACTCTTTAACACTTATTTTGTTATGGGTATAATTTTGAAAAACTGTTCTATAATTTTCAACAATACCAAACAAACAATAAATTTACTAATTGTATCTGAACTGGTTTTATTACAAAAGTGTACTTTTAGATGTAGACATTCTAGTGTTTGAACGTGGTTTGAACGATCAACTGGGCTTACCAGTGCTGCCAACTTAAATTTAAAAACAGAGAGTCGCGGCAACGCTGGATGCACCTCATCAGCCATTCTTGAATCTGCTGTTTGCTTCGCTCTTCAACAATGACAGCCTGTTTAGATGCGTTTGTTTACGCGACAGCGACTGAATTTAAATTAGCAACAACACATTAACGACCACAATAATTAGTGCACTAACGTAGAAGATGGCATCATCCCAAGATGCCTGGTACCTGTCCTTGCTGGGACTCGCTGAGCACTTCCGTACGTCCAGTCCGCCGGCGATCAAGTTTTGCATCCAATGCCTCCAAGCTGTGTTTACCTTCAAGCCACCTCAAAGAGTAGAGGCCCGTACTCATTTACAACTAGGAAATATTCTTTTAACGCATACGAAAAACTCGGATCTTGCTCGAACACATTTAGAACAAGCAGTAAATATCAATTTTAACCTTGTTTTGAGTCATTTTGTAATTTTGTTTGTTTTCAGTGGATGTTATCACAAATGATCAATGGATTTGATGATGTTAAGTTTGAAGCAGCAAGTGTACTTGCTAATCTCTATGAACAACAAAAGCAATCGAATTTATCAAAACCAATACTTAGGAAAGCAATAGAATTGTCTCAACACAATGTTTACTGGCATTGTCGACTGATTTTTCAGCTAGCTGTGAGTTACACTTTATAATTCTTGACTAAAAAACTATAATATTGATATTTTTCAGCAAATACATGCAACTGAAAAGGATTATCAAGTTGCAAGTAGTTTACTCTCAGTGGGTGTTGATTATGCACATATTTCCAATGCATATTACACTAGAGTATTATTTCTACTAAGCAAAGCTATGGTAAATTGAAATTATATCACATACATAAATAAAAATAATTATTTTTATGATTTTTAGTTGTTGTTAATAGACAAGAAAGTTTTGGATGTCCAACCAGTTTTAAATCAAGCTGGATCTTTAATTGAGCAATGGTCAGGGGGTGTGTATCAAAAGGAATATTTGAAAGTATACTTTTTAGTGCTACAAGTTTGTCACTATTTAATGGCTGGCCAAGTAAAGAGTGTCAAACCATGTTTGAAACAACTGCAACAAAGTATTCAGACTGTTATGGCTACAGATGAACGTAAGATTAATAATTTTATTTACAAAATTATGATTTAAAACATTACAAATATCTACAGCAACTGGACAAGCACCTGGTGATATGTTTTTGTGGTTGCCAAAGGAACATTTGTACGTTTTGGTATATTTAGTGACTGTTATGCATAGTATGCAAGCAGGCTACATGGAAAAGGCACAGAAATACACAGACAAAGCACTTATGCAAATTGAAAAGCTAAAAAGTAAGTTTAATGTTAAAATGTAAAATACAGTTTTCTTTAAATTTACTTTAGTTGTAGATAACAAGCCAATATTATCGGTGTTTCAACTAATGCTCCTAGAAAATATAATAATGTGTCGACTGGTGATGGGAAACAAAACGCAAGCGCTTCAGGAAATTGCCCAAGCAACGGCCATCTGCAACCAGAGCCAGTGGTTGGTGCAGACACACGGACCGCAATTACATACTCTGCTGGGTTTATATTCGATGAGTATGAATTGTATGGAGGCGGCAGAAGCACAGTTTACAGCATGTTTAATGGTAATCTCAGTTACATTTGAATAAAAATTACACAATTGAGTTCTTATTGTTTTTTAGTCTTCTAGTGAAATTGAATTATGCACATTTGCCAATTTGAATCTGGCGATAGTGTATTTACGAGGAAAACGCGAGGTGGAGTTTAGCTCGATTTTGGAAAGAATAAATCCAGAAACGTTGCAAACACATTCACACAGTCTCAGGGCAGCTGCGTATTATGTACAGGGATTGCAAGCATTCTTTCAGGGAAGATACAACGAGGCGAAGTTAGTTTTTTATATACAATATAGAAACTATTGAAAAAAAATTGATTTATTTTTAGACGGTATTTACGGGAAACGCTTAAAATGGCAAATGCAGAAGACTTAAATAGACTGACTTCGTGTTCTTTGGTGCTCCTTGGACACATATTTTTATCATTGGGTAATAGCAGAGAAAGTATGAATATGGTCACTCCCGCAATGCAATTGGCGAGTAAAATTCCAGATGTCCATGTGCAACTGTGGGCATCAGCTATATTGAAAGGTAAACGTAGATAAGTTTGCGTTGGCTGCGCCATATTTGTTATTTTATTCTTTGTTTTACAGATCTCTATAGATTGGATAGTGACCTGAGTGGGGAGAATGAAGCTTATCAGCGGCATGTGAGCTTTTCGAATATGTTGCTGAACGATCATTTCCAAGCAACGCAGATGGACGAACATTCACTGATTCAATGGACCAGTGGACCACTACCTGCATCACAGCCTAATGTGGCCAGTACTTCTGCGGTATTAATGTGAAGTTGAGGTTTTATGTGCTAAGTTGTAATTTATTTTATAGATCAAGTCCAATTTTAAGATCTTTAGTTCATGGTAAACATTTTAATCATATAAAAATACATAACATTTTAAACAATATGGAGAATAATGCCACCAGTATTTGCTTAGTTTTGTAGTAATTAAATCAGGTGAATCTGAGATTAGTGGTTGTGACGGTTGTGACCAATGTAGACCATGGTTGGTTACACGACTTGCCGCTGCAGCGGCGAAACGCTGTACTAGTAAATCAACTTTGATTAAAAAACCTGCACTAAAAAGACTTCTGCGACATTCAGACATATTCGTTTGAGGCAAGTGTTTGATTCTCTAATCACAGATGCCGCAGAATGCCCACTGTGAATAAAAGCTGACATAAGAACTTTGATAAATTTCAAGACCAAGTTTTCTCGTAAGTTTCGAGGATTTTGAGGTTAACAACAAATCATTAAGAAGTTATAAATTTGTTTTCAATGGTTATCTGTAATGTAGCTTATCAGAGTTAGTACCGAATCGCGTAGCGCGTTATCACCAGCCACTCGCAATGATCCTCGCACCGTCTCAGTCCAAGTGGATATACGATTTTGCCTGAAAGACCAGTTTCCAACAACAACTAAATGGTTGGTGTGAAGCGAATTTTTAACTCAAACATGACTGAAGAACTCTCCGGGGTCACAGTTGTGATCATCATCGGATTGGGCGCCCTGACATTCGTGCTGTTGTTTATATTCGCCAAGAGGCAAATCATGCGGTTTGCATTACGGAATCGACGAGGACCACACATACCCATAGGACACAATGCAAAAAAGATATTTAAGAGAGAAATTGAGCGTCGCATTGAGTTAATTCCTAGAATTTTAACGGAGCCTCAACTAATGGATGAAGATCCACGTTTTATTGTAGCGCCCGGGCATCAAATTCCCGTTCATTATTATCGTTTCAAAGCAGTTGATATGGTAAAACTACTGGGTAAGTCACTGATACAATGGAAATTGTACTTTTTAAGAAAAGTGTTATAAACCTTTTTTTTGTAGAAAAAGAAATAAAGCAACAGGATCCTTGTCTTACCAGACATCCAAATGAGAATTTACGTGCATACTTGTTGTCAACATTGGCGGCCACATTAAATGGTAGTGGTCAAAGACTAATACATCAATACTGTGATTTATATGAGCATGCAAGACATGATCCCAGCTATTTTGGTGAGGAAGAATATAAGGCATATCACCGGCTTTACATGAAATTGATGGATGCGTAAGTTTTACGTGTTTTAAGATTTAAATTTTTTTAATATATTGATTCACAATAAAGGGCAAAATTACTCAAATCGACAAACAATAGCCGCAAGACTTCGCCAAATAGAACGCCGCAGAAGCAGCGCCTGAATCCCGAGAAGAACCGTAATCTACTTGATCCTTCGCGTCTAAAACCACTGCCAGGTTTGCTGATCGTCAATAACGATGAGATACTCTGTGTGACCGAGCGCAACGAGCGCGCCACGAATCTGATCTTGCCACTAGCCGATAACGAAACGTCGGTGTAAGGAAATACAAATGGTTGTTCACATTCTTTATTCTACGCCGCACCTTCACCACAACAATAAACACCGGCCCAATAGTTGTTTTGTAGCCAGCGCTACAAATTTATCTCGATGTACTTCATCCAGCAGAACTTCTCGTTGAAGACTTCGTGCGACCGCATCACAAGCAGCCCATGTTTAAATCGGCGCGCGATTTGCTCGCTCAGCACATTGCGTTTGTAGTTCGGGTTCATCGTAAAGTCGTACATGCTCTCTAAGATCTGTAAGTAACATTTGTAATAATATTAGTTTGAACCGAACGAATCGACTTAGGTAGGCAAACAAATCAATAAATTATTATCAACCAAAAATAGGCAAAGTGCTTACCGGAGCTACATGTTGGGCGAAATGCGCAGTCCTCAATAATCTTCCAAGCCCAAATGGAAACACCGCACTGAATTCTTCTAACGATGTAGCATTCGCAACGAAAATGTGAAAACCTGACGACACGACCACCGCAATTATGAAGACCGTACTTGCAAAGATCACATTTCGCATGTCTTTTCGTTCAGCCAACTCAATGTTAATCTTGCTAGTGAGTTCACTTAACCAGGCCGGTAAACCAGGGTGTGCATGATGTTTTATAAAGACGGGCGTCAGTCGAGAGCAGATTATTTCAAATTTGCTAAAAGGTAAATAATGTAATTTTTACACGCGACAAGGAGACAGAACTTACAATGCTGGTTGTACGCATGACTTCAAAATTCGACAATCAATGACAGGATCAAGCATACTAAAAGGCCTTCTCTCTTCTGATACCGCTGAAACGCAGTGCACAGACAAACATCGGAACATAATGGAATCATTGACTGTCTCAAACTGTACCGGCGAATAATCGTTCAAATATGGCCGAGGCACGGCTCCCACAACCGGTAAAATTTTCTCAGAAACATCTGATTCTAACTCGGCAACGTCGAAACATGCTATGACGACTTCTGCAATCGCCGCTTTGTTTGAATCCGACGATTTCGGACTTTTCAAGATCATTTCAAGTTTTTCAAGAATAAAATCAATTTCTTTATGGGAGTGTTCCATCAATAAACATCCCAGTTTGATTGTTTTCTTAAAGAACGGTTTCATAATAACAGGCTGTATCGTGTTGCACAATATGTCCAAATTCTTATACACATACATAACTGCTTCATTTATCACATTTCGATCTGTAAGTAGTTTTATGTAATTCTCCATAAAACGGCGAGCGCTTCCCGAGACACTCGACTGTCTTGCTGCGATCGTAAGAACATACTCCAGCATATCCTTGTTATCTTTCAATTCAGCCAAAAACGTCCAATCCATCGGTGGTAAGGGAAGAACATACTTAGTGTTGAGTATACGTAAACATTCGATATAAACATCTCTATCGACGGTGTGAAGTTTTGAAACATTTTTGCGTACGAATTTCGCAACTGCTGCAAGGACATTATCTCTGGTTAAACTCATGTGTATTGGTTCTCCTTGACCGTCCGCCACTGCATAATTGCTCCTTTTATACGACTTCAAATCCACGTCAATAAATTTTATCAGCATATTGGCCGCAGATCTTAAACCAGCTTTCGGCCCAAATTGTAACAGATTAACCCAGCATGCACCTGCCAAACTACCCAGAATTGAATTATCATTGGTTATATGCGTGTAAACAGTGGGGAACCCAATAGCAAGCTGTTCAATGCCAAAATTACTCAAATTTGTGTAAACCGCTTCGAGCACCATTTGTGATGGATGCGTTTCAGTGTATGAAAAGAGCCTCTTGACAATCTCTTCGCACTTTTGATCGGTTATATCTGGCATACTTGCAACTTCCCCCATAATACCGCACATTCCTGCTATAACACCATCGCTATCTGTATTTTCAAACCGCTGCACAATATTCAGCATTGTTGTATATGGATCGAAACCGACACAGAGATATTTTAACGCTTCAAATGAAAATTTTATCACAAGATTATTCTCTATTGTTCTCATCAGGGTCTTAGACACGATGCTGGCTAATTCTTTACGATGGTTCTCTAAATTTTTTGTACACATTAGTCGACATAATTCTCTAGTAACAAATGCCTTTGTAACAATCAATTCATCGTTTCTTTCTTCGGGATCTTTAACTAATAGCTCCTCTAAATATGGAAAGCAAATTTTATCTGTTAGGACTAGATCGAACATGAGCGAAATAGCGAATGCGTGCATCTGTGTTGAAACCACGCTGATCGACTTAATTGCCATCACGATAGTTGAGATATTTTCTTTTAATACTCCCATTTTGGCCACAGCTCTCAGACACTCCAAATGAAGATCTGGTTGGACTGAATTGGATACCTTCTGCAGTAATACTGGAAGCATGCGAGTTGTGTACCGGACTTGAATTGTGCAAGCTTTCAGGCACAATTTTAGTACTTTGAGTGTAAATTCTGATTCGTTGTCATCGTTAAGCAATGCCAGAAGAAAGGTGAATTGCATCTCAAGAATTTGTGGAGAAGCATCTGACAGTGCGTCCAGAAAGTCCATGTTATATTCGTTGGCGAGGATGTGTGAATAAATAAAGGGCTTTTCATCCAGGTATTCGAAGGTAGACGGTTCGATGTCGTTATGTTCAAATTGGCGCGAAAGAACTTCGTCAATTTTACCGCTCACTTTTTCGCTGAGTATTGGGGTGGTGGCAAAGTGCATTTTCCAAATAAGTAAGCAGCTTTTTAGAACGTTTGTTACCAGTGTCGGATATTGTTGGGTTGCAAACATTAAATTTACTGGAAACAAAGAAAGTATTTGTACAGTTTTGCTAGGTAGTCTGCTAATAATTAAAAAATAACTTACTGCATTCACACAATGTATCCATTGATGTAATTGGAGCAATTGGAAGGCAATCAGCTAACATCACTATTTCCAGGGAATAATCACGCGATGAACTATTTCTCAAATGCTGGTGCAAAATCCAGATCGCTTCAGCTGCATCTTCGTCATTTTGCAAGGATTCGTGAATAGATAAAATAACATATGATATCATCTGTGGCACTTCAGGTAATAAAACTTTACAGTATCTCAATGATCTGGCGTTGTGAATCTTATTTAACACCTAGAAACATTAAATAGTTAATATCCAAATAATATTCAATAACATTAATCTGAATAAACATACAATTATTTTCTGTTTGGAAATTACATCCAAATGTTGTTTGTACAGTTTCAATAGTTCTAGCTGCAGTACTTGGTCTAACTTTTGGTCATAATCATACAGAACAAACAATGCAAAAGGTTGCAATTTTTGCAAAACTTTACTCCTAAAAAATCAATTAAATAATTTATATTTATATTAACTTATGAAACATCTATATTTAGTCTTACTTTGATTCTGTTTTGAATTTCTCTTCAATCCTACTAAGAATATGAGGCCAACAGCTTTGATTTTTTTTAATCACAGTAATCAAAGGATGCTGCTTCTTCAAAATATCATAGGTAATAGTTTTATTCTGTTTAAACAATGCATGAAATATTAGATCAATTACACCAGACATATTTCTACAAAGAAAAAGCTTTCAAAATAAAGAAAAATATTAAATGAATTTGTAGATCTTACTGAACATTTGGAATAGTACTCATAATATCTTTAACTACTGCATGCAGAGGCACAACTTCATCCGGCTCCTGAGTTAAATCAATTAATCCTAACATTGCACTAGATGCTACTGAATGTTTTGGACTTATACATTGATCACGAAGGTATTTGTAATGCTTCTTGAATTCATTTTGATTCGTGGATTTATGCAAGGATCGGATTTTCGTCACTAGACTCGAAACACCGTTTAACGTTAAGATCGAACAGTTTTGAGAGAATTTATAATTATATTCTTCCATTATTACAATTTTAATTTTTATTTAGCACAAGGAATTTTTAAAAACGCGCTGGAAAAAGAAAATAGCAGGAAAATAATCAAGGTTATGACAAGCTTGATAAAACTCGACAAAAATCGGTTATTTACGGTAAAAGTAAATTTATTCCGTGCCCAAATAGGGCAGCAAAAACAATTATGAATTTCTTATATTTTCCGCAATTTAATATCCTTTATAAAGAATATATCTGAATATCTGTTTTAAATAACGCATACAATAATTATATTTTCTCTACGTTTGTTCGAAACAATTTTTCCGCCATCTATACATTGATAAATTAACTCAATAGAATGTAACCAAACATTTGGCTCTTGATTAGTTTTCAACTTACGTGTACTTTTAGTGTACTTTCTACCCTGATGAAATTAATTTTCTAAGTACTAAAATTCCAAAAATATGGGTTTATCGCGCCAAGAAGTAAACCTACGTAGGCTATTAGCAAAATGTGAATTGATGCTGAAAAGCAATCAGCAAGACGAGCGATTTCCGAAGTATTTAAATTCTTTAGAGGAAATGCTGAGGGAAGTAATAAAATCGCCTGTGAAACCACTAGAAGAAAATCTAAACGACTACAAAAAGAAAATCTACAACATCAAGGTAACGCTCGGGGTGGACGAAGAGAAAGACAAAGAGTTTTTACTCAATGAAACCAACCAATCCAAAGAAAGAGATGAATTATTAGGTCTTCGACAGAGAACTGTTGCAAAAGAAGCTGGGGGTCTTGATGACTTGGAACAAGTTATCAATATGCATCAAAATTTACATGAAAAAATTGCAGAGGATATGCTGCAGTTGACACATAATTTGAAAGAGCAGTCAAAATTAGCTAATAAAATCATCAAACAAGACACTGAGATTGTTAGCAGAAGTGCACATCTAACTGACAACAATATGACCAATTTAAAAGGAGAGTCTGAGAAACTGACAGAACATTCCAATAAGGCATGCAAGTGCTGGATGTGGATTATGCTAATGATTGTTTTAGTTGTATTTGTTAGTAAGTATATTTTCTTGGATTTTTATTTAATTATGACCTTTTTTTAATATTGACTTGTTTACTGAAAGGATAATTGTTCCATGGTTCAATATTTCCAAATATTTTAATTAATAATAATTTAATTTTTTGCAGATATGGTACTTTTCATGAAAGTAATGAAAAAGAAGTAAATCATCACTTATTCACCACTATCACATAAGATAAAATTAAATCATGCAATCAAAGGAAATAATTTAAGCCACTGAGAGATTCAAGTCTGGTTTGCTCTTTGTAAACCACCGATTAAAGTCCAATCTATGCAGCAGCTGTAATAAATGCGGGCCGGACACCCTCTCGTGCATGGAGTGCAGCGCTCTAAAGAGATTCTCCAGAATGGTGTCCAAGTTGTGCTGGATGTCTTCGAGCTGTCGACGTTCGGGCGACAGTAATTCAGAGCCCCAATTGTTCGCAAGCAGACAAAAGCTGTCACACAACTCCAACAAGCAGATTATTATATTGTACACCTGGAACAGGGACAAGGGAAAGGTTTTATTATTTATTTATATTTATTGATAAAAATAAAATAAAAAAAAACAAACCTTGGGTTTCATGTCGAAGTCTAGGCTTGGTAATTGCAGCAGATTGAACTGTGATTGTTCCTTATCAGCCTAAAACCGACAAATAAATAATATTTTGAAATTTTTATAGCAAGTCACGCAAAGAAGTTAGTATAATTTTATTCGGTTAAATTACCTGATTTAATGAAATGACGAAAGTCCTACTCAATAGATTACTGACAAATATTGAGTGCATCCGTACGATATCCGTGTACTCGTTGACGTTTTTAATCGATTGTATAAGTATCGAAAATTGTGCTTCGATCACATCAACTTGTAAATAATACTGAAGGTTGTTCACTAAAAACATTAAGTTATGGCGCAGACTCCAAACAGAATAATCCCTGAAAGATTAATTAGTAATGTACTCAAGATTCGAGATCGGTAATTCAAAAAAGGTCAACTTACACTTTCTTAACATCCATATGTTTGAGCCACAGTTGATGCAAATCAATATGCGTCTTTTTCACGCGCATTAAAAACGTAAAAACTTTATTAAACAAAGTTATTACTTTCGGGCGAAAGATAACGTGCAGTGGCCATTTCACTTCAAAGTACATTTCAACAAATCCTAATGGATTGACAGCTTGAAAACAATATAAAATCAGGTAATATTATCAAACGATTATAACTAACTGAAATTACCATATTCTTCTTGCGTCATGTGATACGGCATTACCAGTTCGAATTTTGTGTGTGAATCATCACTGCTGCTATATATCTGCCGTGCAGTGTCTGCAAAAATATAATTTAAGTTCTTGATAATGTAATTATCCGGAATTTCGGGCAATTGTTCTTCTGCGGCGACGATGAAATGCTGAAATAACTCGCCCCTGCCTAGGCAATAATAATCGCGAATCATTTGAAGATGTTCTAATAAATTCGCCTCATCGATCATAACAGTCCATAAATATTTTGTGAGTTTTCCGCGATATTCTCCGATTTTCTTCTCAAATCGTGAGCGATCGAACGGATCTTGTTCCATCGATTGAATATCAGCGACGTATTCGAGTGCATTACCGGACCAGATTTCGTTTCGAAGGTGTGCCTTCAACATGCTGTCGTTTCGGCGCGGATCATTTTGTAGAATCCAAATCATGCGACCAATGAACAGAATACTCTCAGCGGATTCAACGAGCATCATTGAAGGCAAGAGATTCGGTCGAATCATAAACTTTTGCACTTTATGTGATGTTTTTAATATTGGGCTTTTCTAATGAAATAAGTAATAACATAGTTTAATAAGAAAAATTGTTTTTAAATACATACATTGTAATTGTGTATTGTTGTTGCTGTTGTGGTCGTTTTCTCAGCTTCCCAGTCGTAGAGAAAGTCTTCATCGTCGCAGTTACAATCGCATATAAAGAATTCTTCGTAAACATCGTTGATGTTGCCGAAAATAAGCCAATTCGCAAGTTGGTTGTAAAACATTTTGTTTACTGATAAAACAATTCTATAAAAATCCAACAGATTAATAATTATTAATTGAATTGTTGCTGAATAAACCTACTCTCTGCAAGCTTTCTCAATAGGAGAAATTCCACAATCAATATAATTGTGCAGCCTACCAATTAGCAAACAGCCATAAATACCCTCAACTTTTATAGCTTTAATTATAGAATTAAGTGTATTAAATAAAGTCATGTATTTTTCAACAGCACCCAAAATGTATACCAATGAAGATTGATTGTTGAGAAGGCATGATTCCTCCAATTGCTGAATGTGAGCTAAATAATCCTGAAGTACACTAGTTAGACCAGAACAAAATGCCATTAAATATATTCCATATCTTAATGGTTGCTCTTCTTCTACATTATTAGCAGTACTAATTTCTCCTTTCTCATCAATCATTTTAAGTGAAGTGTTTGTTGCTGTCTCAATAAAAATTTCTATCTTGTGGTATTCATTAGCAACGGCCATTATACGACGTAAGATTTCTATTTCCCCAGGGTGGAAGAATTCTTTTAGGTCTGGATTTGTTGTTAACTAAATTTTTGATATTGTAAGTTCATAAAAAATATTGTTTTTGATTTACTTACATTAAGAAGTTCATCACAACCTCCTCTTAGTGAGTACCATAAAGCAAATAAACACTCGTGGTCCATTTTTAACGAATATTAATTAATTAATAATAAGAAAAAACTGCTTGAAAACTGTTGAAATTTTGACTTGAATTTTATTTTGTTTTTTAGGTTATGTTTCCAAACTACACGCAAACTACAAAGCTACCGGTGAAAACTACAGAGGCTTGTAGTAGGTACACCACTGATTCATAGCACATAGGTAGGCATAAGTACTATTAATAATAAGCAAAAAGTAAACACTGTACTGTACGCTATACCCTTAAAAGTTATCGTTGTGAAACGATACTTTATTAAAATCATTGCAAATCAATGCAAGTATTTGTCAAACCTGATGTGAATAGCTTTTTCGACCATTATTTCGACCTATTTACTTTTTGCTTATTATTAATACTCACCCTCTCGTAAAACTATTGTCTTTCAACATAAGTACTATATAGAGAAAAGCGTGGGGTGCTCAATAATATCAGTTCTAGAAAATATATATTCCACCCATACAATTAGTACAAGAATAGTTAAGAAAGCCAAATCACGTTTTTCTCTATTTTCCGTATATCGTTTTGTTTCTATGTTCTAAAATTATTTTTCACTTTTTAGATCAATTTTTCATAAAAACGAGTATTTTAGTTTTTTAAAACTATATATTTTTTTATGTGTTACAATGTGCTAAGTTTTTGTTGTTTGTGGGCGAATGAAATGTCCTAGGACAACAATTGTAAGTATTGAATTTGTTTATCATTTTCATGATTAATTTGTGTGATTAGCCCGCGGGAAACCTGCAAAAATGTCATTTTTGTGCTTCGGTGTGTTAATTTTTGGCGGTTTTAGGTGTCTAGCGGGCGAATGAAATGTCCTAGGACAACAATACTTTCATCAGATTGTAAGTATTAAATTTATTTATCTTTTTTATAATTAGTTGTGTGATTAGCACACGGGAAACATGCAAATTGACATTTTTGTGCTTCGATGTGCTAATTTTTGGTTGTTTTAGATGTCTAGCGGGCGCACGAAATACCCTAGGACAGCAATTCTTCCATCAGATTGTAAGTATTGAATTTGTTTACCATTTTCATAATTAATTTGTGTGACTAACACACGGGAAACATGCAAAAATTTTATTTTTGGGCTTCGATGTGCTAATTTTTGTTTGTTTTAGGTGTCTAGCGGGCGAACAAAATATTGTAACACAACCATTCTTGCATCTAATTGTAAGTATTTAATTTGTTTATTATTGTAAATAATTTTCATGTTTCATACAATGGAAAGTGAGTTAAATTATTTACTTTATTTACCTACTTTAAATATTGGGACACGCATTGCAGATTTCTCAGTAATTTATTTCAAAGTCCCAAAACTAGATGGCGGATACGTTTACCTATGTTTTGTTCCGCTACACCTAGGTGACGCTAGTGTCACCTATTTATTTTGTTTTGTTCCGCCACGGCCAGATGGCGCTTCCATCGATTTGGTTTAAATTCATACTAAATATTTGTTATTGTTTTTTTTAGTGCGCTGACTTGCGGTGCCAACGTCCCTTTTGTACACAACTTTTATGTTTAACAAAGCAAGAAATAACAAACGTTGCATACTTACTTCGAATGCTTTAATTTTCGGTTGTATAGATATCTAGCAGGCGAATGAAATGTCCTAGGACTACGATTCTTTTTCATAATTAATTTGTGTGATTAGCATAAGGGAAACCTGCAAAAATGTAATTTTTGTACTTCGTTGTGCTAACTTTTGGTTGTTTTGGGTGTCTAGCGGGCGAACGAAATATCCTAGGGCAGCGATTCTTTCATCAGATTGTAAGTATTGAATTTGTTTATCATTTTCATTATTAATTTGTGTGATTATCACACGGGAAACATGCAAAAATGCCATTTTTGTGCTTCGATGTGCTAATTTCGTATTCTTTTAGGTGTCTAGCGGGCGAATGAAATGTCCTAGGACAACGATTCTTGCATCAGATTGTAAGTATTGAATTTGTTTATCATTTTCATAATTAATTTGTGTGATTAGCACACGGGAAACATGCAAAAATGTCATTTTTGTGCTTCGATGTGCTAATTTTTGGTTGTTTTAGGTGTCTAGCGGGCGAACAAAATATCCTAGGACAGCGATTCTTTCATCAGATTGTAAGTATTGAATTTGTTTATCGTTTTCATAATTAGTTTCTATGGTTAGCACACGGGAAACATGCAAGAATGTTATTTTTGTGCTTCGATGTGCTAATATTTGGTTGTTTTAGGTGTCTAGCGGGCGAACGAAATATCCTAGGACAGCGATTCTTTCGCCAAATTGTAAGTATTAAAATTCTTTATTTTCGAAATTTTTTGTTAAAATCGAAATTAATAGTAGGTACCATGGATGATGGTGCGAGTACAGTTCTATTCATGTTCTGCACTACCACATTGAAAGTGTACAAATAAACATGTTTTCTTATGTCGTACAATTTTTGTGCGATCGCCACGCGATTGGCTTGTGTACCATGTTAGTCTCATTTTTATCGTCAGGTGATCAGCACGCACATTTTCTTCATTATTCATTATTCTTGAGTTGCTAAATGTTTCTTCAATTGTGCGCAATTGATGTGCGGGGTTCGTACCACGCGGATTGTACATACTCAGAGGTAAAACGTGAGTGATGTTCCGTCGGCCGTCTTATTTTTTTTGTATTATACGCGTATTTCATCGGTTCTACAATGTGCATAATTATGGTCCATACAACTTATTGGATATACCAAAACAAAAATTTATTTTGCATCAAGGTATGTTCTCGCATTTTTTCAGCCATTTGAAAATCAAATCCATTATTGACTTTACTTGTTTGCGCTTTTCCAATTGTTTTACATGATTCGAAATAAAATTCTGATTTGTGCTTTAATTTTTAAATTTTATTTTTGGATTCCGACAGTAAATAAAATTCTGAATGCAGTAACACAATTATAGATTAAGGCCCTATTGACATGTAAAAACCAATTTTTGTATTAAAAATGTAAAATACACCAATACATAAATAATAAAAGTATACAATACTACAATTATCTACCTGGTGTCCCCAACTAAATGTTTACGTCTGCTGACCATTCTCTTTCCTGCTTAGTCGGTTGTGCGCGGTGGTGTCGTGAGCACGTGTTTTGTTCGTCAGTCTGTTTTCGTAGCCATTAATCGCGTTTCTGGTGATTTTCATTTAGTAGTGGCATGAACGACAATGTATTTCAGCGAGCGTGGCTGAACGTTAATGAATTATTGCTCGTGATACCTGCTATTGAGTGACTTTATCCGAACATTTGTGTCTACTGTCGAATACCGCCCGGTTGTTGGTTGTTGTGCTTCTCATTTGTGGTGTTCCGAACTCAGGTTGAAGGATTTTATGATGCAATTTAGAACGTATTCATTAAATTTTATATTAATTTGGTTTGTTATAATGTGCGGTGAAACTATTTTCTGTAAACTAAACATGTTTGGTCCATGAGGTATTTTCCGCATCTTTCTAATGCTACCAAAACGTTACTACAGTGAGTAGTAACATCAATTCTACTAACAATTCTACTTTGTGTGTAACGTTTGATAACAGAGCGTTGTGGCTCGATGGTACGTAGGATATGCCATGGATCCTACGTACGTTCGTTTTATTAAAAAAGAAAGAAGAATGTATTGTTAAATATAATTTATAAAACTCAATTTAAAATTAAAATCTTATTCCTACTTCTTTTTAATATCCTCTTTGTCGTTTTCAGGATATACGTCTTAAATCATATTTCATATGAAGCTTATGTGAGTGCAACATAGCTAAGGCATGTGTTGTTGTTTTTAAAAAGTTGAATAAAGTAGAAACATAAATAGAAGAATCAAATATTAATGATAAAAACACTCGGTGGTCGAGTGGAGACGTGCACCTGCTGGCATGCTAACAGGCACGGATCGAATCTCAGGTACAGAAGGCATTTTTCTCAAATATAAAAATATCAGGTGTAATTTGGGTTGCATATATGAATTGCAACGAAATATAAGAGAAATTGAAATACAAGTGAAGGCAATAATAGAAGTAAGAAAGTAAGTGGAGAAACAAGAACAGAGAAATAGAAGAAGGAGTAGTAAAGAATAGGAGATGATAGGAGGAAGAGAACAGAGAGTAGAGGAGGAGATAGAAGAAAGAGAACAGGGGAGGATCAGATTTTTAAAATTTTTGGCGCGTGTCGTTAGACAGTCACACTGCTTCGATGCGTCCATTGCTCCCGGCCCATCCTACAGCTACGATGTCTCTACGCTTCATCCCCAGGATTCTCAGGCATATCAACAATTTTTATGGTGGGGGATCACCCCCCAGAGAGAGGGAACTCCTTATAAGGACAATCCTTATAAGGTCTTGTTCAAATATTTCTAAGTTTTATCATCCTCTGAGAGAGGGAACTCTTCCTGAAATTATAGAAGGGGTACATTCAAAGCATAAGACATAATATTTCTTAACATTTCTTTATTAGAATATTCATATAATGCAAAACTTGAATACAAAATGCCTACAAAATTCATACCACCATTTTGGAACAGGGCTTGTCACCAGCATACTTCGAAATATGCAGACAAATACTAAAGAAAAAGGAAGGATAACACAAAACACTAATATATGATATATAATTTTCGCGACAATCCCGGAAAACCATTATACAGGGTGTTTCAAAAAGAAAATACTAAAATTTTAAGGGAACATGCAAAGTTCACGTAGGAAAACATATTAAAACCACTTTTTCCGTGACATCAGAAGAAAATAATATACAGGGTGTCACAAAAAGAAAATAATGACAGTTTCTGAGAAGATGCAAAGTTCAAGCAGGGTAACATATATTTAGACTAGTTTTCACAAGATATCACAGAAAATTAAAGTACAGGGTGTTGCAGGTAGAAAATAAATAGAAAGGAAAGTCATAAAAGATAACACAGAACACTAGCATATAATCTACAATTTTCGCGACAATCACAGAAAACTATTATACAGGGTGTTTTAAAAAGAAAATACTAACATTTTCAGAGAACATGAAAAGCTCACGTAGGAAAACATATTTAAACCACTTTCCCGTGATATCAAAAGCAAATAATGCACAGGGTGTCACAAAAAGAAAAATTAAGATTCAAGTAAGAAAAGAGATAGAAACAATTGACAAGGCGACATAAGAAGAAGACAGTTTGCACGGAAAATCAAAGAAAAGTGAAAGAAAGAGTGACACAGCAAAAATCAGAAAATTTAAAATGAAACTGTATTTCCTCTGGATATCAAGGAAATGTGATGGATTAGATATTACGAAAATAAAACACGAAGCCGAATTTTATTTAAAATCATGTAAAACAACAGACGACCGAGTCGAAAAATGCCGCAGCCTCCAACGAGCACCGAGAACGCAACCGACGGCACGTGACAATCTTAAATTGTAATTCGTATATCAAACAAAAGCGAAACAATGTTTCAATAAGTAATGCTAATCAACGGTATTGAAACATTGGCAAAAATTATTAGCGTAGGGGAGAGTAGGGTAATGGGAGTCAGCGGGTAATGGGAGTCACCCATATATCCACGAAACAATAGTTGCGAGTAACGCGTAAACGACGTCCCTACCTCCGTTCTGGCCCCCAAGTGCCACCCCCGACAAATCATGCAAATCGGCGCGTGTATCATTAAGATACGCCAGTATTTTATTTTTGAGCTCCGCTGATCTAATTTTACGTCCATGCAAATTAGAAGATAAGTGTCGAATACCTTGCAATATTCGAATGAAACTTTTATATAGTCTTAGTTAAACATTCAAAATCGTGATGTGCAGTTCAAATTACATCAATGTTTTGAAGAAATATATTTTTTTTGTTCTTTTTCACAATAGTGTAATTGCGGGCAATGGGAGTCATGCGACTTCCAATGGACGTTTTTGTCTTTAGTCCGCTCAAAATGGACTACAAAAAACTATGTGACTTATTTTTCAATAGCTATCTTGCAGAAATGATATTGCAGGAAAGTAACAAAATTTATGATTCCAATATTGGCACTGATGACTTATGCCAGGGCGATGAGGATAAAGATTTGGAAAACAGATGTCTAATGTGCAACGATTTAAAAAAAAAACAATGAAATGTGGTTCCGATGCACTTCTGTGGGCTATGGGCTCATGTGGAATGCACTGGGTGGGACTTAGCGGAATATTATGTCTGCGATATCTGCTAGATTTCGTTTGATTCCGATTGTCTCCAGGGGTGACCACCATTACCCGCATGTAGGTGTAATGGGAGTCAAATCTGATTTTTTTTTAAACTTTAATAATATCCAAAATTGATTGTCAAAGTGACTGAAAATGATTTCTAATAATAGTTATTTAAGTAAACAATGCTTAATGGCGGTTACAATAAGTAATTTGTTTATAATTGAAATTATATTTGAGTTTTCCCTTAAGTGACCCCATTACCCTCTTTTACCCTACGTAAAGACCACGCGGTTGAAGTAAAAACAAGTAGAGTCCACAACGGATTTACTATTTTATATGGGTGAAGTAATGCAAGAACATACCTGCAAAATTACTTTTAGGCTTTCGTGATATCCAATAAGTTATTCAATAAGGACCTTAATTATGCACATTGTTTCAACGATGAAATATGCGTACAATTCTAAAAGAGTATCCGACGGCCAACGGAAAAGTCATACGATTTACGTCTCCGTAGGTTCAATCCGCGTTTAACGCATACCACACATCACTCGCGCACAGTAGAACAGAAAGAATTGTTAGAAATATTACGTAATTACGCGAAGTGCAGATCACCCGACGACAAAAATGAGACTAAGCGAACCGCGTGGCAACCGCACAAAAATTGCACAAGATAAGAAAACTTGTTTGTTTATAAATACTGATACTTCCAGTGTGGTAAAGTAGAACATGAAAAGAATTGTACTCGTACTATGCGTGGAACTTTTAATTCCGATTAAATTCTGAATCGGAAACCAGTAACACAATTGCAGATTAAGGCCTTATTGGCATGTATAAACATTTTTTTATTAAAATTGCAAATAGTCAATTAAGATTTAAAATATCTTTCAAAACCTGAAAATAGGATTTATAATTTTAGTCAAAACTGTATTCGCCATTAAAAAGAGAAATCTTTTGCCTTTTTTATATTTTATTTTAACAAATACATATTCTGTAATAATTAGAATTTTTGAATTATGTTTCTGGTTTTTGTGAGTATATTAAATTCTAAATCCGAACCATGTAACACAATTGCAAATTAAAGCCATTTTGGCATGTATAAATCATTTTTATTAAAATTGCATATAGGGCCTAAACCGTCAATGATAGAAAAATAATTACTTAAATAATCTATTAAAAATTAAATTATCTTTCAAAATCCAAAAACAGAATTTAAAAATTCCAATTGTTTCAAAAGCTGCACTAGCTGAAAAAAAGATTTCATCATAAAAAATGCAAAATATTTCTTTCTTATTATCTTATATTGTATCTAATAGTGGTGGGTAATGGGTTTAGCCGGAAAAAGTCGCCAAAGAATTAAGAACGCAACCGACGGCACATGACAATCTTAATCTTTTTAATGTGTACATTAAACGAAAAAGAAACAATGTATCGAATGCGTATTGCAAATCAACGTAGGTATTGAAACAGAGACAAAAATTATAATTTTTAATAATTATTTATGTGGTTAAAGACCACGCGGTTGAAGTAAAAACAAATTAAGTCAATAATGGATTTGATTTTCATATAGCTGAAGAAATGCGAGAACATACCTTGATGCAAAATACATTTTTGCGCGTTTGGCATATCCACAGAAAATACGAAATAAATATGAAATACGCGTATGATACAAAAAGAGTATCCGACGGCCGACGGAACATCAATCACATTTAACCTCTGAGTATGTACAATCCACGTGGTACGAACCCCGCACAATCGATGAAACATTTAGCAACTCAAGAATAATGAATAAATAATGAATGATTGAATAATGAAGAAAATGTGCGTGCAGATCACCTGACGACAAAAATGAGACTAACGTGGTACACAAGCCAACCGCGTGGCGATCGCACAAAAATTGCACGACATAAGAAAACATGTTTGTTTGTAAACACTGACACTTTCAATGTGGTAATGCAGAACATGAAAAGAATTGTACTCGTACAATGCTTGGAACTATTAATTTCAATTATATTTTAAATCGGAAACCTGATAGATAATTTAATCCTACATCGAGTGTTTTAGTAACTTTTTTGATAACATTAACCGTTTAAACCATATTTACAATTTTAGAGAAAACGCATTCGATTTTCGTAGACCTTTTTGTTCTTGACATAATCGCCAAAAAATTTGACTCTGTTCTTTGACCGAAAATTATTTTAACAAAATAGTTCGACCCTGTTCTTTGACCGAAAAATTTTCATGTAAAATAAATTCGATTACAAAAGTTCGCCCCTGTTTTACGACCGAAAAAATTTTAACAAAAAATTTCGAATAATAAAGAATTTTAACACTTACAATTTGGTGAAAGAATTGCTGTCCTAGGATATTTCGTACGCCCGCTAGACACCTAAAACAACCAAATATTAACACATCGAAACAAAAAAATGACATTTTTGCATATTTCCCATGTGCTAATCACACAAATTAAATATGAAAATGATAAACAAATTCAATACTTACAATCTGATGAAAGAATCGTTGTCCTAGGACATTTCATTCGCCCGCTAGACACCTAAAACAATAAGAAATTAGCACATCGAAGCACAAAAATTACATTTTCGCATGTTTCTCGTGGGCTAATCACACAAATTAATTATGAAAATGATAAACAAATTTAATACTTACAATCTGCTGAAAGAATCGCTGTCCTAGGATATTTCGTTCGCCCACTAGACACCTAAAACAACCAAATATTAGCAGCTCGAAGCACAAAAATGACATTTTTGCATGTTTCCCGTGTGCTAATCACACAAATTAATTATGAAAATGATACACAAATTCAATACTTACAATCTGATGCAAGAATCGTTGTCCTAGGTCATTTCATTCGCCCGCTAGACACCTAAAACAACCAAATATTAGCACATCGAAGCACAAAAATAACATTTTTGCATGTTTCCCGTGTGATAATCACACAAATTAATAATGAAAACGATAAACAAATTCAATACTTACAATCTGATGCAAGAATCGTTGTCCTAGGACATTTCATTCGCCCGCTAGACACCTAAAACCACAAGAAATTAGCACATCGAAGCACAAAAATGACATTTTTGCATGTTTCCCGTCTGCTAATCACACAAATTAATTATGAAAATGATAAACAAATTCAATACTTACAATCTGATGAAAGAATCGCTGTCCTTGGATATTTCGTTCGCCCGCTAGACACCTAAAACAACCAAAATTAAGCAGATTATAGCACAAAATTACATTTTGCATGTTTTCCGTGTGCTAATCACACAAATTAATTATGAAAATGATAAACAAATTCAATACTTACTATCTGAAAGAATTGTTGTTCTAGGACATTTCATTCGCGCACAATCGAAAGAGCATTTAGAAACTGTACGTAATAACGTGACTAAAAATTAAGGAACTCAAAATATTGTAAAGAAAATGTGCGTTTTGATCACCTGACGCCAAAAATGAAACTAACGTGGTACGCAAGCCAACAGCGTGGTGACCTCACAAAACTGCAGGAGATAGAGGAACTTATTTTATGTAAACACTGATACTTTCAGTGTGGTAGTGCAGAACATAAAAAGATTTGTACTCGTACTATGCATGGAACTATTAATTTTTATTAAATTCTTAATCGGATACTGATAGATATAGAATTTAATTCTACATCGTTTATTTTAGGAACTAGGTAACATTAACCGTTTAGACCCTATATTTATAATTTTAGAGTAAAATGCATTCGTTTTTCGTAGACCTTTTTGTTCTTGACATAATTGCCAAAAAATTCGACCCTGTTCTTCGACTGAAAAAATTTAAGTTGAAAAGTTCGATCCTGTTTTTCGACCAAAAAAATTTTAACAAATAAAAATCGACCAAAAATTTGTAAGTAAAAAAGTTCGATCCTATCTTTTGGCCGAAAAACTTTTAACAAAAAAAATCGACCGAAAAACTTTTAACAAAAAAAAATTCAACCAAAAAAACTTTTAACAAAAAAATTCAACCGACAATATTTTAACAAAAAATAATTTTTTCGACCGAAAAGGATTTATTAAAAAAGTTCGACCCTGTTATTCGGCCAAAAAATGAAATTTATTGGACAAAAATAGGATATTCGAATGGGATTTTAAGACACTTGCAAAAGGTTTATAGGGTTAAAATGGTATGCATAGTGTAAAGGGTCTCTCGAACTTTAACATGCGTGAAGAAACTTCAAGAAAATCAATTAGTTCACGTGACACAAGGTGTTTTCAACACCATTTTTTCAAAATTTTCTAAAATTGTTCATTTTTGAAGAGCATTTTAAGGTACTTCCGAAAGAGCTGGAAGGTTGAAGAGGTATGCATCGTATAGACAAACTCCCTGACTCTATTCTGGCGTAGAGAAACTCCAAGAAAGTCAATTAGTTTCGGAGATACAGGGTGTTTTTTATCTTATCTTTTCAAATTTTCCTAAAAATGCTGAATTTTTAAAGACATTTTAAGGCACTTCCGGAAGGGCTAGAAGATTGAAAGGATATTCATCGTGTAGAGGAACTCTCTAACTCTGTTCTGGGGTGGAGAAACTCTAAGAAAGTCAATTAGTTCCCGAGATACAGAGTGTTTTCCACACCATGTTTTCAAGTTTTCCTAAAATTGCTCATTTTTGAAGATCATTTTAAGGCACTATCAGAAAGGTTGAGAGGTTGGAGGGTACGCATCTTGTAGAGGAACTTTCTAACTCTATTCTAGCGCAAAGAAACTCTAAGCAAGTCAATTAGTTCACTAGATACAGAGTGCTTTCCACACCATGTTTTTATAACGCTTCTTGAAACGGCTACTCTTTGATATTAAAAATAATGATAAACCTAGATACAACTATCGAAATAAAAACAGATGTATCTGCAGACACGCGAGTGAAGAACGCGGATTTGCCACCGTATCAGCTGACAAACTTTTCTTTAAAGTTTTTTATGCGATCAAATATCTACCACTTTTGAACAATAATGTACATTAAAATAATAAATAAAGAATTAATAACATCACTATAATAGTATTTATTTACAAATTTAGAAAGCAGAAGTCCGAACAAACCATACGAGTGGGTCAAAACACATCCGGATCAACCAGCGACCGGCACGAAACTGGCTGCAAACCACCAATAATTGCGGGAAAACTATGAGTTCAAGAGTAAAATTTTACTAAAATAAAATACTCAGGAGGACTTTCTATAACAACATCCGAAATAAATACTTTAAATTTGCATATTTAAATTTTCTGTGGAAAATGTGACCTCACATTTGATTAATTACAGGAAAACTATGAGTCCACGAGTAAAATTTTACTAAAATAAAATACTCAGGAGGACTTTCTATAACAACATCCGAAATAAATACTTTAAACTTACATATTTAAATTTTCTGTGGAAAATGTGACCTCACATTTGATTAATTACAGGAAAACTATGAGTCCACGAGTAAAATTTTATTAAAATGAAATGCTTAAGAGGACTTTTTATGGCAACATTCAGAATAAAAACATTAAATTTTCAAATTTAATTTTTCTGTGCAAAATGTGTTTACATTTTATCAAATTGCGAGAAAACTATTAGTTCAAGAGTAAAATTTTACTAAAATAAAATGCCCAGGAGGACTTTTTACTGCAAAATTCAAAATAAAACTTCAAATTTTCAAATTTAATTTTTCTCCGGAAAATGGAAGTTCGCATTTAGTCAAATTACGGAAAAACTATGAGTCCTAGAGTAAAATTTTACTATGATAAAGTGTTCAGAGCAACGTTTTTTTTTTAATTAAACGTCGCTCTGAACATCTGTAATAAAAAAGTTTGAATTTCCATTTTCAAATTTTCTGCGGAAAGCTTAACCGAAATTTCCACAAAAAGAAGTTTAAGATATTCATTCTCTAATTGCAGGAAAACCGTAAAATCGAAAAATAGATGCTATGAACAATGAAAAATTTCACTCACCAGCGTATCGAACACCGTAAATCAAATACAAGTAGATACTGAAATAAACAAGAAACAAAACATTAGTTATACAATTTCGGACAATGTTGAAATAAATCCGAGTTCCGGAGAAACCCAAACTTTGCCTTAAAAATTGTCTTATTTGCCATAATTATTTAAATAATAATATTTAGGACCAGGTAGATTAGCCGCCCGACATGTTCTGCTGAAGACAAAAATGGTTCACACCACTCCAAAATATTATCTACTATCACACAACATGGCCGACTGGCGTCCGACGGCAGTCGATCCCTGATACACGCGAAACTGTATTAAAAACATAAAACATTGAATTCCGAAGATTACAACGCGATAAATATTTAGCGATTAAAACCCGTCTGCTAACACTAAATTCCAGCAAATATAACGCGATATAACGAATTTACAACACGAAACACGAATACCCATTTAAGTATTATTACCTATCGCACGAAGTAAGAGTTGCATGCCGGCTACACAGCAACTGGGCACGCCGACTTTCACTCGCAGGAATATTTTTAGCTAAAACATGCATTATTGCGCCATCTGAGGTTTCTTTTGAATACCTCAAGAAAATACCAACTGTATCAAAAAGTGTGGCGTGCTTATGAGGCAGTGAGTGATTGGCTATGAGTCAGTGTATGGTCACGCACTTAAATGGCAGTGCCCGTGTGTCACACGTACACGCAACTGCGCATGCACCACCCTATCTAAACTAGTAGCAATTTTTACACATGAACTTCAAATGTACTTGTCGCTAGACTATATAAATTCAAAATAAATGAACAAAATTTTGAAATTTTAATGCAAATATTCATCAATTTAGCAATAAATTAGTCAATAAAAGTATAGCTTTGTCATAAAATCACATATTTTCTTTAAAATTGCTTCAAATCTCTTCAAAAACTACAAAAAAAGCGTAAAAACATACCAATATCATTTTTGTTAATAAAAATCGTCTAAATATTCAATAATTCATATTATTTTCCTTCGGAAACGACCTCTATTTGTAGGGTGCCCTGAATCAAGTCACTTCTACCGCTACCTTCATACGGTGCCCAACACACGAGTCACTTCTACCTCTAACAAATACAACCCGACGGAGAATTTAATTCTGCATCTTTCGAAGCCGCGCTAAAGTTACTGAAACCCGTAAAAAAACCAATATTTCTCGAAAAAGGCGACAAACCGATAAATCACCTTTTTATGCAAAATTTTCGCGGGTTGCAGGTCGCATTCCTGAACAGACAAGTACAACCCGACGAAGAATTTAATTCTTCATCTCTAGATACTCAGCTAGATATTCAGCGCGGCGGAAGCGATAGGAAATTAAATTGTGTACAAAACAAACACAATTCTCGTGAATGATGGTGAAGAAGTCGATAAAATTATGGATAAAAGTTGATTTTTCTGAGGGATAATAATATTTAATGTAAAATAATTGTAAAAGCTCCGAAGTGTTAAATTTTTAATGTAATATAAATTGTCATGTTTGTGTACGATGGAGCAATAAATGAATATTGTACTTTACCACATAAATGATACAATTTTTATACTGAAAAATAAAGCATTTATTGTGAAATTACTCCCTAACCATTCCTAAATATTCAAAAATGTTTTCAAGTTTTCACTTCCAGTAATTTAACAGTAAACTTGAATAAAGTTTTTTTTAATGTAGTGCTTGCTATCGACAGTAGGTGGAACTAGTAGATGGAACTGCACCTTGCGTGAAATACTCGAAACAAAATCGATCATATGACTTCGTCCCGAGTTGTAGGTCGCCTGACCAGCTGAACGAAACGCTCCAGTTTGTGCTTGCCTTTTCATCACTCCAGCTTAAAAGTTCATAAAATAATCGGCAATAATGGCTAGTCAAACTCAAGGCATTCAACAACTCTTGGCCGCGGAAAAACGTGCTGCTGAGAAAGTCTCAGAAGCCCGCAAACGTAAGTATTTAAAAGTTTCGTTTTGATAATGGGTGTTTTCCATCACAAGCTACAAGTCACAAGATCACTAACTTCATATGCATGTAATTATTTTAATCCAGGCAAAGCGAGAAGGCTCAAGCAGGCCAAGGAAGAAGCTCAGGATGAGATCGAGAAATACCGTACCGAGCGCGAGCGTCAATTCCGCGACTTTGAGGCCAAGCACATGGGCTCCAGGGAGGATGTTGCTGCCAAGATTGAGCAGGATACTAAACATCGTATTGAAGAGATGAATAAAGCCATCATAAGCCAGAAGGAACCTGTATGTTTTTCTGCTTTATTTTTTGGCTGTCTTAATAATTTGTATTCATTTCTTCTTTCAGGTCATGAGGGAGGTTCTTCAGTTGGTGTATGATATCAGGCCAGAAATGCACAAGAACTACCGCGTTTAAGTGCATAGGTGCACAGCCAGTTTAACTTAATACAAGTTGGATATGTACTCAAAAATTTCCTGTTATTCTATTAGATGTTATAATCATTCCACTTATTTTGCAATGTGCAATTAATGTCCAAAAATAACTTGCTAAATATGTCACAAAGTTGTACAGTATTCTGTAGAGATCCTATAAAGTAGAAAAATAAACAGATTTGATGTTATTTACCTTTTTTACGCAACACTTTTATTTTCACAATGAAAATGATCAATGACCTTTTCGCATTAGCTTCCAACAAATATGCGTCACATTCGCATCTCCGCCAGAGGGCGCAAGTGAGGCAATATGTTTACTAATCCGTCAAATGCTGTATATGTTTGTTGATTAACAAGTTGTGAACAAGTTCTTCGGTGTTTTGAAGTAATTTTCACCTCAATTGTTTGAATCAACGTTTGAAACTGTAAGTGACACATTTCTAATCTTGTTGAAAATACAATTTAACGTGGTTTATTATATTATAATGCTAAATTTTAATGATTTCAGGCGGAATCTACGTATAACCTTAAAAAAATGGCATCAATTCAAGAACGCTTACAAAGAAAGCGTGAACCACTGGATAAATGGTCTATAAGAGAACAATTATGCCTATCATTTGCTGTGGCGAAGGTAGGCGACCAGAACTGGATGTCCGTCTGCAGAAGTCTGAAACCTTTTGGTGAGGGCAGACCTGCTGATTGGTTCCACCAGAAAAATTGTGCTGCACAGTATGGAGCCTTGCTTGAAAACATTGATACACCAAAAAGGAAGAAAAGAAGCTCAGGTGTGGAGGCTTTGGAATCACCAGCAGATATCATTTTAAAGAAGCTCATTCAAGAAAGGATGCTTGAAATGAAGAAACTCATGGAACAAGAGAAGGCAGAATATAAAAAGTTGCAGGAAGAGATGACTTTACTCAGGAATGGTAAGTTATTCTATTAAAATTAAAAGTATGCGCTTTTAATACTTGTATAATTATTTAGGAAGTATAACAGAAGAACAACTTGACCAAATGTGCCAAGAAATTGATGAAGAAGTAGCTCAGAAAGAAAAAGAAGATATTGCACATGCACAATGGCTGAATGAACGCGAGAAACGCAAAGAGGAAATCGAACGGGCTTGGAGGCCTACATTAAAAATGCCGATGACGATGACACAAGCCGGTCAAAAACGAAAAGCGTCGGATTCCATTGATTCAATGCTGCATGGCGATAATGAGGGAGAAGCAAAACCAACGCCTGAAACACCAACAAAACCTGCACTTTCTCCGTTATTAACAAGCTTGTTAAAATCGCCGTCACATTCACAAAATGTTGCGACATCATCAATACTACATTCCGCTATTACCAGTAATCAACGGCCAGTTAACTCCAGCACGAATCCTACCATCGCTAGCCTGCTGTCTTCATCAGCGTCAGTTCAGGTATCACCTGGAATTCAGCAGTTGGTAAGCACTGCCATTGCTCAAGAGCCCTCACAGCAACAGTCACAGAAAGATACAATTTCCGAATTGTTAGACAATGCAAACGATTTTCCAAATTTAGTAGAAGACATTGAAAACACAATATTGCAAGTAGGCGATGGTGATCTGCCCGAAATCAAAAACGAAGAAGTTGATGTGATTATTAGTGATCTGATTGAGAATGCGGACATTGTGAATGATCCGGAAACTGATTTATTAGATGGCGATGATATTATCAGCAACTTGGAGAGTGAGTTGGAAGAGTTGGATAATAAGGAAAAAGCGGAGAAGGCTGAGTTGGAAGCAGAAAAACAAAAGCAACAAGTGCAACAGGCGAAAACCGTTGATACCAAGCCGCCTGTGAAGGAACCCGAGATTGATCCATTTGAATTCCAAGAGGATCCGGAGTTTGAGGTGAAACTGTCGAGGAGTACAAGTAACAGTGTGCAGACTGTAGTCACTTCAACATCAAACAACTCCGAAGTGCCGGTTGATTCTCCTTCGATTGAGTCATCAGCAAGTGAAGAGGTGACTACTGAGCCATTCGAAGAGGATAGTAGCAGCGTTGGAACTGGGGTGGCCGTTGAAGAAACAACGAAAGAAGTAGTTGAAGTAAAACAGGAAAATCCAGAAACAGTGGGTGGAAGTGTAGAAATTGTTGAAGTGGTTGTAATGGACGATGAAGATATCAGCAAAGATCTAGACAAAACTCAGATTGAAGACATTGTCCATTCATCAACAATCACATCTACAAGTACAACAAAAGCAATTGATGTTACAGCCGATTTAGCAATAAAAGAAGAACCTGTTGAAACGCCAGAAAAAACTGAAGATAAAGTTCCGGATACTGAAGCGGATGAAGTTAATACTGAATCTACGAATAAAAATCAAACTGTTGAAGTTGAGGATCTTCCTCTTGAAAAATCATCAGACCAGAGTTTGGAATCGTCTGAAGTTTTATCGGAGAATGAGTTGAAGAAAGAGACACCCGATCCAGAACTGAAAGTAACACGCGACACATTCACTCCTGATTATAGAGAGGATATTTATGACGAGAATATTGAAGTCACGAAGATAGACAAAACGAAAGCAAAGCGAGATTATTCGCGAACGAAGAAAAAGGACGAGTCTGATTTTGATATTCTGTTGGCAGTGGAACAAGCCGTGAATGCAAATATAGAGGAAGAGGTTGACAGTTCATCCGAACAAGAAGAACCAAAGAAACCAGCGGCATTATTAAAAGTCAAGACTGAAAATGAAACTTCAAATAGTCCTTGGACTGAAGAAGAACCCGAAGTTGAACCAGAACAAGAACAAGAGCAGGATACAAGACCCAATACTAGACGATACTCAACACCAGCCACACCAATTGATTCCGTTCCAAATTCACCTGCAAGTTCGTACTTTGAAGACGATAGAGATTATCGTAGTTGGAAGAAGTCGCTGATGCTGGTTTACAGTAGATTGTCAAATCATAAGTACGCATCGTTGTTTCAAAAGCCAATCACCAACGAGCAGGTCCCTGGTTATCATAAACTTGTTAAGCGCGCGATTGATTTGAGTACGATCAAAAAGAATATTGAATCGGGGGTTACTCGAACCACAGCGGAATTTAAACGTGATCTATTGTTGATGTTTAACAATGCTATCATGTATAACAAGACTAATGATACGGTGTATAACATGACGATGGACATTCAGCAGGAGGCGGTCGAACAAATAAAGATTTTGTTGCAAGCGCAGACGGATACATCTGCGCCGGCGCGCAGGGAGACGCGTACAAGCGAAGGTCCTGGAAGCAAACGCAAGCGGGACTCGGAGAGTATACAAATGCAAGTGAAGAGTAAAAAGCGGAAAGACGATTAGTTTAGTTTCTAATTCTATTTATGTTTTGTAAGTATTGTATGATTAGTTTCTTTACGTCTTTGGCGTATCCTAATTGTCTACACTATTAATATTAAAATTTGAATTTATGTGATGATTATAGTAAAACTTTAACAACAAAAAATGGCTGCTGCAATTTTATGAGTCCACACCGTCACGATGTAAACAGCCAACGATCAAACCAGTAATATCAGTTTCTATGATATACATTTCTAATTATACCAATAACGTTGTTCTGCTCCAAGATACAACAATATAAATTAAAGTTTTTTTGAAATTGCTATTACCTCCGAACTTCAAGGCCGCACCATTGCGGGACCGTCTTTGTTGTGAAATGACAAAATGACCATTTACGGTTGACATGTCGCGTGTAATTTCCATGATTTGCGACCACAAACTACACGTTTAAAACGCTGGGTTTAAAGTACGTACATTAAAACTGCGTGAGTTTTTAATGAAAACAAAATTTATTATTGTATAAAAAAATGTATCGCCATCGGAGGGACAATTTCGTTTAAATTGTTTAGATATTTAGATCTTGATGCCTTCCTTGGCAGCTTGCTCTTGGTACTTCTTCTTGTAGGTGCCTGTGGGGTCGTATTTGGCTTCCAACTGCTTCCACCATTCCTGTTCGTTGTCGATCAGATGGTGCAAGACCACACGGCTGCCGTCCTTCTGTGTCTGGCTGCACTTGCTGCACTCATTCTCGATGGCATCGGGCAGGTTCTCTAAAAAAGTGCATTTGCAAATGAAGCCTCTTCAAGGTGATGTATATTTCCAGTCGACCTCGGGGGTTATTTCCGATGTGCGACAAATTTATTCAATTTATTAACTTACTCTTGAGTTCAGCGCCGTCGGGACTGCAGTTGCCCTTATCCAACAGACAGTTGACGTAGTTCTTGAGCAGACGCTTGTTCTTGAGGATCTCCTGCAAGTCGACGTTGTCGTACTTGGTGGTGTACTTCTCATCAGGAGCGGGGGCGGCATGCGCCACAATCGCAACTGCGGCGAAAAGAGCGAGAACACAGAGACCCTTCATGTTGTTGCTAATTTTACACTTGTTGAAATGTGTGAAGTCTTCTAATCACGCAGGTGCTTTTATACCGAGCGCGGAGATGCCGCCGTGCGAGAGTGGGGCCCATGCGAAATGCGTCACTCATTATATCGTTCCAACGACGAAAAAAAAACGTAATTAATTATATTGAAGTGGTCGCATCCACGAGGCGTGCAAAAACCAGCAATGTGGACTTCCATGTCATGTTTAGAAAAAGGTGCCCAATTCAAAACGCGGGCAATAAATAAAATTAATGCAAATAAAAATCGTCTATAATTTTTTATGTATTGCCATGTTATTGAATGGAAATTTAATAACAAACTTCACATTTAATTATTTACAGACGTAAATTGGTCGCTGACGGAGGCAGACACAAAGCGCCGATTAGTTTAAGTGCGTTTCCTCGTAAAGGCAAAACCGCAATATGAGCTTAAATAAATTTGTCATGGATGTTAGGAGACAAATATTTGATTGTTACTTCACATCTAATAGTCATGGCGTGATGTCCACGCATTCAATGTTTTAATAATTCTGCGAACAATTTTCTTACTAATTACATATTTAATATTAATTACACGTGATTGTTGGATATTGATTAGCTTTGAAAAGTATGCATTGTTTGTACGAGGCCAAGGCAAAACGCAAGCAACAATAACAACAAAACTGAATGATTAAAGTCGAAGATGTGACAATGTGAAAATTTAAAGTGTAAATATTTATCAGACGTGGAAATTTTCTTAAATCACAGTCTGACCTTTTAAATTAGATGCATTTCTGGGTATTCGTTTATTTAATTAATTTATTGCGAATAATTAATACTCATTATCATTTTAAAAGTATAGAAACCTTGGGAAAACGTTGATATCCAATAAATGAAATACACACCGTGGTCACTCGACTGACACCCGCCTAGGCAATGTTTTTAATTTACGATTGTTGTATTAATCAACTCGATTATAATCCATTTATTAACGCCTTGCACCATTATGTAATTCAGCTAGGCGCGCAAATCGATTTCAGCGTTGTAAAATCAGCAATGCTGCTCGCATGCTCATAATCACCTGCTCATGTTCACGTCCGCGCCGCACACTTAATTGTGAAATTAAAAACTAAATATTTGATTTCAATCTTTTAAACTAAATATTTGCTTCAAAGGTCACGTGTTTAAAAAGCATTTGCTTGTAAACGATTGCATGATAAATCATTTATTTACACATGCGATTTATTCCGAAAATATGGAATTCTTTTTAGTTTTTTAGTTGCACATGTGAAACGTGAAGGACTTGTAGGTATTTAGTTTCGATGAGTTTTAATAGACTTATTTAATATTTGTTTACTGTTTTATCTTTTCTATTGCTATGATTAAAATTAATGAAAACATTAATGTCGATCATGACCCAATGGCATAAGTTTTTGTAAAGCGGCACAAGTGTGTCCGTGTGGAACGGCTACATTGAGAAACTTGCGAACCATACAAACTGACCCTAGCAATGGTTCACTTACCGCCGGAATAGTTGCAGCGTAACGATAAACAAGCGAAAATGAAAGGAAACAAACACTATTGATCACCCCAAGGTTATTATATTAATATTGCTTAGGTAGCTTTGATATTCTTTTATGTACACAAGGCATTAAAGTTGTGCTTTATATTGCATACAATACTGGCACAGCTCTATCGGGACGAAAGATGTAGAAAAGTCGATTATGTGCAGCTTCTTAAAAGGTTTCACTTAAAAACATTCTTTTCACTGAACCATTATTTTTTGACAATTTGTAAGTTTAAATTTCAAGTAATATATTGTAAATAGGTAGGGTAGACTGGGTACGGTTGTACCATTTTTTAGATTTTTGCCTGTAGGCTTAATAGGATTTTACTTAGCCCAATGGTACTTGTCATAGTTTAATGCCTAATCATCTGGCTACGTTTTGCCCATATTTTTAATCCCTCAAGGTTACAAGTACCTTCATAAATCTAAATTTTGTTGTGGGTGAGAAATGGTACAACCGACCTCAGACCTCAGGACGGTTGTACCAGGGGGTGGGGTCGATTGTACCATACAGAAATAAAACTTATTTATTACAATAAACGTATTTATTACAATAAAGAAAACACTTTTAAAATTATACTTAAATGTCCTGCTATGTGTGCAACAATAAAATTAGTTTGAATCACAATTATTGCATACGTAGCTGGGTTCTCCGTCAGTGCATTGCTCATGAGCCCAGTTCTTACACTCAATATACACTCATAGGCATTGATATAAGCGCTATCATCATGTTGGCCTTTTCCTGTTTTGCGAATACGTACTCGTGGCATCTAATATAAAGCAAACGTTTTACGTTTAGAAAGAAAAAGAAATTTTACTTTAAAATAATACAAGGCATGGGGTCGTTTATACCGGTACAACTGTCCCCATATTATTTGGTACAACCGTCCCCATGTGGACATTTTCCAAATTATATTTAATAATAAAAAAAATAATAGAGATACAAGAATTTGATTAACATACCTTTATTCTTCAAAAACCATTTATTTTCAATAAACACACACGTATAATATAACACGCAAGACAAGATTTAAAAACTAAAAACAATTCATCATCAAATATTTACTTTTGATCTCAAAAAATCAAAAACACGTCCTACACGCGAGTAACTGGCTTTGTGTGACTCAACTTACAACTTACATACTTCAACTTGTATGCGGCTACTATCACTCCTTGAACGCATAGGGCTGTGCTCAACTGTTCACGAGATATTTGCTTTGGTACTACCGCCCCCCTGGTACTACCGTACCCAGTCTACCCTACAAAGTACAATGAATAGGCAGTAAATAAAATAATTCTGATGTTTGTAATTATTTTATAATATTCACATTGTGTTTTCCATCAGGCAACGACCTGAATTATCCTGCAATTTTCTGATATACATCTTATCTAATCCAATGACCAATACGGGCTTATCAAGTAATGTTATTGTGATAGCTTTATTATTAAATATTAACTATGACCGGATAAAGTGTTTACCTATTATTATTATATCTTCTAATGATATGCTGATGACAAAAGTATAAAAAGGGTCCAACCACGGGTCCAACCATATCAGTAGTATTTACAACATTGAACAGTATTGATAAACAAAAAAATAAAAATGTGTAATATCTCAAAGAGTATCGTTCTCCTATGTGCATTTGCAAGTGTAGCAGTTCTTAATGTGTCTGCGAAGCCAGCCGACGACAAATACACCACTAAGTACGATAACACCGATGTGGACGCCATCTTGAAAAGCAAGCGTTTGTTGAACAACTACATTAATTGTTTGTTGGATAAAGGAAGCTGCAACCCAGACGCTGCCGAACTTAAAAGTATGTTTATTACTCTGTTACGTTTTACTTTTTGTTTATGTTGACCAGACGATGAAAGATAGTTGTTGTTGGCTTCTCAGAACGGTATTTTATTATGATCTATAAACATGGTTACTTCTTACGTCATTTGTTTTTTATAAATCGTTCCGATTTTATCATTCAGGTAACATGAAAGTATAAAAACTAGTTGCTCCCCAGTTTTAAAACCTTTTCATCATTAATTTAGTGTATATTATAACCCTAGAGCAATAAAATGTCAGTCAATCACAAAACAAGACAATCATAGAGTAATAAGAGTTCAAAACTTGAGTTCAGTTTCGTATGCGTCAATTAAATACTCTGTAATCACTAAATATCATTTTTCTTCTTTTTTTTTGAATAGAAAATCTACGTGAAGCATTGGAAACTGATTGTATAAAATGCAACGACCTACAGAAGAAACGCGCCTATCAAGTGATCATCCATCTACACGAGAATGAACCGGCGATTCTGAAGGAGCTCAAAGCCAAGTACGACCCAAGCGGTGACTTCGAACGTCGCTTGTGCAAGAGATTGGAAGCAGGTGAAATCGACTCACCGCATCGATGCGCTGCTGAATAAAACCGTCTCACACAGAATGCATACATGTTTATAATGTAAGCTAACTCGTTGTTGTTCATCCGAAGATAAAAATCTTGTTTTTACCACATATACACACATAAATGTGTTGTTCGGCCATGTGATGCCGTTGCACTTTTGGTGCACACCTTGAATACACCTACATGATTCCCTCCAGAGTGGAAGATCCATCCAAATCCTCCGAGTTGACCAGTGACAAGATATATAAAGGGACGATTTCTTTTCTAAAAGAAGATTTCAAAATGTTTGCTTGTAAGTCAGCAGTGATTGTGTTATTGTGCGTTGTTCTGGCGCTAGTGCAAGGGCAGAAATCATCGTCACGGTTTGACAACGTTGATGTAGATGCAGTATTGAGCAATAAAAGATTACTGAAAAATTATGTTGATTGTTTACTGGGGACGCGTGTTTGTACACCGGAAGGTGCCGAAGTCAAACGTAGTGTTAATTATCTTATTGCATACACAAAATTAAATATTTTACATTTTAGGACTTTTACCTCAATCCATAAAATCTGAATGTGCCGATTGTACCCCGAAACAAAAAGAGAACTCAAAGAAGGTCCTCAATTACTTCCTCAACACCGACGCGGATTACTGGGAGCGATTGGAGAAACTCTACGATCCGACTGGTGAATACAAAAAACGATCCTGTGAACGCGCCAGACGTGATGGTTTGGCAACAGCAAAACGCTGCAAATAATTCGAACGTCGATAAAAATAATTTACAAGTTGCACGCGCTGCGAATTCAAATTGATCAATATGACGGTGTAATTAAAACTTGACGCAATTACGAATAAACTCAAATAAATGCAATCAAATTGCCAATTATTAAATTACTCACATTAATTTTTTGTGTGTTTTTTCTGTGTAATTATTGTTTATGCTTCGCTGACGACGCGTCGATAGAGTCGATTTGTTTCGATCAAATCAATCAAAACTGAGTCACATTGTGAGCAGAATTTTGTGGACGTAGTATATAATTACAGGTTTAAATTCTCATGTTGTGTAACTCTTCCATGCGGAAATTATGGTACACGATGCGAACCGCAGACAAAACAAGTGTAACAACTGTAACACAACGAGTTTTCGAGGATTTCTGTTGTTTACTGTGCCTCTTGAGACGAGCACCAGCTTTGGTTCGTGTTCGAAGATGTTTGTCTCTGCTCGAGTAGTTACACAGCAGCTTGTTTCATTTAACGATTCAATGCAGTGGTCCTTGACATGCAGCGAGGACATGTCGAACGTAAATTTAACTTCAACTTCTCCGAACAGCATTCGCTGCGTGCCTTTATTAAATTATCACAAATATCGTAAATGTAAATGCATATGATTTTTAACCAAATATAATAATACAGAGTAGAATTTTGAATTTTGCATATTTGATTAGGGCAAGACCTAAAGCAAGTTCAAATTTTATTTTAATTTTTTTTTTTAATTTTATATTTTTTGCTACAGAAAAAGCGCAGTTAAGTTCTAAAACGTTTTATTTGCGTTTAGAATGATGGAAATGAATGTTATCTGACTCACCGAATTTAATTATGCAAATAATATAACGTGCGTGTGCAATGTTCATTATATTTACAAGTATTATATGCGCTGTTTTTCCTCCGTATCGATTGCAGATCGTGTTTCCTTTCCTCAATCATCAAGATGCAAAAGCCTAATTTACTTCAAGAATTACTGATCAAGGTTACCGCAGGATCAGTAACGTCGATCTGTTGTAATAATTGTTATAATTTATGTGTTTTTGCAAAATCCATTACGTCTATTATATTACTAGAAAAAAGTTTGTTGCTGGAAGCATTTTTCGGAAAAATAATCCACACCTATTCAGAAAATAATCAATTCAATGCACATTCACGTAAGTTACTTTATTAGATCTTATGACAAAAGTTAATGCATGCTAAAGTGTAATTTATAAGGTAATTTAACAAACATAACATGTTTGTAAATGTTTCATAATTGGTTATAATTATATACTATTCAATGTAACTGGTGGAGACATCTATATTTCACTTGTATAAACCACCAAGTTTAAAGCTATTCAATTGCAAATCTCTGTTTACTAATTTTAGAAGTGTGACTGCAGATGGCATACATAAAAATTGTTTAGTTGGTTGCTGATGATTAACATTTATTTTGTTTTACAGTTGAGTTATTGAACTGAAAACAAAATGTACGAAATGTATCAAGGTGACTTCTTACTGTTATTGATTTCCTGTTGCTCTCGAGTTGGGTTTTATACAACAGGTTACTTGAGTTATTAAGTTATAACACGGTCGTAAAATGCCAATATTTATTAATGACAATGACTTGGCATGTGTGTATTTGGAGTTCTTTAAATTAGCATAACTTTTTGTGCCCAAGCATGTCCCGGCGCGTCATTCCAAGAAAGTCTTATTTATAACAATGCTATGCAACTTGATTGCAAACAATAAATTGTATTTCAATGATTTATAAAATTTCTCTCTTTTTTATATAATTGACTTATTATATTACTCTTGCATATTTCAAACAAATTGCATTTGATGACATCTGTTTCGAAGAATAATATTATCATCGCTATTTTTATTATTATTTATTGAATAATACTATAATGGAGCAAGATAATTCTTTAATAACTTCCTCTCAATTGCACGTCATTGAATGCAATTGCAATGAAAATGTGATATAAAAACAATAGCTCGTGGAAAAACCATGTGTATTTTCCAGATCGCTACCAGAGGAAAACTGATCTTCTTGTCCGGCATTGTTTTATTCGTTAACGTGACCATGGTGCGTTTAATATTGCTTTTCGGGCTGGTGATAGCCGCACAATGCACTGTGTCAAAAGAGAAAACCTACACCACGAAATACGACAACGTCGATCTTGACGACATCCTCAAGAACGAGCGTTTGCTCAAGAGCTATGTCGATTGTCTCTTGGAGAAAGGCACTTGCACACCAGACGGATTAGAATTGAGAAGTAAATAACTTAATACAAATATTTGTGTGAATTATAACTGAATTATTATAGAGAACATGCCGGATGCGATTGAGACAGATTGCAGCAAATGCAGTGAGAAACAAAAGGAAGGCTCGGATAAAATTATTCGATTTTTAATTGACAACAAACCGGAACTGTGGAGTCCTCTGCAAGAGAAATACGATCCGACCGGAAGTTACAAAACAAGATATTTGGAAAACAAAAGCGATGTTGCATCGGAACCAATCTTGTAAAACTTGTTTAAAATGTATCAAAATAATTCATGTTACTAAATAGAAAAATAACAATTTATCCCTAATAACGCACGAATTGACTCTGCCAGTCCACCTTGAAATTTGTATCGCATGAAAGTTTATGGAATAGTACAATTTTCTCATTTCACGTTGATGTGTCTCATAGACTGGTCCAAAACAGTACGCAAACATGATTCCAAACAAATCATCACTTCTAATTGTGATACTTTGTTTCTATTGTGTTAAATCCAGTGTTTTTAAGAGAGCCATAACGACGTACGACACAACATATGATAATATCGATGTAAAACGCATCGTTGAGAGCAAGAGGTTGCTGTTAAATTATGCAAATTGTTTGTTGGATAAAGGTCCATGCACTCCAGAGGGCAATATGTTGAAGAGTAAGTTATTTGCATATCACCATACCAAGCAAACAAAAGAAGACATATTATTTGATGATACAGGCAACACTTACAGTTGACACTTTTCTCGCATCTTTATTGATATGTTTGCGTTGAAATTTTAGCGTATCTACCTGACGCGATGCAGACAAATTGTGCGAAATGTACGGACAAGCAAAAAGAAATCAGCGGGACGATCATTGGACATTTGGTGCATAATTATAAAGACTTGTACGAACAGCTTTTGCAAAAGTACGATCCGGATGGCAGCTTTAGACGACAAATGGAAGGCGGTGGTGAGGACGATGAAGATGAAGATGACGAACAAAACAAATAAAAACTATGAATCAGGTTAGCATGCGTCAATTTACATTTGGACACCCACTCTGACATTTTAAGTACTCTGTTAGCTTTGTTTTTAAATTTATGTAGTGATAAAAATGCGAAAACAAAGTTTTATGGGTACAACGTTGAATTAATTATATGTAATTGATTTAATTATTTGTAATTATATGTATTATATTGTACCATTGACGCTTTCGTGAAAATGTGTTTACTTATAACACTTATACTTTATTAGTTTTTAAGCGACATCGCCTTTTATGTAATTTATGCGTTTACCTCATTTACCTCATTAAATGCATGGTGATCGGATCACGCTCACGATACAGTGTAATAATGTAGTAACAATATGCACGAATCTTCAATCACACACCTGCTTATTAAATAATTTTAATTTGAGGTCAATTATTGAAAAATTTACATTTAAAGTTGTCATTAGCACTATCATTAACTCATTCAAAGACTACAACACTCTAAAGTAATAGTATCACATATATTGAATGTATCAAATAAAAAATTTTAACTTTAAATTATCAAAAAGTGTGTTATTCGCATAATAACATAATTTAGTTTTTGTTACATAGGCGACTTGGCTAAGTCAGAGTTTTTCTTTAGCACTTGTTTAATTCAAACAAGTGAACGAACGGAAATTTGATCAATTTGAATTCTTATCCACATAACCTTGTTTTTAAACTAGCGAACTAATAGCGACTAATACGTTGTGCAAAGGTGTGTAATGGTATATCTTATTCAAACATACATGAATAGAATTTCATACATGAAACTAAGTAATACTTGCTGAAAACTTCATTCCCCAGCAGCTGGACTTTAATAATGTTTTAAAGCAATTTACCTATAGTTGATTTATAATTAAATGGATTTACTTCCGGAATCAAAATCCTTAATTAGAAATGCTAATGATAATGCCAGAGATTCACCATTATAGAATATTAATGAATTAACATTGACATTTCCGACATGCGTGTAATTATTTACATGTTTTACGATTTTCTCATAAATGGGGGATGTCCCGAATTATTAATGCAAGTGAAAACAGTTGTTTAAATTTAATAGCATTCAATTTCCTTAGGCTTTCCTAAAGAAAACATTAACCTATACTTTTACAGAGTGCGTTGTTTATGAGATGCATGATTTTACACAAGGACTTTACTCAAGGAAATTAACTATCTTTTAAGGTAGGCAATTATTTTCTTAATATGAGCATATGAAAATAAATATAATAAAAATAACACGTTTTTTTTAAGCGCGAGATAATTAGAAAGTATTGTTTTATTTACTTTGAACGAAAATCAATTTATTTTTTAGTTGCGGAATTGAAGCTATCATTGTGATTTAAAATCAAAACCGAATTTTGGTTTTGTTTTAATCTCAGTTTCGTTCAAAACCGAAACTTCTACAAATCGTCATGTTTTATTACTGGAAATAAATCGCTTATAATAATCGTAATTACCTATTACTTAATATTTTATTATGTTGGAATATTTAAAATACTTTTTGTTCGGCGTAAAAATAATTAAACCACTTAAGTCACGTCTTTGGCCGTACGTGACTAAAATGACACTTTTTGGGTCACGAAATCGTGGATAAAGTGGCGCTTTAATGGTGGGCGTAGAAAATATACTATTGTTGTATTGTTGTAGCGTAGGAATCGCTATACTCGTAGATATTAATATTTGCACGTGGCGCAGTCAGTAATTTACTAAATTGTACACAAAATGTTTTTAACAGCAACAATTGAATAATAATCATTTACTCTAGTTTCACTATTCGATTTTGTAAACAACAAAAATATATGCTTTTTAAGGTAAGTATGAGTTAAATTCGTTTTTACAAAAATACTACAAAAACAGTATTTTTGCTGCACGATCGGTCATTGCAAAAGTAGTGCTAAATTTACTATTTTTATTTTTGGGTGTCGTACGTGTCTGTAAAAACATTATACCTGCACTTAATTTAAAAATAAAACAAAGGCGTTCCCATAGGATAAATACGATTGTTTATATTTATATGTTGTATGTATTTATCTGATGTAAATGTAAATACATTCTTGACTCCAATAGACGACATAATGCAGTCCTCATTGCCACGCATCGAAGGCAAACGGTGTTTTAGGGGCAAAAAATATGCATACATGCTTATTAATCAAAGCCTCTTGTTATCCGATTGAGTGAGCCGGGTCACTTAAGTCACGCAAATTGCTTGATTGTCCCCAGCTCTTAGGAAATCGCACGCAAGTGTGCCTGTCATCTCTCCACAATAACTTGTCGCTGTTTTTTCCGCGGTGAAGATCGTGATTTAAGTGTCCGCTGACCACGCGTCTTAGTCCATTGTCTTGATAGCCATCGCCGGCGCCGCCATCGCGAAGGTTGCAATCTCTTAGCAGTCTTGACTCGGCTCACCACGCAAGTACTTAGTGCACAGTCTTGACGCAGACTTGGCTCAGTCTGTTTACGTCCGCGCCGCTGCTACCGGCTCCTACCAAATGCCACCACGCGCAGACAACCAACAACACACACGACACACATCGCCGGTACACACAGTTTGAGTGCAGCGCACATCAGCATTAGTAACACACGAAATTTAAATTCACTTTAGTCACCAAACCACAAACGTTCACATTTATGGTATAGTTGTGCAAGAATTATAATAGATTTGATGTATTGTTAAATAATTATCTGGTGACTATGCGGTTGTTCACATCGGTGAGTTTATGGTGGTTTGCGTGGTTGCTGCATCTCGCCGCCGGGCAAAACTCCCCAGCGCCTCCACCAGGAGGGTATTACACCACTCGTTACGACCACATCGATATTGAACACATTTTAAATCAGAAACGCTTGGTGCATTACTACACAGAGTGTCTTCTGGATAGAGGACCTTGCACGCCGCAGGGAATCGAGTTCAAACGTACGTAAAACATACACATACAGCAAAAAAACCACTTTCACTTGTCAGAAAAAAATAATTTAGAAAAAGTATGACACAAAGGTGCAATATACTCGATGATTGAATTTTACTCAAGAACTAGACTCAAGTCATCACTGACAAACAACTAACCTACTTAGACGCTCTCATTGGTTGCAACTGTTGTGTATGCATCATGAACTGCATTCTCATTCTCAAACGAGGTTAATCCACGAAGTAAAGGTCAAATTAAAAATTAACAATTAAATAAATAAAAATTAAATTAAAATTAAGAAATCGCAGATATTGCAACTTCCCTCTGAAAGGTTTATGATTTAATGTAATGTAAATGATGCAATCCACGTTAACTTTATTGTTTAATTTAACCGTAAGCTTAATACTAATTAAAAACATACCGCGTACATACAGCGCACATTCCACCGCAATTTCTCTTCACGATTTGCGCTACATGCACTGCAATGTGACTTACAACAAGACGTTAATAATACGTATTAGTTACAACTGTTGAATGTATCTGACCTTGACTGATTCACGCTTTATTTCTTCAATTTCAAAGCATTTCAGTTGTGTGGATGAATAAAAACATGGTAAACAATGTCAATGTTAATTAATTTTGAGATAATAGCATCACACAGTGTTTGGAAAAAAGTGTGGGTTTTATTTTAAACAGTAGTAAAGAAATTTACTTGGTTTTTACATTGGTAAAAAATAATTGAATCAAGAAACTGAATTTGATTTTAATACGGGATTAATTTAAAAAAAAAGTCTAGTAAAAATCCCCAGTGACTTTTATCAAATTTTAAATTTTGATGCATGTTTTGACTTAAAAATTTTTAAAAACAACAATTTAACGCATTTTACACACTTATTATACAATATTATGACCTATAAAAGAACTTCTAGGCATTTATTTAAAAATTTCTTTACTTTGCTTGTAACTGGCAATTAAAAAATAATTAAATGATCACATTGATTACCCAATTATGCTGGTAAAATTTTTATTTTTAGTTATAAAGAATTTTAAACCATTTTTGACTTGAGATATTATTATACAATACGCTTAATAAAATAAGATGCGAACATAGTTTGTTATAATTAATTACAAAATATTTATTCGACTAGGAAATTATATCAGATATAAACATTGTGAAGCATTAATGTGTGCACTTCAGAAATGTTTTGATTTTTTCTTTACTTTCTACATCTTGAACTGGATAATTTAAATATCCTCCGGAATCCAAACAAGTTTAAAGGAGGTTCATGCGCCGAAAATAATGTAACAAACTTGATTTTGTAACGACTTGCATCATGTAACGTTTCCATTCCAATTACAATCAATTTGCAATCGTCAGTGTATGAGTTTTTAGTCAAATTTGTCTGCGTTAAGCGCCGTGTATGCGAATTGTTTACGCTACTACGAACTGCTGGTATTGTTTGTAAAGCACGCAACGCATAACATATTTACAAAATTATTTGTTGTATTGTTCACCACTGTGACAAAGCAACAATCATAGACGCATAAATTGTATTCGCAAAAAAAAACACGACAAATAAAGCACTTAAGTATGCCGTATGCACAAACAATGGTTTAAGAGTAAATATTAAATTCATTTGTGTATTAGACACATGTAAATTGATTTCAATTTTAATGTTTATTAATAGATAGTACTTGTGGTTTGTTTACGTCAGTGCATGTCTAAAAGTTATGCATTAGTACATCAACTAGTGGACTTTATAACTTCGTTATCAAGTGGACTTGCGGAAAATCCAAATAAGTAAAGCTGGTCAGACAAGTTAAATTAAACGTGCTCAGATTCTCACACTCAAACAATAACTGTTAGTTAATTACTGATGTGCGATAAACGAAAAAAAAAAACTGTTATATACAGTATACATTTATTTTTGTCTAATAATCAGACATCCAGGGGTCAATTTTAACATTAGTTTACGTCAATTAATATTGAAATAAGTCAAAAATAGTTTAAATAATCTAAAAACAACTGGTATCAGAGTAAACATTTTAGAGGTTATTGTTTTTATGGAAAAAATGTTGTTGGTAAGCGCATAACTCAACCACGCTTACATCAATTTGGCCAATTCTTTTTAAAAATGTTCGATAAAGTCCAAGGATGGTTTTTACGGCGAGAAAAATTCGAATAATTGCCGGGAAAACCCTAAAGACTATAGGATAAAAGTTTGCATTGAGATTCAATTATAGTTATAGTTAAATAGTTGAATCCGAGATGGCGTGCTGAAGTGCATTATTAGTAATTCTTGATATAATTAGTTTCTTTAAAATAAAATTGCGAATCTAATTGATAGAATTGACACATACTACGAGTATGTCTAGAACAAGAGAGTAAAAGCGAATTACATTTTTATTAAACACTACCGGGACGAAGTCGCGAGCAAAAGCTACTTGTTAAATATTTTTGAAGACCATTACAATTATAGCAACCTACGAGTACGTTTCAGGTTTTACGTTTTTAACGATTGAAGCGAAAGTCGGGTAAAGTGACAATATGTGTAAAATGGTTATGACCATGCATAAATTAGGCATGTTTAATCAACTAATTCGAGAGCCACTTCTAATCAAACATAAACAATAAATTTCTGAATCGTCCCTGACGAAATCGCCATGTTGAATAAATATTTACCCTTTCAAAAAGTATTACTGACGTTAGAAATGTATAAAATATAAAATAATTACTTGTTTTAAAACCGATAATTATCTTATTAGTAATTACCAAAGTACTTTAAATTTTATAGAATAATGTTTTATATATAAGCACTTCCGTTCGATTGCGTTCGATGTTATTAAACAAACAAGCAAGCACTCTATTAGTCCAATTTATTCGTAGTGGCAATTTTCCGCTACATTCATTCGTTTGTGCTATGCTCAATTCGTTTCGTGTGCACACGCACTTTCACATGAATGCATATATCAATTTAATCATGCGCATTTTCTTCCTTTGTCGATATTAGAGATTGTTGGCTGTAATGCTTTAATATGGTAGATTAATTTGAAAACAAAAAAAAACTATCAAAGTTCCTGTTCGGTGTAATAAACATTTTAGGACCATGTATTTACAACATTACGTGCTTTTTTGTGAACATAAACTCTATTATGTTTGGATAATCACAACTTTACAACAAGTGTGCAAATAAAATTACACTGGCAAACCGCAAATTTAATTCTATTTCTTTAAAACAATTTAAGAAAAAAAGTGTTAAGCGGCGCCAATGAAAATGTGACCTCGAATTTCAAGATTGTAAATATATAATTAAAAAGTGCATGGAAATTCTGTGTTTTTTGCAGAGATCGGACTTTTTTCACAAAAACTGTAAAAAGGCTGTTACTGCGCAGACGCCGCTTGCTAAGCAGAAACAACTAAGTCACGTACATTTGTTTCCATAAGAGATAGAAAAGTGCATTGTGAATCATAAAACAAAAAGCTGTATTCTTGCCAATACGGGAGATATAACTGCTTTTGCATCTTTCACGTACATTACATCAGTTAAAAATTAACGTTAATGGCATATAATCAAAAGTTAAACCCTTTAATATAAGCATCTTTCAAATAATATTAATTAAATGCCTTTGCCTTTATTTTTTCTTATAAATTTCACATTATGTGTTTTTTAGGTATACTCCCGGAAGCACTAAAGAACAATTGCTTAAGATGTACAGAAAAACAACGTTTCGTCACACTGAAAAGCATCAAACGCTTGAAAAAAGAATATCCAAGTGTCTGGGCTGAACTATCAGCTCTCTGGGATCCTACAGGCGAGTACGTCCAAAGGTTAGAAGATTCTTTCAACCGCAAAAACAATAGATCTCCCGAAGTCCCCCAAACGCCAGTGACAAACAATCAGGTTCAATCCGATGCCATTAATGACATTACCGCATCAAAACCATCACAACAAGTACCAATATTCACGCGATTTGATGATGATTCTGTGAAGAAAGTGCAAATATCCGAAAGTCTACCCTCACCAAAACCCCAAGTTCAAACGGTTGCAAAACCATCGCCAACAAACCTATAAGTTTTTCCTCGACAACAATTCAACCACAGCCGGTTGTAGTGACAAGCACTAGAGCCATTCCGGTTGTGTCATCTACAGCTACGACTACTACAACTTCCGGTCGAGTTTCGGAACAGTACCAACCTGGTAATATAAACACCATCAAAACAACTACAAAGAGGACTTTTTCAACGATTTTACAAGATCGCATATCGGCGACGACAACTCGCATTTCATATAATTATGATTTTGGTGTGACGGTACGGCCACTTCATCAAATTCCAGTCACTGGAATCAATATGGTCATCAAGGGGGTGAATACTATTATTCAGCCGATAACTGACATTGCTGGCAGAGTGATTACGGCGGGTACTGATATAGCAGGAATTGTTTTAAATGCTTTGGGAGTGCGAAGAACGTATTAGCTCGGGACACTCGAGATCATCACAAATTTTATTAAAATTATAGCTTTATTTGAAAGAGAAAAAGAAATGCTGTCCAAGTTTATAATATTTTATTTAGTTTTATTTACCTAGTTTTAGCCTAAAAAGTATTTGATATAAATTTATATATTTTTTAAATATTTTTAAATAAGTCTTTTAATTCTTTTTGTTTTCTTTGATTGGTAGGTACAAATATTGTATAACTCTCAATATTTGCCATTGTGTAAAAATTCAAACACTTTTTAAGGCAATAAAACTAAAATCTTAGCTTCTTCTAAGATATTCTTTTAATTTCATGCAAATTTGTGTTTCTTCTTCAATGCTTGCATCATGTACGAACAATGTGTGTTGTATACAATAAAAATGTAATTACAGATGCGTTTTTGTCGTACAGTTAGTCATTTGTGTCATGATCAGAATATGCAACGACCAATTTAATTCTGATGTGAATTTTCCACACATAAAAATATACACATATAAAAATTACGTAAACACGTTATAATTGCTGGTTTATTTTAAGCAATTTTGTTCAGTAACGGTTAAGATTTTGTTAATTTACACTTTGATTTGTTTTTTTATTTAAATGCATAGAAAAATGAGAATTTATTTCACTATTTCTTCAAATTGTAATTTTAGAATACACGTTTAGTGCTTGTTTGCTTACCCGATGCAGTATTTCTGAGATAACTTTGTGTTTTCTTCGTGAGCCACATACTTGGTTAATGCAGCGACTTTTTTACATAACCTGCCAACAATATCGGGACCATACCGACCTCTCCATGCGCTTCGCAGACACAATACTTTGTTTGTCTGAAGCATATTAAGTTGCATACCTTAAATAAGCATAAACGTTTGTTTTGAATTTGTTTACAATGTTTTGATCAACTTGAAGCTAGGAGGCCATCAATATAACTAATTATATAGATTAAAAATTCCAAATAACAAATTAATTCAGTTGTAAACTTTAATTTCTACTTTAGAGTTAAAAAAAAACTGGAATTTAAATATCACTAACATCGTATGATTTTATGGATAAGATAAACCAACCAATCGTCGCCCCAAAAACAACTGAAGATGTTAATATAACGGTGTGATACGCAATTAAACTCGTTCCGTCCAAGATGAAAGTTCCAACAGGGCAGTATATTAACGATAAATACAAATCGTAACATATTTATGAGTGCTTGCGTTTAATTAGCAGGAATAACGACTTCTTTGCACAGTTATTTGACTCATTGTGTCATATTCTGCGAATAAACAACTACAACAAAGTTTCAGTTATTCCAACCATGTGCAAATATTTTCATAAAAATTAACAACACATTTAAGACTTGTAGCGTTAAAACGCAATTGAATTGTGATGGAATTAATGTGTAAATTGCTCACAATAGAAAACACGAACGAAACAATACACATTTCAACAGTAATCTTCAGGGAATTCTTTTACGGCGTGTTGACGTGACAAAAATTAATCCTTCAATATTCGCACACCTGCATACACAATGCCAGACATAATGTATGCATGTGACCACGTCTCCAAGTATTCGGATGGTGAGCAATTAATTAGTAAATATTATGACGGTGTGGGCATCGAATTCAATAAACTCGAACGAGTGCTTCTACCCAGAACGCAATCACGTGATCACTTTCCTCGATGGCCGCGGCTGTTTAAATACCGCCGCGATTCGCTGCGTCTGCAAGACATCAGAATGATTCTCTCGTGGTACGTCGTCGCCGTCTGCGGCCTCCTAGCGCTCGGCGAGTGCGCTGAATACACCAACAAGTACGATAATGTCAACGTTGATCAAATCTTGTCGAACAACCGCGTCCTTTCAAACTACATCAAGTGCATGATGGACGAAGGGCCGTGCACACCCGAGGGACGCGAGCTTAAGAGTAAGTGAAATGTTTCTTTGAATTTACCACAACTTACTTTATAAGTTTATAAGGTGTATAAGTTATATAAGGAACTTTCACTTTCTGCTTTCAAAACGCGCGCGCCATGTGAGAATTTGATTGCGCGACTTGTTTGATGCGTTTTCTTGTGTTGTAGAAACTCTCCCAGATGCCTTAGCCGGCGGATGCGAGAAGTGCAATCAGAAGCAGAAGGACACCTCCGAGAGAGTTATCAGGCATTTGATTAAGCACCGTGCCAAGGACTGGGAAAGACTTGCTAACAAGTATGATCCACAGCGTATATACAGGCAACGGTTTGAGAAGCTACTGTGAATACACATTTAGAATTATTTTACTTTATCAAAACTATGTGTAATGAGTAATATTTTGACAAATGTATATTTTTGTAAATAAATACGTATTAAAATGAAGATAAGATAAAATCAATCATATAAAACTGATAAGATATCATTTTACTAAAAGATAATTTCTATCCGAACACTTGATTCAGTCCACTTGTTCCATCAACTTAACAAAATGAATTTACTGTCAATAATATTTGCAATCATTGTTTTGCTTCAGTTAAGTGAAGGAAACGATGTGTGTGAAGCACGTTATCATGTAATTTCATCGCTTTTGCAAAGTAATTGTCCAGCGGACGTAATAGATGAGTCGGGTAAAGTCACCCACAAGTATTATATATTCCCTCATGGTGGCGATCATGATTGTTTTCCTTATTGCAGGAAAATCAAAACTGGTAAGCTTAAAATATTTGATTTATTGTTTAAATGATGTTTTAAATTATTTTAAAACTCTGCTACTCTTTTAGAATTGAACTTGTATCAGTTCTGTTCAGATGAAAATGTATGTCCTCCTGGATACCTATGTGAAGGCAAGGAAGAAGAAAAGCATTGTGTCCTTGATGATAACTCCTGTTTCAAGTATTATGTGAATTATGCAAAACCAGACGCCAGTTATTTCCGTGCCATGTGGAGACCTGAGTGTCTTCCTGACGGCACATGGGCGCCGAAGCAGTGTAAGGGTGAAAAGGCAACAGGAAGATGCTTTTGTTTTGACGCTGTTGGAACCCGCCTCGATGGTCACCAATGGTGGCGGCTTGCAGAAAATATGACATGCGGTAATTTTAAGATTACAGATTGCAGGTTGCATATACAATTTAATTGACAAGTTTGATTCTTTGCAGCTTGTAGTCGAAAACGAGCTGAAATGATGAGTGATAAAAGTATTGGATTTGTGAGTTTGCATTGTGACGACGAAGGCAATTACGAACCGATGCAATGCAATGACGGGCAATGTTGGTGTGTGCATCCACCAACGGGCGAAGTGCTTTCTAAAGTTGTGCCTGAAAGCATGTGGAAAAAACTATCTTGTTGTAAGTATCCTAAATAACACCTTCATTCAATCATTTCAGAAAATATTTCATTTTCAAAATAAATGCACTATTATTAAATATACTCTATACAGATGATGATGTACTAAATGGTAACCAATATATGCGCCAATGCGAAAGTAAATTGTACGCACAGAAAAAAATTGTTAATGAACTTCACACGCACGGAACAATTGGTTTCGAGTATGAAAGTATTCTCTGCGATGCCGATGGAACCTACGGAATCTACAGCGTAGCTGATAACATGTAAATAATTAAATATTAATATATTACATAGCCAACTAAATACCCCAACCCACAGAGCATCCTGCGTTTGGAAGGATGGAAAACCACTTGGTTTTGCTCTAAATCTGGCCGAAGGTGATGTTTCATCAATGGACTGCAGTAAGTTCTTATAACAAATCACCGTATACGAACTAAAATATCTAAAATAAATGTTACAGAATGTGCACGAGATTTAAAGATATTCGAATTAGGTGGTCAGGATCCTAAAGCACGTGGCAGTTGCGACGGAAAAGGTAACTACATGGAAATCCAAGTGAAAGTTATAGATGGTGAGAGTAAATACTACTGCGTCGATGAAGACGGATTCCAAAAGGGTCCGGTGGTGGACAAGAAACCCACAAATTGTTTTTCGTTAAGATAGAAACTAAAACATATAAAAGTTACAATTCTCACACAAATTCAATAAATTGTTGTTTATAAAAATGTGTATTCTTACTACAATATATTATTGCCTCTTACAAATATACCAACACCGACAATATATGATTCGCCAAACATTTGCACTATTCGTACGTTTGTATATAAAAATAGTAAGTTGCAGCTTGCACCAAAATGAATCATTTTATATACATATTTTCGAAATTCCTGCTGCAGTCATGTTGATAATACATAATCAAAATTGCACCATCAAAATAGTATTGGCAAGATAAGAGTGACAAACAATTCAACGGACAAACAGACTAGACTATCATACATTTTGATTCTTTTGATGTTCAACGCGTTATTAAGTCATATCCTAATAAGTGCTGATGTAAAAATGTAAACATACTAAAACGAAACTAATAATTTCATATAATTTATCTCTAAACTTAACTTAACAATCAGTAAATGTAAACGAAGAAATCTCATACGATGCATAAATTAAATCAGTACGTTTTAGTTAACTACTATACACAACCTCTGGAGTGAGACATATTATACTTAACTAATTGCATAAGAAGAGTAAACCGGAAATAAATTAATAAATAAGTAAATCGTCCGACTAGGAAAGTGTAGTCGAATAAAGTAGAAAATTAATCTCGAGTTGTTCAAAATCATCCAATTTAAAAAATATGTAATACTAAATTTAGAGATCAAATTAGTAACAGTTAGTTCGGGTGAATGATAAAGTCATATATTGAAATCCTTCCTTTTGTTGCATTCGAACATATCAGCGCGTCTCTTCTTCGGGGCTTGGTTTCTGCTTGTGTCATTCGTCCAACTCGTTCATTCGACAGCGCACCGCCATCTCAACTACTTCCAAGCTGGGATAATCTAATTCTTTAACTAGGCACAAGACAGCCGACAAAATATTCGAATTCTGAAATACCAAACCAGAAAACACATGCTTAGAACGAATACTAATAAATCACTACAACTTAAAAACATAAAATCTTGTGATTACCAGAGCGAGTTAGTAAGCAAAAGTTTAAAACAATACACTACCCTCGTAACAGGTCGTCGTTGAAAAGGCGGCCTGTGAATAGCTGAGCAATTGTGTTGGCTGGCACTACGTACAGGACCTTCGTGTCGGTAGGACATTTCGCTGCCATCTTCTCGATACATGCTCCTTGAATATCTATCGCCATTTGTGTATTCCTAAAATAAATTAACGCACATTTAATTAAAACTGACAAAAAAAACTATAAACTGGCTTAAAACAAGTAGATAAGTATATAGTACCTTTATGCTATTAGTAGATTGACTTGTCACCAAGCGAGATTCTTTGAAATTATGTTCAGATGTAATCGGCTCCTCATGATTGTTAGTTGATGGCGCTTTCTGCGCATGCGTATTAATGTTTTTAATAATAAACCAATAAAATTAACGATTGTATGTGTTACCTCGTGCTGTTGTTGAGGTTGATGCTTTGGCGACAGAGGATCATAACTACTCCTTCGTCGTTCGGTATATTCGGGTTCGGGTGAGTAGTTTATCCTTCGTACTACTTCGGGTTGAACTGGCGGACGCCTTGGCGGGCTCATCTAATACAACACATATCATTAATTTTGGCATAATAAATTCTTTTTAAAGAATTAATATAAGTATTGAATGAATACTGAGTATTAAATGAATACCTGTCTTGGTGGAGTATACTCAGCTGGTACCTCGACTTTGACCACCTCCGCTTCCGGCAAATATTCATCCTCTTCGATTTCAATTTCCGACTGGTTAAATACAATTAATAAAAATGGTTAATATGTAAATGATGAATTAATCAATTAGTTGGTTTTATATAAAAATACAAAAAGTGTCGCATGAAATTTACTTCCTGTCTAGACGGACTTCTCTGCGGTGAGTACTCCTGCTGTGAAGGCGGTACCTGCTGTTCTTGATATTGGTAATGGTTGGAGTACTCCTCCTCGCTCTCCTGAGGATCATCCGGATGGGTGAGCGTCTTGCCGCGACGTTGAGCCTCGCGCAGCTCGTCCGGCGTGACAGCGACGTTGTCCAGCTTCTGCAGCTGCGGCAGTGCGCGCAAAACGGCATACCGATAACTGTAAACACGATCGTCAAGATCGTAAAGCGATATTTATCGTAAAAAAGACGCGTGCAGCGCATCGGCGAATTCCCAATATCCGCAATGCACTCACGCAATCAACATATTTCACATTACCCGTCCGTATTGGCACATGGATTCTCGCCCAGCCAGAGGTTCTTCAGGTTTGATAGACTTTGCAGGTATACGACTTCGTTGAGGTCACGAATGTCGTTCTGCCTTATGTAGAGTTCCTCTAGACGCTTGCATTGACAGAAGTCTTCTAAGCTATTTATCTTGTTGATACTAAAAAAGAAAACAAAGTTTTATTAGCAAAAAAATAAATTTGCGAAAACATAAAATCGAAAGTCCTCATTATTAACTCATATATCACATATGAGTAAGCAATTAAAAGAAAAAGCCTTTATGCGAGTGGCCTAAAAAATATCAGAGTGTAAACAGCGTGCGCATTAGCGTTACATTTACTTCAATTACCGACCGCATTTACACAATGGCTAATTGCACGCCAAACGTTTCATTTCGTTTCAAATCGTTTCGTCGGAATAAATATTCCAAATTTAACTACACCCACATCAAATATCAAATTTAATAAAACCTTACTACTTAAAATATCGACATAACATAACTTGTCGCAGAGTGATACTCAATTTTCATATTTCCTCAATTTCGCCTCAACTTTCAAGCGTAAATCCAATCAATAAAACATTAGGTATTCCCATTGATAAATCAATAAAGTTGGTAATCATTTCAAAGTCAAGTAAAGCATAGTTGAACAGTTCCAAGAAAAAGAATTATTCTAAATCTAGGACACCATGTGAAATGTGTAACATGTGCAAAGCAGAACTTAAGAACACATGCAGCGAGTGCATCTTAAGACCGATTGCAATAAAACTTTCTTTCTTTGATGTTTTATGTTTACTTGTAACATAAAATGTTTAAATTGAATCAATTTGACTAAAACCAACTTTTAAATACAAGAAATTGATCCTATATACTAAAATTTCAGTTTTTCTTGACCTAGAAACGAAAAGAAAACGCCCAGACGGTAAATGGAACTTTAAATGGATTTTTTTAACTCTGCAAACTTGGTTAATTTTTCCAAGTACTCTTTGCATTGTACTGAAATTAATAAGACTTGATGCATATTTAATAGGGTGTGCTATGATGAGGTGATTATTCGTTGAGCTATCAGGAATGCGTGCTTAATATTTCCACGCCTTGGATTTTTTTCACTTCGTGCGTGTTTCCTGAGAGTATTATGCAAATTTATCGAGAATACCAATTTTTCTAGACCTTCACTTTTATTTTCTAGACAAATTCCAATTCAGGAAGAGTAGAAACCAGTCCAAGCACATAATTTCCGCTCATGAGTTATTTAGTCATTCCGCAAGCATCAAATATTACCTCTGACATTTAATTTGTATCAAACACACGTAAGCGTCATATGAAGTGCACACGACACTACAGATTATTATCGGAATATATTCGAAATTCAACTAAATTATATGTCTCACTTTAAGATGTGTTAGTTTATAATTTATTTGGAATTTAAGATGCACCGCGTTTCACTTGGTACCTACAAATGTGTGTAGTGCTAGAACTAATAATACACATTGAAGAATTCTCGTCCTAGAAACGGCAGACACACCTCTGAATTCTGCCCGTAGTTCGTTACGCGGTTTCCATCGTGGGAAATGAAACCACAACGATAATTAAAATCACGCACTCTAAAAACGAAGCCAACACCTACAAAACTACGAGCATAATATAGAAATTACATCACATGTTGATTCAAATTCAAGTTGAATCAAGTAGAAATGTGAATGGCAAGGATTACTCATCAATTCCTATACTTTTTCCAATAATTATTTCCTCATTGAACAACAAACAAATACCAGTGAGTTGTATTGTGAGCTGTTTGATCAATAGTTCAAGACATGGCGTAAAATAAGAAATAATCAACTTGAAGTTGTGGGAGGTTCCGCTTTTCAGCAGAACAAACAAACAAATGTGACACTTGTTTTCACTCATCGCACGTGTTAATTGAATATCAAATAACATTTAATTTGCAAAGTCTAGTCGATATTTTTATTGTAGCGATTGTACAATTGCCGGTCATGATATGTCATGTGACATCCATTGCTGTTACTCTGCCACTGCTCAACGAACCAAATATGACCACAAGAAGGACACACGTGGGATGTGTCTTATATAATTTCTAGATTATTTAAATTTTACGCGTGCTACACGACGCAAATTAACTCAACATTTTTTTTTATAATATATTAATGTTTAGTGAAACCATTTTTGTAAATTAATATAGGTATTACACATATCGTACACAACTTTTCCCTTTATTAAATTATTTTCTCTTTCGCAGATTTTATTTTATACAAAAATAAAATTAGGAAAAAACAGTAAAAATTTCATTCTACACACAAGTTGATAAACATTCCTTAAAAAATATTCCTGTCCTGATATTACTCTCTTTCTATCCTCGTACAATAATGTTAAAAATGTAATTTTCCATGCAGGTAGGCTAAAACCTTATATTACGCACTTTTTGTACCTTAAAAACCGTTTACCAGCTGACACACATCATATTTATTACCATAATTGATCAATATTTCTGGCTAACCTCGTTTTCAGCCCTAATTTATTATTCCTGCGATATAAACAAAAAAATAATAAAAAATAAACCCTATAATTATCGATCTTCTTGGACTAGCATCGTGTAATTTACCATACGAGTACAATATGAATAGTAAATCAACGAAATTTTCTGAATAACATCAGCTGCGAATTTCCAATGTCTCCAATCACCGCATCGAGTTAACTTGTTCTTCCTACGCGCAGAATATACACGTCCATATAAGAAAATCAGTTGCTTACGCGTTGTTTAACATTTTTGGAAGTTTTCAGTCACAAGAACGCTAGCTTGACGTCAAACTAATGCGATTTACATTTAATAAAACGAAACTACCTATATTATATGACTAGTTACACAGTTTTAGTTTTATGGCTTGAAAAGTTTAAAACAATGGAGTTTCCCACATTAATTTGACACAAACACTCTTTTCACATTAAACTACACGCCAAAGTCTACCGATAATATTGTGGTGATTCTACCTGTATAAAAAAGTCTTGAATAATTATGTATTTCGTGTTAAATTGTCTGATATTTGACTAGATCCAATCCTGAAAGTGTAACTTTACGCACCGATGATCCCACAACATATCACACACACACAGGCAACTAATGTACCAGTAACAAACGTGATTTCTTGTTGCTTTCGTAAGAATACGAAGCCGACATTGTGCAGTAAGTACAATAAATAGCTCTTTGTTTCGTTTTTGTTTCTTTTAGATTTTGTGTGAACGAAAACTGACGCGCCGCAAAACATAACAATAATAAGAACGTACCTGAGCGATAGCACTTCAACGGCGGGCATGCGGCGCAGGAGAGACACATCAACCAACTCGCTACCCCTAAATCAAATCAAATCCGATTAGTGCACTGTGACCATGATGCAACCGGAAGATGTAAGCGTACCAGCAGTTGAGGCGCTTGATTTTGGACAAATCCGAAATCTTCGTCCGCGCAATGACCATCTCCTCAGTCAGTCGTTTTGCCATTGTTTATGGTGGATTGTTTAACGAGATTCCGATAGTCTAATTTACTATAAATTAATATGATGGTTTCCTGCAGGTGTTTCACATTTTTGAATGCGAATGGTTATTGATGTTTATCGTAAACACGCAGCGATTTTGCTTGTGAGCACCGGACCGCGCGACGTCGCTGTCACACCGTGACTGTCTCACCGACTGTCTGCTGGTTTATTCCTGTTGAGAACACTGAGCATTCGTTGACTGCTACCTGCACGGCAGCAGGAAATTTGATTGACAGTTGGATTGTAGCGCTTGGCAACACTGGAAATGCCATGCTTGAGTCTGTCAGAAATTTCTAACCTTCAAAACTTTCATGGTTTAAACGTGTTTTGAAACTGACACAATGACGACGAAAGAAGTAAAACTTGATACACAAAAGTAAATGAAGTTATAATTATTATTACTTATGACATAATGTATATTTTGATGTTTTTTAGAACAATAATTAAAGGCAGACCGAAATCTGGCAGGGTCTGGAAATCCGATCGAAAACGCTTTTCATCAATTGTGAAAACAAAAGGCATTCGCAACTCATTTGAGAAGAAAGAAGCACTTAGAAAACAACTGAAACTAGCCAAGGATGCATCTAGAGCGATAAAAGAAGAAAAAGCTCAAGAAAAAGAAGCCAAAAAAGAACGACGAAGAGAAAATTTGAGAAGACAAGAAGAAAACCTAAAGAGATCAGAAATTGTGCAAGTCATAAAGAACACAAGCAAAATTAAGAAAATGAAGAAGAAACATTTGAGGCAAATTGAAAAGAGGGACACAAATGATATGTAAGATAGTTATATTTTCTTTAAAACAATTAAAACAATACATTCTTTACTTTACATTTTGTAAAACCAGTAAAAAATAATGGCAAGTTACATTCTGAAGACACCAAACTTAGTATCTTCAGGTGGACTGTTAAGAGCAGTGGCAAGGCTAAGACCTAACACTTTTCTGGTGTCTTTAGGATCAATAATACCATCATCCCATATCCTAGCAGAGCTGTAATAGGCTGAGCTCTCTCTTTCAAACTGATCAATGATTGGCTTTTCAAATTCGGCGACATCTTTTTCGGACCAGTTTTTACCTTTACCTTTACGCGCAACTTGAGATAAAACACCAGCAGCTTGTGGACCACCCATAACTGCTATTTTTGAGTTCGGCCACATATAAAGGAACCTTGGCGAATACGACCTCCCACACATACCTGAATAGAATTAATTGTTTATGTTGCAAATGTCATGTAAATTAAGTTTACCGTAGTTTCCTGCTCCATATGAACCTCCAATGATTAATGTTAGTTTAGGAACTTTAGCGCACGCAACAGCCGTCACCAGTTTCGCACCGTTTTTGGCTATTCCACCGGTCTCAGCCTGCTTACCAACCATAAATCCTAAATCCAACAATGTTATCAATTATAACAAACAGTATAATTACATACCTGTAATATTTTGCAAGAAAATCAATGGAATATTTCGTTGTGAGCATAATTGAATGAAATGCGCGCCCTTGATAGCACTTTCCGAAAACAAAACACCATTGTTCCCAACAATTCCTACTGTTTTCCCATACAACTTAGCAAAACCACATACTAGGGTTTCACCATATCGCTTTTTAAACTCATCAAACTTCGACCCGTCGAAAATTCGAGCGATGACTTCACGTACATCAAATGGCTTAAATGGATCACCATGAATCAACCCATACAATTCTTCACTGTTATACAGTGGTTCCTCATATGGTTCATTGAAACTAGTGCTTGACTTCTTATTCAAGTTTTTCACGATGTTACGAGCGAGAACAAGCGCATGTTCATCGTCAAGGGCATAATGATCCGTTACTCCTGAAGTGCTACAGTGCATATCAGCACCACCTAATTCTTCAGCTGTAACTTCTTCACCAGTTGCAGCCTTGACCAAGGGAGGCCCAGCGAGGAATATAGTGCCGTGTTTTCGTACAATGACTGACTCATCAGCCATTGCTGGAACATAAGCACCACCTGCAGTGCAAGACCCTAGAACTATAGCAATCTAAAGACACAAAATGTTTTCTGATTTTTAAATGCAGGGACCAATACCTGTGCGATTCCTTTTGCAGACATGTTTGCTTCATTATAAAAGCTTCTTCCAAAGTGATTTTTATCAGGAAATACATCAGACTGATGAGGTAAGAAGGCACCACCACTGTCAACTAAATAAAGACATGGTAATTGATTCTCTTCGGCAATTTCTTGAGCTCTTAATTGTTTTTTGATGGTCATTGGATAATAGGTGCCACCTTTGACTGTTGCATCATTAGCTATGATCATACATTCTCTGCCATGTACTCTGCCAATGCCAGTAATAATTCCAGCACAGTTGATGTTGTCATTATACATATCATATGCAGCAAATGAAGAGAGTTCCAAAAAGGCACTATTCTTATCTACCAACTTGTTGATTCTCTCTCGAGCCAATAATTTGCCTTTTGCTGTATGTCTCTGTACAGCTTTCTGGCCACCTCCTTGAAGTAAAGTTTGAGAACGATCTTTCAATTCATTAACAAGTTTGGACATATGCGCATAATTCTCCTTGAAAAAACATTTTTTGTTATAATTGAACAGTGCGCGAAAAACTTTTAATACTTACTTTGAAGTTTGGCGAGTTGAACTCGCACTTTGTTTGGATTACATTTGCACTTTCCACGTGAACAAATCGCCGGAAAGCGCATTGTTTCTGGAGAAAAAATCTGCTCTTTGATAACATACTTGCGACGAGTGCTTATATCACAGTTCGGAGTTAATTTACATTAAATCAGCAGGAATTCAGGTTTAAGTAACGCATGCGCAGCTTACAGACACAAAACATTAATTTCTTGAATTGGTCTTACTTTATTACGTTGATAATTTGAATTAATATTTTATAATAAATTAAGTTACATTTAATTTTATAATCAATAATTAATTTGATTAATTTTGAATCTGATTTCAAAAATAATTTCTCGATTATCTTGTAGGTTCAATGTACAAACTTTGCGACAATAGCGCCACCTGGATCTGACATCTAAAATCCATACTTTACGCTATCTCCGTGCACTGGTCAGCACACATTTGAGTATCACGAAATCAAGAAATTAAGACAAAATGATTGGAAGAACCAGCTTGTTTGCCAGAAATGCTATCTCCCAGTTTGTGAGGAATAGCGGCGGCCACGGGGGTGTACCCGGAGAGGTAAGCAGCGTCTATTTCCATTATGTAATAAGTGATACTAGTGAGGTTGGGTTGCCATTTTAAGTGCCCCACAGTGTACACATTCACTTTACTAGCCACAGACTAATGTTAATAAAATTGTGTTTTTACATTATAGAACCTGCCATTCGCCTTGGGCAACAGATATAAGTTAACCGCCATGTTCATTGTTTTCTTTGGTTCTGGCTTGGGAGCACCTTTCTTCGTACTCAGGCATCAGCTGTTGAAGAAGTAGACAATTAATTCCTAAAATAGTGGTAATAGTGATTTCAAACAACTTAAAATGTACATTTGTCAAGCAAATAAATAAATTAAACTAAGTATTTTATTTCTTTTATCATAATATGGAGAGTTGCCTAAGTGAAAAGCTTCCTAGTTATAAAATGTTTGTTTGGTTAGTTGCAAGATTAATACCTAGATGGTGCTTGATGTTTGAAACTTGCTCAAAGTTTTGACTTCTTATCAAGGGTTAACAAAGTAACATTAAATTATTGTCCTTTGAAACTGTTTTTATTTTATTGAAAACACACAGATATGTGTTTCAGCAACAAATATAATAAATAATAATGCTCCGGAACTCCATTACGCAATCGTTTATTTTTATCATAAGTATGAAATTAACTGCTCCGAAACCTGTGAAAATTCGTGGACCGCTGCACCGAAGTTAGTTAAGCATCCGAAGTCGTAAAACGCGTACCACGCAATAACAACGTGACCGCCATAAATAAATTTAGAGCAATTGACTTCGTTTATTCAAGTTATATGTCGTTTAAATAGTTAAGAAGTTTGAACGTATCAACGCCGCAAACAATAGTGAGAGATCAGTCGCGATGGCAAGCCAGACACACGGCATTCAACAGTTGCTCGTAGCTGAAAAGCGCGCGGCGGAAAAAGTCTCCGATGCCAGGAAGCGTAAACATTTTTGCTATTTTTGGTTTCAAGTAATATTTATCGGTGAGTTTTGTAGGTAAAGCGCATCGAATTCGGCAAGCACGCGAGGAGGCGCAGGCAGATATCGAAAAGTACCGCAACGAACGCGAAAAAGTCTTCAAGGAGTTCGAAGCGATGCGTTTGGGATCACGTGAAGGAATTGCACTGCGGATTGACGAGGACACAGAAATGCATATTGAGAAAATGCAGCAGGACGTTGCCAACAATAAGGAACAAGTATTACATATTAATATACTCACAGAAAAACAAGACAATCAAGAAAAAGTTTTCTAATAACTTGTTTTCTTTTAGGTAATTCAAGAATTAATCTCATTGGCATGTGACATAGTCCCAGAAGTGCATCGAAATTATTTCGTTGTAAATCGCCGAGTGTAAGTCATATTTTTGAGCATAATTTATTATTTAAATCGAAATATAACCAAACAGCATCAAATTATAATTATTAAAATAAATGACAAACATATAATTTAGTAAGAATCACCTGTACGGGTAGTGAACATTATTTTATATCAAATTCGTTATAATATAGCGCAATAGTAAAATAAGTATGTATCATATATGGCATATTCGATGGTAAGGAAAACCCACCATTTCGTAATTATACATTAATAAAACGAAAAAGGTATATATAGACTCAATCAGCTTTCTATCAATCATTGAATTAGTCGAGCAGCACAACAAAACCGCGGCGCAACCGCCTAAAAGTATATCAGATGTACACGAAAAAACTTCTACGATATATTTAAGTCACTCACAATTGCTTTTATGATAGTTATTAGTTTTCGTTAATTACGTTATACAACTCCATTTCTTACAACTATTAGTTAAATGTGCTTTTGCGAAGAAGCTCCGTTTCAAATATCATTATGTCCGATCTGTCGATTCTAGAAATTTTACACATGTTTTCCATACAATCAACAGGCTGAGATAATAGTTTTGCACTTCTCAAGCATCGAATTACGTTTTAAGACACTGCGTGAATGTGTAGACAATCGTTATGTATATATCAAGTAATGATTAAATATATTAAGTGCACTTATGAACGAAAATCGTGTGCCGACTACAATTACTTCTACTAAATGCTAAAATTCACCATCGGACGTTTGGAAACGTCGAAAATGATTGGGTGTGTTATATAGCGCCAATTTTATACAGTAAATACTTTACAGAGCGTACGCAGTTGATGACAAATTATTGCTTACGATACCAACTAAAATGTAGTTATAAACAAAGACGAAATTCGCAATGTTCATTCGTCTATTTATACAATTGAACGAACATTCAAATTCTTGCTTAGTATTTGGTATTCTAGACCGTATTTATGATTCTCCATGTGTTGATAGTTGATATATGTATATACAATAATATAAATAAAAGTAACAATAATATAATAATAGCATTTTCTCGCTTCTCGATATATCATAAAGTTTAATTTTTGGATTTGCAATTTTTGGAATCATTGACTTTTTAAGTACCATATACTGAACACTATCAACTAATAATAATAATTAAGATATAAAATTACTTTAATATATTTTGATTTTGAAACTATTCAAGATTATTTAAATATTAAATATTCACTCCAAAACGCCACAAATCTACACACTACATTTCTGAAGTAATTCGTTGGAAAAACCTGACTAGATTCTTTTGAAATCTTTACGTTTTTAAATGCAGTTATGTACAAAATTGTTAAATCAAATCGTTTTGCGTGCAAATTATTTGATTCAACAATTCTAAGACTAATTATTCCACTCAAAATCAATACTTATTTAATATTAATTAATCTGAAACGGTCGTTTCAAGTCGCTATTCCTTGCCGACGCCTAATAATTTCGCCGCGTCGTCCGCCGACCCGGTGAGAACTTGTTCCATCAGCGAACGGTCTCTAATCCCCAACAAATTGCTTATCAAATCGCTACCTTCGTTCACATCCGAATCGTCTTTCTCCTTATCGGATGATTCGCAGGTTGTTACCGTGTTGGGCTCAACGTGGTGCTTTTCCAGCGCGGTTTCTTCATCAGACTGTGCGATGTCCTGTTGGCCGAAGGCGAGATTATGCTTCTTACGATGGCGCAACATGCTATGCTTCAGAGTGAATCGCCGCCGGCAAATGTCACAGCTGAATGGTCGCTCGCCAGTGTGCGTTCGCATATGTCTCCTCAAATCCTCCGCCGACCAGAAGCGACGCATGCAGAAAGCGCAAATTACTTTACGATTGGAGTAGTCAGGGAACTTCCCACGGATAGTTTCATTATCCTCATCATCATTGTGGTTGCTCTCTTCTGGTGTGGAGGCGTTAGCATCCAAGGCGTTTTTGCTCATGAGGAGATCATACTCGGAGGCATGTTTGTCTCGGATGTGATCGAGAGATTCCTGGCGTTCCGCAAACGAGTTATCGCAGAGGTGACACTTGAAAGGTAAATCCGAGTTCTGAGTGAGATGTGCATTGTCAGGAATAAGACTCAGAGTTGCCTTGGAATGTGAGATCTGTGCCTCCCAATCGGACTTATGATCGCTGTTGTTCTTCTCGTCCTCAGAGCTACCGGCTTCGTAACCTTGGCGGTCATCCTGCGCCCCGTGTTTGGAAATCATGTGCTTCTTCAGATTTGAATAGGTAGAAAATGTGCTGGATGGACAACTGGAGCACTTGAAAGGGCGTTCGGGTACGTTGCGCATCATGAAGCTATTTGCGGTCTCATTGGATATGGTGGTAGCAGTGTTACCATGCTTGCGAAGCAAGTGACGGTCGCAGTTGGATTTGGTAGTGAACAGGAGTGGGCAATGGCTGCACTTGAAAGGTTTCTGACCAGTGTGGGTGAGAATGTGACGGCGTAGGGATGATGTCCATGGGAACTTTCGACTGCAATACGGACAGCTTACACGGTTAGGTGCTAGTGAATATGCGGACTTCTTCTTTTCTGGTTGGCTTGTGTGATTATCACTTTCCCTATTTAACCAAAAACGATTATAATTAGTATCTGTGTTAAAATTTTTCAAATAAATAGTAACATACCTATTTTCATCAGTTCCAGAGTTTCCTTCACTTGTGCTACCACTGGCAACCAATCCTTCTTCATCTTCCTCACTAATTTCATTCTCTTCCTGCTCTGGACGGAAATACTCCTTGAACTCATTTTGTTGTTGTGAAGCATTTACCAGAAGCCGGGAAACAGGAACCAAATCGGAAGCGTCTTCTGCTTTCTTGTTGTTTGCTTCTCGTTCAAATTGCTTCTCTTTCAACAATTGCCTATCCCTCAATTCTCTTAATTTATCCTCCAAAATCCTTGATTTTGGTGTTTCTGGCTTGATTGGTTCTGGTTTAGGTGAATCTTCAGGTTCATCAATGACCAACGCATCGGCATCATCTTCAGGTTCATCTTTTCTTCCAAGTTCTCTCTCCTGGGCTGCTCGTAAATGCTGCGACAATATGGCATATTTCAGTTTCTCAGCAACTGAAGTTTTGTTGTCTTCCAAATCAAGCGATTTTGATGCTTCATAGGTTGGAATACTGAGCTCACAAATAGGACTCTTCATCGCCGGTGGTAAATTTGGTTTGCGTCCTGGATTACCCATCGATGACCTCTGACGCTGTGACCAATACTGTGGATGTTGCTGTTTAATATGTCTCTCCATATTAGAACGCAGAGTAAATCTGGCTGCGCAATGCTCACAGGAGAAAGGTCTTTCTGTGCGATATCTGCGTTGTTTCTGTTTGGGCATTAAGACTCCATTCTTAATAACCATCTTAACCGAGTTTGGCGATTGAAGCAGTTCTGCCTTCGGTTGCATTACTGGACTGCTCTTCATTTGGATATTCTCATTGAAGTTGTCCACATTCAACGTGAGCGGTTTCATTTCCTCTGCTTTCGGAGGTTGAGATTCAACTTTCATGTCGCTAAAGAGTGGATAGTTTGGCGGATATATATTTTTAATGCCGCCACCACTGAGTTGTCTTTGAAGTCGGTCCTTTGTTTCCGGGGACATTGGCGGGTCAGGAAGCATTGTTGGAATCATAAGAGGATTTAAAGGATTTAACGGAAAGCCGGGCATACAATTTCTGTACCATGCCAAATGGGCAGCAAAAATTGCCGATAACGCAGGATCAGCTGCCGGGGAACTCTTGAGGAGTTGTTGAGTCAAAATGTCTGTCATTGGGAAATTTGGAATTTGATTCTTAGCAGATGCATCCGCATCGCCATCTTCAGCTCTGGAACTGTTTTGCTCCTTGGCGGGATTTTTCTTACTAAGATCCAGTGCCATGGGTTCGTTGTCCTCCTCATCAGAGTAGGGTTCTTGTTCGGGGATTTTCTTCAAAACATTCACATCTTTGACTCTGATGCTTGGAATTGGTTTGTTTGGAGTTGAAGTTGCAAATTGTGAAGTCCAGTTGGCATCCTTTGCACGGTTCTCCGCGATTAGCTCATTAACAGTTGGCATTTTAGGTACAATCGGGAATAATGTAGGAAAATCTTTGGTAATATGCACATCAGGGAATGCAGGCGGAATGCTATTAGGAGTGGAACTACGAATTGAGTTCATTTCGCTTGAGTCAATCGAGTTGCTGCTAGTGTTGAGTTTCTTCGCATCCATGGAATGTTTGTTAACATCTTCGTTGGTAGGATCCTCAGACGGATGATAAATGATGGCTTTCTTGACTTCTTCACGCGTATTTTTTGAGTGTCTATTGCGCAAATGGCGTTCACAATTTGCTTTCGTAGTAAAAGCATAGTTGCAAAGGGAGCATTCGTATGGACGGTCACCATTATGAGTACGCATGTGACGAATCAAAGCTGCTTTATCCAGTGAAGAATGCGGACACATGTTGCACCTATAAGTACCATTAAGAGCACTATTCAAATGATTGCGATTGTGACCTTTTAAGGCCCTCAAATTGGGAAACACCGATGTACAAAGCCGACAAGGGAATTCACCCCTCAACTTCATCTTTCTAAACTCCTGCGCAAACACATCCTGAGATTCTTCCTCCTCTGTCTTCTCATTCTCCAACTGAGAGATTTCATGCGATTTTCCTTGGAATTGCTGCAGGAAACTCCCGTGCGTCATTGAAATAATCGAAGGAATATCCGCCAAGTCTTTATTATGATCCATTGATTTGATCGCTTCTTCAATGTTATTCTTAGTCAAACCTTGTCCCAGCATAAACGGAAGCGTCTTCAATGCCTGATGTTTATCAAAGGAGTTATCCTCCAAATCCAAATGTCGGAAAAACTCATCCCGTTTGATATTAGCAGCAGCACGTGGAACATCAAGGATTTTCTCACGGTTCCCACATTCTTTCATATGAAACTCCAAAGACTTGTCACAAGGAAACGCCCTGGAACATTTGCTGCACGTGTATCTTGGCCCCACCGCTGACTTGTGGAAAACCTTTTCGCACTCGTGCCGCGCAATGTGAGGAAACTTCTCGCTGGTGAAATCAACATAATCGATGTGTTTGAATCCAACAACCACGTTCTTCGACTTTCCATTCGTATCATCAGCGTGCACGGTCAATTTATGATAATTGAGTCGTTTCTGATTATTGAAAATTTGATTGCACTGATGACACTTGGCTGGATAATCCGGATGATTATCTTCCAAATGCACCTCGAGAGATTTTTGCAGTTGAAGTCATCGCGACTGCACACAGGACACTTGAATGTCTCTTCTTCAATCTCCAAGTGTGGTTTCTTCCGGAGTTGAAAGCCTCCTTCATCATCCACGTTTAATTTACGCTTGCTGTCGTATTTGTCGACTTTGTTATTGTTGTTATACTCGATGCTCTTGGACCCGCTGCTGGACACAGTACTATCACTACCGTCCGATTCGTAGTTCTCCGCTTTATGTGTGCGCATGTGCCGATGCATGTTGCCGTTGGTGGTGAAGGTGTCACCGCAGTATTTGCACGTAAATGGCCGTTCACCGCTGTGCACCAGCACGTGACGATCGAGACTCGAGCTGGAGCTGAGCACCTTCGAGCATATCCTGCAGGTATAGCCCTTTTCGGGATCCTGCGGCGCTTCCGCGTCGTTGTTGTGCGAGCGTATATGCAGGGTGAACTCGTGCTGGGAGGTGAGCATGCGGTCGCAAATGGGGCAGAGGAATTTTCGATCCGGCGAGCTGCAGTCGGATCGATTGTCCGTTTCATTCTCCGATTGCGTTCTATTTTCGTCGTGCACGCTGCTGGGGAAGGTTGAATTTCCGGTCGCGGAAAAGATTCCCGAATCGCTTTGGCTTATTTCTTTGGTTAATGGTTCAGCTGTGACTTCCATTTCTACAACAATCAAAGCGCACTGATGGTAAAATTCGAAATCTTAAAGACGATGCATATACACAGAGTTATTGTATTCATGTTATCTGCTATTTGTTAATATGATTTCATCGTTACATATTTGTGGACTGACCCAAATTTCTCAACGCATTGTCTCCGCGTCAACATCCGAATTAAAAAATAAATAAAAACGAGTTACTCACTCACACAGCAGGCATACCTACATGTTTTAAGTTAAGCGCAAATCAAGTTGACATCAACTTGGAAATAGGTGTCTCGGCCGGTGCGCTGACAAAACACAATTCACAATCATATCGAATGCGTGCATTCAACATTGAGCAATCGTTTATTGCTCGCGCGCGCTCACTTACTTTGCTTATTCGCCAGAGACACGAAACGCCACAAACAATAAAACAATGCTCAATTTCATCAAATATATATAACGATTTGAGTAAAACGCGACATTTTCTAATTACTGTAGCGGAAATAACAACGCCGTATGCCCGTATACGCACACGCCCGGAGAGCGCGCGCAAAAAAAACGAGAGTGTAAACAGCAACCTCAAGATATCTGAGCATGGACCACAAAGGAACGAGATAGCGCGACCGAGATTTTAATAGTTTCGGAAATCGCGGTTTGGCCAGCGCACCGAAATGTTATTATTCAGTTATTTAGAGATATTTCGAGATTTTTTCCATATTGTGCGCTGCGGCGACGAAAACAGTTAGTAACATTTTACGTACCATCGATTTTAGCTATGGTGCGGTCCAATTGTCGTGGTGGCAGACAGAGTACACCTTGCATCTCGTAACTATCTTCTGCAATAAGAAAACAAAAACATATAGACTATTTATTGTTCAATACAAAATAAAAGAAGCAAAACGCGATTGGTGATAATGATTCGGATACATCTGCACAGCCGGAAAGATGCTTACTTTAACGGCTCTCCGAACAACAAATCGCCCACATCTCGTCTACTCGCACACTCGCGCGCGGACTTTTTTGATGTCGGACTGCGCTCCTTCGGAAATTATGCGTTATTTACGCAGCATATGGCAGTTTCACCTGCCCGAAAACGTATCGAGCGGGTACGCGCTTGCTCGAGAGCACCTGCTTTTCGGCCGTGCGTGGCGCGTGCTGCTCTTTTTGAGCGACCCTCATCGCTACAGAATTAACCGACAGATAGAAATATATCAGTTAAACCACACACACACATGTACACAATGCAGGAGGTGAGATTATCGGCTTCGAATACTCATTACTCACTGCGCACCGCACTTTCAACACAGAGACGCAACGTTTCAAAACCGCGTTTCAATAAATAACTAATGCGATTGTTGAAAATTCAATTAAGAAATTGAAATATGTGTTGTTACACAAATGCATATTTATCAAAAATAAATTGCACAAGTTTTGGTACCGACTGCATTTTGTGTAGGTATATTTGTATGTATGCGTAACGAATTATTTTTAAGGTCGATTTATCTGTGATTCACTATTGATTTTCATTCAGATCTCGACTTTCGCAGGCGCGGGCGAAATTTCACTGTGCATTACTTAAACAAGAGATATCGACCGGTGTTTGCTCAGATTGTGTCAATACTTTCGTATATACAAAAATTGATTGATTCAAGCTGATGTTGGTAAACTCATACAAATATGATTTACTAGTTAATTTTTCTCTTCTTTTTAAAATTCGTCTTTTACCTAGCACACAAGTGGTATTTTATATTTCGTTAATTATCAATAAATTAGCTGCGTTTACAGTGCTTGTGTGCGCGCGTGTTTATGGTCCGCCGGCGACGGATCTCATCATATCATCTTGTATGAAGAAAGCGTGGCCGCCTCGCAGGCAACACGTCAAACTCAACCACACAACAAACGTCGACTCGATATTCATCGATATGATTTTTCTTCGAACACTGTTTGGAGCGCAAATCTGCGTTGGCGCATGTTTCGCGAGATAAGCCAATTCGGAGAATCAAAACAGTAGCAACTAACAAATCACACAATTTTGTGGTCGCGCGTTCACCAAGAATTTCGTTATTTATGATTTCGGCATTTCTCCAAAAATTTTATTTCCATGCGCGCGCTCAACTTCCTCTCAATCTCAAAAGTCGTGTAAACTTGCCACAAACATGTCTGCAGGTCTCAAGCGCACAACGCAAACAAGCGCAAATAAAAAATATTATACACGTATATGGTAGGAATAATGAGATCTCCGTTACGGTCCGCTCAAGATGAAGCATTCGAGAAGATTTCATTAGAGTCTGCGTTTTTGGTCACGCGAGGTTGGCTCTGCGCCGAGCACACCGAGCTAACCATCGCGGATGGACTTCTTGAACTCACAGCACCGGCAGCACCACCACAGCGCCTTTAAAACGTTTTTTTACCAAACGGAAATACATTGTCTCGCGACCAGCGCGCGCTTCCGATCTTCAAGGGACTTCAACTTGGACTTGAGAGAGAGTCAAGCCTCTGACGCGCGCGACTATCGAGGGTCGGCGAATTCTCGGTAACTGGTTGAGTCATTACGTGGAAAGCGCACTGATTCGCAACTTTTTAAACGCGCCAACTTTTTGCTTCCGCTTTAATTAGGTACATTGATTAATCGATGATCATATGATGCACACAAAGGCGTAAATTGTTGTTATGATGCTAATATTAGTAATAGACCCAATATAATGTATTTAATTGTTATCTGTGGTTATCTCACGACATCGGGCAAAGAAAAATGTTTGCTTTGAATGAGAAATTCGTCTCGTTAGGATTTCCGCACACAGTTCAATGAATGATTATTGCGCGCGCTTCGTCGTAATGAAGCTGATAAAATGTCAATGTTTAATTAAAAACGATTTCGGATGCGTTTGCTTACTTACACACACACACAAATAGACATAGTATACTCGCTAGAATTACATCCCGCAGTACCTATATCTTATCGTCGAGTTTATTTAGTTGATCTTAGAGAATACCAGATGGATTTTATCTGCCTAATAGTCGCAGTGTAAACAAATTAAACTAAACTAAACAGCTTGATTCGATTGATCAAGTTTCAGTGTTTGTGTGTTGTTATCGTTGCAAGCAAAAATAGAGTTTCGCATGGATGATTCCCGACGTGCGGGCATTTTGTTGAAATCTAGAGCGCAGGGGAGGTTTTTGTAAGGACTCCAAAGGACGAGGGTGAAAAGCGCGCGCAGCCAATTGCGAGAGTTTTCCAGGGCCGCCGACGGATTAGAGAAGATAAATGTATAGAGCACAAGAGCGCCGCGCCGGACGGTTTCGTGAGAGTGGGGAATTGGTCGATGCAGCAGGAGGCCGGGGCAGGAAAGGTGTGCCGCGGACTCGCGATCTCGCGAGAGCAGGCGGGCCAAGATGGCGCCGCCGCCTGCCTGCTTGCCAGCCGCCTGTGGGCGCGTATTGATCTGTGTTGCGATCTGTGCCCGCCGTCTCCATGCCAACGCACACATCACACACAGACACCTGGCGCAAGCGAGCGCCGCAGCGCAGCCGACACCCTCTCTGCCGCCTCTAACACGCAGGATGGCGCCGTCGACGCGCCCGCGCGCGCTCCACAAAAGGGGGCTCGAGCCAGAAGATAATAAATTATCTCTTGATAATAGCCATCGGGGCCGAGTTAATGAGATTCGCTCTAGCGGAGATCTAGGTACTACCTATATGTGTATCTATGTACACCTCGGTACAAAAGCCAAGGGTGGCACAGTGGCACTGATTGTTATTGGTGTGTTCGCCCGAGGGCGGTATTGTCCTCCATGCGAAACTCGCAGGTGATACCATTACGGCGTCGATTCAGAATTCGGATTATAAAATATCACTTAATTTCACCACGATTTCTGACTTTGGCCCACACCTAGCCGTAACGAGCGTTAATAATCTTTCAATTATACGACACGTACCAACACACACACACACACACATGCAATACATTAATTTATGGCCAAAACATCAACTTTCCAAAATTAATAAATTTTAATTCCGATGCTTGGTCAGCGGCTATGGTGAAACCTACGTGGTCTTATAGAATGTAAGACATTGTCCTGACACAAAATTCCAAATTTCGAAAGCACATTTCGTTATACCTGCATGCTACATGCGCGCCACACACGAAAAAAATCGAAATGTGCGCGCGCGTAATTTAATGCAAGTTAATTCTTACATATGAAATAATTATAAAGATGTACTCTTCGTATATTAGTCCGCTAATTAAGACGGTAACGTCCTGATAATTCCAGTAATGAACGCACTTCGTAAGCTTACAAGTGAAATGCGCCACATATTTATCCGTATAACTATCAAATTTATTGAATAAACGCGATTTAATCGTTTAGTATACAAAAACACAAAATGAAGGAATTATTTAGTTAAAAATCTGGGTTTGCAAAATCTTTCAGTTAATCTGTAATCATTATTATAAATAATAGTTAGGTAAATAATTATAGTTATTAATGAATTACACGAAAACCAATCAACTTATGTCAATTATTCCTTCAGTAATCAATCTAGTATTAAATTCGACTTCCAATACAACTTTTTTTTACGTTACTATTACTTAGGAATATGTTCTTGAGAAATTTGCGTCAAATTTTTATTTTAAAATTATTTTTATTGATTCTACCTTTAAATTATAACGAAAATACTAATTAATATCTAGGTAAATAATTTCCCGATGAATAGGTATAATTGAGAAAAAAAGTATAAAGAGATGAAATGTCAGAAGCAATTATGATAATGAATGTTTAGCATCGAAACATTTAAGATGAACAAGGGAGCAATTTGAGAGGAAATCGTAATAGTTATTAACGTCAACGTCAAATACATATAATTTGCCTCGCATTGGTTTTTGATTCCCGCGCTGCGAGACAACAATGGCGCACGCCGCATGCCGCACGAGAAACATCAGAACGAGAGAAACACAACAAATTGGCAGCGCGCCGGGGCTCAATGACAATCACACACAAATGTTTTGCAAATCGCATTATCCCGAGTCGAGACGTCCTAAGTAGGTACACGATACACGCGGTTACTGTGTACCAAGAAAAGCGGATTATTTTCATTGGCTATTATTCAAATGCGTAATTAAATAAAGTGCAGATGCGTGTTTACCTTGTGTGTTCAGAAACAATGTGTGGACATTTCGAGAGACAAACGCGCAGATTGGAAATTACCCGAGATGGAGATGTAGGTAATCACATAGACTCGAAAATGTCCGCCATCACGCATCTCGAGCGCGATTCCGCGAAGCGATATTAAATTATCGCTTTTCGTCGTTGTCGTCGACGTCGTTGGTGCGCACACGCACAAGAAAACGGCAAACAAGGTGGAAAAACGTAGAGATAAAAACGAAAGTGTTGTCCGTCTCTATAGCAACCCGGTGGATACACACATACTTATCGGATAGACAGGTATTCATTGTCCTTTTGTGCGTTCCATGTTCAACGAATTTTCTCTCCCCCACGACTGTGTCCGTCAAACAGAGAATCTATTATCTATTTTTCTTACTTCAACTCTCCCCATAATCATAATTATTCATGGAAATGTCAGGGAAATTTGTGCAGAGCTTTCCAAAATCATTCAAAAGAACAAAAGCACGCAAAAATACAAAAACGTCAAATATTAAGTAAATTAATAAGCAAAATTTCATCAATTTTTGGGTAAATTTTGTTTGATTCAAAAACAATATGCGTTTAACTTTGATAAAATAAAAATTATAAAAAATAAACTAAAATTTTGAAATTATCTGTGCATAATTTATATCTTGATCTATAAATTAATTATTTTTTAATTAATTTGGCGTTGTAATAAACCAAAATGTGTCATTTTTATTGGAAATCACGAATAAAATAAATTCCGACTGAATAGCTGACATAAGTGTACTGCAATGATTGATGTTTCTTGGAATTTTCATCGATTGTTATCGCCACTAAGAAATCCCCCGAGTGGAAGCATAAAAAACGCGCGTGCGCCTCAGCTGGAAAAGCCTAGACGCCTCAACAGCATACACACATCATTACGATGCTCGCAATGATGGAAATAATAACGAAACGAACTGTTTCAATTAATTAAATGTATTATGTTTATGTTTACTGCTTAGCGCGCACTGGCAGCGCAGCCACTTTGGCAGGCTTCGCGGTCTGATAATTTAAGGCATCGGGCATCATCTTTTAGCGCGTATTAGCGTATTGCCGCACGATGATTCGCAATTATACCGCCGCCGTTTCTACCGCCGCGAAATCAGTTTCTATACGCGCCTGCCCCGGAGTTTCTTTTATTTTTTCCGCGAAGGAGCCCCGCAAACACGCGTGTCTCTCGCGCATAATGCACGCCGCGCAACGAAAATGAAAGTTGCGCACGTTTTTACAATAATTAAGCATAAGTGCGCGGCGCAAAATTGACAAACACAAGAAAATCGCGCACGCATAAATCAACGATTTCACCCGTGGATGTAATGTAGTAATTTTACACATGTGCATGTGCTCTTACCTTGGTTTGATAATTTGGTAATCCATCAGTCCAAATTTTTCCTCCGCTAAATCCGTGAAACTGTCATCGGTCGGATTTACGAAGTTAAACAACACACTGACCAGAAGATTACACTATGCGTTTGTTTGGTTATGAGTTTATAAGTTTTTTTCACATTCAGCACTGCGTGCGCTCTCTGCGAGACGGGACCGTCTCGGACGACGGCCGAAGCAGATCTGAAGATTTTTCTCTGCGACGATCGAGCCGGCGGTGTGTATGTGTTGGGAAAATCACGCGCGGGGCGCTGCGCTCGCGAGAGAGTGAGATGTTCGCTCTCGGAGACGTGCGGCAGAGTGACTTTACGAAAAGATCAACGCCGCTCCAACATCAGCTTGACGGCGAAGAGCGCTCACGATTGGCCGGCGCGTCGTTTGCGTGGTGGGGCGCGTGGAGATATCCTAGGCGCAGTGCTCACCGCTCTGACTGCTCGCACTCTCGACTACCGAGACCCGGTAGATAAAAACAACATTCATCCAATGTTTTCAAAAAAAATATTACTTTTCTATCAAACCAACGCGCAGGCAAGATTTTATTTAGTGTACAAATAATAACGGTGTTGTAAGTATGTTTTTACTCTTTTTGCAGTGATTTAAGCGTAATACGTTAAGAATGTTTCAATTCGACCAGAAATCAATTGATTGTTGCTCTATAAATTGTTCAGGCTTTGTCTCATCATTCATCCAGCTGATATTGACATGAAGCAAAGCCTCTGAGTCACGCCGCATGCCAAAATTAATAATTAAAGATAATTCGATGAATGGAAATTCTCGTTGCACGAAAGAATCAGAATGCTTAAAACGCGCTAGACATTATTCTTGATAACGCGATTGAAAATGTGTCACACTCATAACTTTACTGTTGTGTTTTTTTTGCAACGAAAAAAAAATTCAAAGTAAGTAATCGTCTCGCCAGTCAAATTTCAAACCGTGTGCAATTTAAAAATGTGCCAACACAGGTTTTGATTTTGTTAATTTTCTTTGCGCTGTGCAATTACAATTCCATCTAGATAAGCAATTTCAAAAAGTGAGCACCGTATACGAATAGTTTTATGTGTATGAGTGATAGAAAAGTAGGTATATGGCAACTAATAATGATCACAAAATCGATCAGCCAGTTACGGGGACAGATATGTGACAATGAAAATGCTTTCCGGCTGTCTTTCGCCTTCTGTACAAACAATATTGATGGCCTCTCACTACCTGTGCGCGCTTAGTTAGCAACACTCGTTTGTAGACCATCAAGAGACCATCAAATTATTCCGAATCGATTCGAAATATTTCGTTTTTCGACCAACTTTCTAATATAAATCAAATTTGCGCACTATGCAGCTGCATACTTATCATAATTACAGAAGTTAGTGATTATACTACCTAGGAATGTAAAATGTTTTTTTTTTATTTTGGAATGCTGCTTTATCATTTTGCATGATTTATCAAAAAGCGCGCAACGTCAAAGCCGCTTGCGCTGGTAAACACACAAATACTGATTTATTTCCCGGGAAAATTCTTTCGGTAAATGACGCCGTGCATTCTAACCTCGTTCGGTTATCTAAAGGGTTTTTGTGTTTGGAAATCAGTGCAAAAAATACACTTGTAGGTAATTATTGCGCTTGGTACGTCAGCACAGAGTTGTTTTGCGCACCTACAACGACGCTGTTAAGTTTTTCCAGAAATATATTTATAGATTACCCGTGGTTTTATTACACAATCTGTTTGTGCGCCGCTTAGAGACACGAAATAGAGCGGATTAACTCAGACGCCACACTTGAATAATACCAATTGTGTGCTATTAAAAGGGATCAAGGGATGAGGCAATCCTCTTTTCAACATCCCCATTGTGATCGAAATCTCTTCAAATTGGTACAGTGTAGCCTCACCCTAATTTTGGCATTTAGCACAATAGGGTTGTTGAAATATTGATACCGTTTCTTTACAAGCAATTAAATTGCTGATGCAGTTATATACTGCAACAAGTGTTATCGTCAAAATATAAGAAATAATCCAAAAGCAAATTTATTATTTATTACATAAAAATGAATCGTAAAATATGTGAGTAAGCGCATAACTCAACAACGCCTAGACCAATTTGGCCAATTCTTTTTTTAAATGTTTGTTAAAGTCCAAGGATGGTTTTTACGGCAAGTAAAATTCGAATAATTGCCGGGAAAACACTAAAAACAGCCCTTTTCTATAGGCATTGAGATTCAATCATAGTTATCGTTAAATAATGAATCCTAGTTGACGCGCTGAAGTGCATTATAAACAATTCTTTATATAATAAATTTCTTTAAAATAAAATTGCGAATCTTATTGATAGAATTGACACATAGGTACCTACTATGTCTAGAACAAGAGAGTAAAAACGAATTACCTACATCTTTATTATACACTACCGGGATAAATCAGCAGGCAAAGCTAGTTGCTTATAAAACTATTGTTATTTCAATGTCAAAATTTAAGGTCCAGTTTTCGTGATGATTTCTATCCGATTGGAAATCGCGGAATGCAGTCGAAAATCGTTAAAATGCAAATAGGGTTATAACGAGCGGCCGTAGTTTTCCAACAATAACAACTAATTATTAATCTCGTACTAATAGTCGCGTTAATTGCGCGCGCGCTGGAGACGCTTGTCTTCAACGTTTGGGCACGGGACTAGCCGAAGGTCGTTAGGTGCCGTATGCGCTGGCACACCTAATCGAAGAAGCCATTAATGGAGGATGCGCTTAACATTCCACCGTCGCCACCACCAGACACGTCAAATCATTCGTGTGCTAAGTACAACATTATCAGATAACTCTTAGAAATCTATCAACTACAACATTGTGGGATGCTTAGTAAACGCTATGACATCATCATTTAAGCCTAAAGACATATTTACACAAAATAAATTTATTACCTACCCGATATTAGCATAATTCTAACGTACTTGGGGTGAAAAGTGAAGAGTAAAAAAAAGGGACAAGCGGGTTCAATGCAAGGTCGAAAATGGTGTTGTTGATGGTCACAGGTCATTCCAATACAATGCGAAATTGGGTGGCTACTAGGGGTACAGTTCAACCACTGGGTGACCAAGGGTCAAATGTCCAACAACATGATAATGCCTTCTTACACGTCGCGAGGGCTAATAAGATTAAGTGTTGTTTTTTTTAATACGAAAGGGTAAGTCGTATAATAACAGTAGTCATACTCGAAATTACCGGTGTAGAAAACCCGCGTGTAACGAGCGTCGCGCGGCGTGTAATTTTTAGGGGCTGTATGATTACGTTTTAAATAGTTTATGACTATCGAGTGAATGTGCGGCATTAATCACGACGTGGTGCTTTCATTCAGGAACTAAACAATTATTCAATTGTAAAAAATGAAAAAAATAAAAAAAAAGTTAACGGATTTTTAAATTTTTCGAGATTTGCTTGTCACCAGTGAACATGTTTGGTCATTCATTAAAGCTAGCGCCATTAAAGCAGCTTAACTGTGGGAGCAAACCAGCGAGACAACGAAAACAAGTCGCGTTTGACGCTGTAATATGCATATAAATGTAATAATAAACTGGTCTCAAATTTGACCGAAGTCCGGTGTCTTCATCAACATCAAGTGCGACTTACAAGAGATGTAAGTACACGATGTCTCATCCGTGCACTACAGTTACGACAATAATGTTTTTTCATCATCTGGAGCAGGAATTCCAGATATTTTCTCATCGTATGGCATGTTTCTCGGAAGATGTAAAATTTCAAATGAAATTTTTAAATTTTTGATTTGCGAATATTTCCAACACGTGACACGTATTCTAACGGATTAATAAAGCAAACGTCACTTGTTGCTAATAACTTGACACTGGCATTATAACTAACCTTTGACTTGACGTCCAACAAGTCGCTTAAAATGAGTTGAAATAACCGGTATGGAAGAGATTGACTACCGAACACAGGTCCATCAGTATTAAGATAAAACCGGACGCGATTTGAGTGGCGAGACGCCGCGCGGTCATTTGCGACGGAGACAAACATTCAAGCGCGATAATTAATGTGCTTACCAATCGACATTCCGATGAGATGTGTGCCTCTCGCCATGAGTGGCTCGTGCTCGTAATCGGGCGATAAGAAGTGCACTCTTTGTTCCATTACGATCGTGTTAATAGACGGAGTGTATCTGGCGCTGCTATTCGATTTCACTTTTCTTCGATGCGTTCGTTCTCAAACACACAATGCAACACCGCACGCCAACTTTGTATTAACAATGTAACATTGAATCAGATCTACTACGCAATAATCATGAACTTAATACCTAACTAATTGATTGGAGTATTTTCTACGTGTTGAACAAATGTGTGCAGAAAACAGTAAATTTCGAAAAATTTTAAATTTTGAATTTAAGTTTAAAAACATTAAAAATTTTAAATATTTGAATATTGCTTTGGTGTGTGGTGTGCGGTGTGCAATGTTTGATAGTCAGTAGACGACTGAATCTTGGGTTATTCTTTGGGATGTGGTGAGATAACCAAGATTGCAAGGACCTCCCATTTTTAGCCTTTTGAAAACGAAAGGGTTGAAGGGATTTTTAGTGATGTGACGAGGAAAGAGATGAAAATATAGAGCATTCCCTAAAGGAAGGGTTAAGGAAGGGTTAGTGGAAGGGTTGATAATAATTTTTCGGCTAAAAATTTGGGGGGTGATTTTTTCACAAAAAAAAAGTTTTTTTTTTATTTAACTGATAGATAAATTTGACCAATAATGAATTTTTTAACGGTTTTAAACAAAAATTACATTATTGATAACATAGCCATGTTGTGATAATGTTATTTAGTACTAAAATTTGTATTTTTTTTGCAATAATCGTTTTTTTCTTAAATTCTTTTTTATTTTTGATAAATTTTTTGACAATTTTTGTAATTTAACATTTTTTGACAGTTGATGACACCAACCGTTGCCCATACCCGATGTGAACCAAATATAATTTGTTCTAGATTACTTATTGTTCCGTTACGGTTAAAAAACGGTCGCCGTAGGAAAATTATGCAAACCTTTCGCCCATTGCCCATTCGCCTCCTTGGCCAGTGTCCTTTCAACCGTCCATCGGTACAATAAAAATTAGTCCAAATACGCGAGCGAGTAGTTTTCTCACAGAGGCTAGATGTCCGGGATGGTCATTCCATCCTCTGGTTACCTGCGCGAATGCAAATTAATAAAAGAAGCGCCGGCGATGGTCATACCGCGACTACCTGCTGACCCCTCGGCACCCGGACACATTACCCGTCTCTCTACCTGCCTACACATCCTTCGCCCGCTTG